CACAAACTGCTATCCCTCGGCGAAGGATCGTTGCCAAAATCGAGCACCCGAGCCCCAAACGACAGTTGCTCCAGCCGCGCCTCCCGCGCCGCCACTGCCTGCCTTGCGCAGCCCCGTACTCGTAGGAGTTCAAACGGTACGTCACGTTCCCAAATCACCTGGGCCTGCTGGGGCACTGTCCCCGCGCCTGCCGACCAGAACAGCTGCAGGTACGAGTCGTACCGAAATTTCGAATTCCCAACAACATGCATGGGACCTGCTCGAGGATAGTTGTAATAGTAGTACTAATAGTACAACATGTAGTGTACCGACGATCGCACGGAGCCAGACAGCGAGGGCAGCCACGACGGAGGAACCTCCCCCTGCGGTGCTCGACGCTGTCCCTTCAGCACCCAGCGTTACCAGCTCGCAACAGCTAGCGTGGGATTTGCTAGAATCCGAGGCTGCCGAGCCTGGAACGGGTCGAAACCAGAGTTCCTGTACTTCCAGCACGGGTCATGAGGCTGAACACCTCACGGACGGACTACTCGCAGAGTGCCGCGCAGCAGTAGATGTAAATGCACCCGCTAGCAGCTTGCAGCTTGCATCGCTATCTGATGATGAAGCTGACCGCCAGGCAGCGCAACTCTTAGCTTCCATCGACTCCAGCCAGTCTCTTGCATCTCTACCAGGACAGCCTGACAACCAGGGTGACCATGACACTGATGTACGCACCTCCCAACATATCACCACGGATATACCTGCATACACCGAGTGGCCTCAAACTAATTTCACTCTTGGAACCACGACCGCGGAAGACTGTGCGACTGCCATTGACAACGCATACAACGAAGCGGTTCACTTTCGACCGAACGCCTTTGACGTACCCAGTGGCTCCGTCGGAAAGGAATTTGTTCAGCTACTCAGCCAATACCTCCTTGCATTTGGCAATGGCTCCTCATTCCGGTGTCAGGGATTTAAGGTAGCGATGCTCTTCCAGATGCTGCTACTCCAAAAACCTTTCCATGCCCCGCCATCAGCCTTTGCGAAGTGCCTCAAACGCCGTCTCGAACTCTGGCGAGCAGGTGCCATCTCTGATTTAATAGAAGAATGCCGTACCATACACAAACAGATCGAATCCCACCAGCGGCGACAGGACAAAGCTTGCGCTGGGCATGATGACACTGCCAGAAAGTTTGCATCCCTGATAACTGATGGCAAACTCAGGTCGGCCCTCGCACAACTGGAAGAGGACAACGGAGGCGGTGTTTTGAACCTGGACGATAGAGTCGATGGCGTAACTGTTCGGGATATTCTGGCTGCCAAGCACCCGCCGGCAGAACCCGCCCATCCGGACGCTATTGTTCAAGGGGTTTTACCTCCACGACCACATCCGGTCCGATTTGAGTCATTAACTGGAGATGTCGTCCGCCGCGTTGCCCTAAATACACATGGAGCAGCAGGCCCGTCGGGAGTGGACGCTGACACCTGGAGGCGCATGTGCACCGGATTTGGAGGTGCCTCTGGTGAGCTCTGTGAGGCAATGGCTACCTGTGCCCGCCGGCTGGCAACAACATTCGTCGATCCCGCGTCTCTGGAGGCATACCTTGCTTGCCGGCTTATACCTTTGGATAAGAATCCCGGGGTTCGGCCAATTGGCATTGGTGAAGTTCTCCGCCGTATACTTGGCAAAGCCATCCTGTCTATGATACGGGACGATATCCAAGAGGCTGCAGGCAGTCTGCAGGTCTGCGCTGGACATGAGAGTGGCATTGAGGCAGCCGTTCATGCCATGACGACTGTTTTCGACGATGACGACACAGAGGCGCTGTTGATGGCGGATGCTTCCAATGCGTTTAACCGTTTAAACCGCGAAGCATGTCTTCACAACATCCAGCACCTCTGCCCGGCTATGTCTGCTATCGTTATCAATACGTACCGGCACCCTGCCAACCTAATTGTCGGCGGAGAGGTGATACGGTCCCGTGAAGGTACAACGCAGGGAGACCCTATTGCGATGCCACTCTATGCTCTCGGTGTCCTACCCCTGCTGCGGTCTGTGGCGACTGAGGGGACGGTGCAGGCTTGGTTTGCTGATGACTCAAGTGCTGGTGGAAAGTTAGTGAAGGTACGGGCTTGGTGGGATGCGCTGACCACCAAAGGTCCCTTGTACGGATACCACCTGAACCCGAGTAAATCTGTTCTCCTCGTCAAACCGGCAGTCCTCGGGCTGGCGCAGGAGCTATTCAGGGACACTGGGGTGACCATTCGTGTGGATGGGTGTCGCTACCTAGGTGCTGCAATTGGTACTGCTGAGTTCCTACAATCCTATGTCGAGGGCAAAGTCCAATCCTGGATAGGCCAGCTGGAGCGCCTAACCGTCATTGCGTCATCTCAACCGCAGGCTGCCTTCTCGGCATTCACCAGTGGCTTGAAACACAAGTGGTCCTTTCTGTGCCGCACCATGTCCAACGCTGCTCCAAGCTTTGGGCCACTGGAGAGTGCTATCCGGGACAAACTGATCCCTGCGATCACCGGACGTCAGATCTGCGAGGAGGACCGCGCTGTGCTTGCCCTGCCCTGCCGTTACGGGGGCCTTGGTATCATTGACCCGACCCAGCTGGCCTCTCAGCATCAGTCATCGAAGCAAATCACCAGAACCCTGCAACAAAACATCATCCAGCAAGTGATGCCGCTTGGCGATGCTATCTGTGATGGACAAGCAGCCAAGAAGGCAGTTCAGACGTCAGCTCGCAACGCTCTCCGAACCCACGCTGCAACTGTATGCTCTTCACTGAGTGCAGACCAACAGCGCACAGTTGAGCTTGCAGCAGAAAAGGGAGCCTCAGGGTGGTTGACGTGCCGACCCCTGAAACGCCATGGCTTTGCTATGGCGAAGGCGGAGTTTCGGGATGGTTTACATCTCCGCTACAACTGGAGACTACCGCACATGCCGTCTGCGTGCTCTTGTGGGAGCCAGTTCACCATCGCCCATGCCTTGAGCTGTCCAACGGGTGGGTACCCCAGTATTCGCCACAATGAAATTCGAGATGTGACAGCTGGCCTTCTGAAGAGAGTAGCTACCAATGTCTCCGTTGAGCCGCACCTCGAGCCTCTGTCGGGTGAGCAGCTGTCTCTTCGCACTGCCATTCGTGCCGATGCTGCCAGATTGGACGTGGCCGCTAACGGGATATGGGGAGGACGATTTGAACGCACATATATTGATGTCAGGGTTTTCAACCCATTTGCGCCCTCAAATCGCTCCTCCTCCGTCTCCGCAGCCTACACCCGCCATGAGAAGGCAAAGAAGCGTTCGTACGAACAGCGCTTGCGTGATGTAGAGCATGCCTCGTTTGTCCCGGCCGTGTTCTCTACGACTGGCGGCATGAGCAAGTGTGCGTCAGCTCTGTACAAGAGAATTGCTGTGTTGCTTGCAGAGAAGACCGGTGAGTCCTACTCCCTCACCATGGCGTTCATCCGGTGTCGTCTTAGCGTAGCGCTAATACGGGCCAGTGTAATGTGTGTGCGTGGTAGCCGATCCATGTTTTCTGCCCATGCTCCTGTCGCGTCATCTGCAGCTGTGGTCGCTGCGGAGGCATCCATTATGGCTGACTGAATATTGTCATATAGACTGTTTTCACAGCCACACTAGCTCATTTTTACTACTTCGAAGTACTTATTATTTGCCATGGCGACCCCCGTAAGTCCAAATAGCTGGCCGGGCAGGGTTGGGCCTTTTTTCCTTTTTCTTTTTCTTACTCAGCTGGCTTGGCGCATCGACTGTAAATGAACCATGGATCCGAAAGGATTTCGTTGCGTTTTCGCCCCCAGCGTTGTCGTGTAAACGCAGCCTCAAACTACAGTCAACTTCGCTAATAACGACTGCGGATATAACGACAATTCGCGAATAACGACCGAATTTCCATGCCCAGAGCAAAGTCCCATCTAACTGTATACATTTAACTTCGGATATAACGACTATCTGAATAACGACAATTCGCGTATAGCGACATGCTTTTAGTGCCCCGAGGTCATATTCACTGCTTGAATAACGACTTTCTGGGCTTTTGACAGCTATTTCAAGTACCTGTCAGTCAAGTACATGTACATGTACCTGTCATGCAGAAGTACCAGAACCTATGGTGATGACTGATGGATATTATTATTATAAAGGCACACATGCAAGAAAATGCAGCCAAGGGGGGGGGGGGGCTTTTTCTTCCTTTTATACAATGACTATGTACATGTAATTGTACATGATTGTACAGTAATCATCATACATGTACATGTACATGTCTCTGGCCCTGTAGATGGCTCAAAAAGGCATATTTTTGAATTGATTTCCCTTGCATATTGAATTTTTAGTTCCTTTCAACTGCAATATGAAAATAAAGTACACATTGACATAGAGCAAGAAAAGAGCTTGATTTTGATATGCATGTCATACTATACAAAATATGGGTTCACATACATTCAAATGGGACTTCGGTTATAAGGACACTTCGCGAATAAGGACACTTTTCTGATGCCCCGCCGAATGTCGTTATTGGCGAAGTAACGTTAGTTGACTGTAGTTTGAGTACGACTCCCAGGTATCAAGAGTACATGAATGGTTTTCATGTACTCTTGCTGGTATCGATCAACTGCATGCAGAAAACTGCCAAATATGGAAGGGGAAATTCCCAGAACACATTCCACGTGACTTCTCTAGGTGAAACGTAGAGCAGAACAGCATTTCTTTACGTTACGGGAACGGGAAGAAAGTTCGCGTGATTCTTTGCGTCGCGTTCCCAAAACGTAGAGCAGAACCTCCCTAGCCCTAGTACATAATGTACATGTACTAGATACTGTACGTAGATCTACGGTAGATCTGCGGGGTACGTAGATCTACGTACCTCGTTACCGGTATACTGTAGATCTACCTTGTACTTGTAGTGTGAATCACGTGTGCATAATCCAATGTCATGAAGTATGATTCACGATGACCTCACAAAAAAACTTCGTTGTCCCGTTTTGACTTTTGTTTGTTCTGTGTTTGGTACATCCATCCACGGCCACCCTGTTCTATTTTCCCATTTCCTTGGGTTCACGACTTGGAGGTCTACTTTTACATCGAACTACATGTACGTAGGGCAATTGCAGTAGCAGTTAGTGAAATGGCTTGTCGCCTCTTTTCCGCACCTCTCAGAGGTGTTGTTCCCGGCTTGAAAGGAGATGTCGTTCTTTCTGTGAGGCCTCTGCTGGGATCTGTTTCCCCTCTGTCGACAACATCCACTCAAGCTGCATTGACTCTGGAGCAGCGTGACAAAATAGCAGCTGGTCCAGGCTTGGAGGACTTCATCCGTGAGCATAATTATCCAGATGAACCCGAGCATCTCAGACGCAAGAAAGGCGAGCGAACGAGGTACTTGTTCTAGTGCACTATTTTCAGAAAGGACAGGTGATTTGTTTCCATTGATTTGGGCAGGTCATGGACTACACATGCACAAATACAATTGGGAGTCGGTTACTACTATCACAGTTGTATACAGTACAATGCCCTCGCAGCCATTTTGAATAAGAGCTCGGTCGGGCCCTAGAGAGATACCAGTTCTGGGGCAATTTTCATGGATTTTCGAACAGTTCAATGCACGATCCTTACACCGAGACTTCTTGAAATTTGGGACAGCCACTACAGTAAGATCGGGCGCCGAAGAACTCCTCGCCGAAGAACACCCAGGCTGGAAAACCGGCAAAATTTAAGAACAGTCCAGGCTAGAATTATCAGATTTAAGAACACTAGATCTACAGTCAAACCTCGTTAGGACGAACTTCAAGGGACTGAACAAATTTGTTTGTCTTATCGGGAGTTCTTCTTATCCAGATCTGACAAAAAATCGATTATGCATATCAGATGGATTGTATTTACGTGAAGGTGCATGCTGTGGTACATGGGAAGCATGTTATTCTTAGCATAAGCCAGAAACAGGTACATGTAAGTACAATGACAAAGACAATGAATCACGACTGTGTCGAAAGTTCGTACAACGCACTGATTATTTTGTTCAAAACACGCTTGAAAACAATTTGCACTGTACTTACCTCGACTATTGAAAAGAAGAAGAAAAAAGGCAGCCAGCGCACGCGCACGCTCGTGGACCGAAAGTTCGCACTACATGTACATGACCACACTGACTTTGTTCAAATCACACTTGAAAATAGTTCGTCTTCGCGAAAGTTCGCTGTACAGAAGTTCGTCGTAAACGAATAATTTTGACTTGAATTGATGCCTGGCCAACCATAGGATTGGCCTTAGTTCGTACTAATGGAAAGTTCGCCTTATCAGTGTTCGTCCTAACGAGGTTTGACTGTACATTGTACGTAGATCTACATTGTACATGTATGGGAGGTGAGTACATGTCATGTACACGTGTAAACAGTAACTGCTACATGTACAGTCATTCCCATTTACGACACCCACTAGTTTAGAAGTACTACATTGCACTAGTACATGTACATGTACATGACAAACGTCATGACGTCACTCGACTCGCCGCGCGCATGTGAATAAGAACAGTCTGGCTAGAATCAAAAATTTAAGAACTTTCCTAGGCTGCGCTCCAGCCCCTGCGTTCTTCGGCGCCCGATCTTACTGTATGCCTGGTTCCATGTTTTGGCAGGAAAATTCTGTCTGCGATGGATGTTTTTTTCCCGCTCAGCAGAATGGGGTAATGCCCGTAATGGTATAACAAAGGGTTGTGCAAAGACTTCTTCTGCGGCATTGTGTTGTTTATGGAAAATAAGATAGAATACTTAGGCCATTTCTCTGAATGTATTCTGGGGCTCCTCTGTCATATTAAAGCAGTTTTTCCATGCTGATTGCTGTTAACAACTTAGGCTACGATTACCGCCTTGGTTGACTGTCCCGGTACCGTCCGGTTCAGATTACACTCGTCTAAAGAAGTCCCTAAGGAAGCTGAAGTTGAGCTCTGTGAGTAATAATTCTCTTCCTAAGAGAATGCTTCATTCTGCACTTCTACACGCCCGCGTGCGCTTGTGTGTGTGTGTGTGTGTGTGTGTGTGTGTGTATACCAGGATCAGGTGTGTGTGTGTGTGTGTGTGTGTGTGTGTGTGTGTGTGTGTGTGTGTGTGTGTGTGTGTGTGTGTGTGAATGCATGCACATGTGTGTGTCAAAGGTGTGTATCTGTGTATGTCGCTCCCCCCCCCCCCCCCCTTCTCTCTCTCTTCCCCGCTATCTATGTATTTATCCATCCACCCATCTATCTATCTACTTTGAAGTACCTATCTATCTATCTTTTTCTGTGTCTCCGCCTTTCTCTGCCTTTGTCTGTGTGCCCGGGCATGCGTGTGTCAATTGCCGAGGCTGATTTGTAAAGTAACTTCAGTTTCACTTCAAGGTACCAGTGGATCTAGTGTCTGCTCCCAAGGAAACGCCTGTAAACGATGATAGAAGACGGTGTAGACTCTAAATTCGAATACACTGTGGATTGGCAATAGTGAAATACTAAAAAAATCACACCAAGGAAGTCGATTGATTGATGTGTGTGTGCTCAGCACATGGCTACAGGTCGTCACTGACTTCTGTTTTATCTTCGCTCACACTATTCAGTGTTTGATTGTTTGTAGACTTTTGCAGACTGTGGGTGACTCTTGGCCACACACACACACACACACACACACACACACACACACACACACACGCGCGCGCGTGCACGGACACATGCACACGCTCGCGCTCGCGCACGCACACACACACCTTTGACCTTTTGATGCCCATTGCCAGAGGCGATGATAGCGATGCTGCAGCAGAAGCCATAGCAACTTGTGCTGGGATACACACACACACACACAATACAATACAATACAATATGCCCATCCGGAGATGATAGCAGGTCCCGGGACCAACAGTGTTCAAGTCACGAGCAGAATCGGGCGTGGCGAGTCAAGTCCTGGCGACGGCGATAGCGCTTTCCACAAGTGCAAACAAAGTCTAAGGTGACGGGCTCGGTCGGAGGGATGGTGCTGCATGCTGATCTCCATTCTCTGCGATCCTAGGCGAGGTCGTACCAGTCCGCTATCTGGCGGTCCTTCATGTCGGACACAACATTGTCCCGCCACCCCCTTGAACGAGCCAAGGTACAGCCGATCGAGGAGGCACTGAAAACGCGTCGACTCCGCTGGTTAGGCCATGTTGCTCGAATGGATGACTTCCGTATGCCAAAGTGTATCCTCTTCGGCGAATTGGACAAGACCCGGCCACGTCATGGGCCCCGGAAGTGGTGACACACACACACACACACACACACACACACACACGTACGCACACACACATGCACGCACATGTGACCTAGAGCAATAGAGTTGTAATGCAGTAGTGCTGCTGGTCAGCAAGAAAGGCACAATGAAATTGCAGTTTTTTTCTTCAATATTCGGTTCCTTCGAATTCTACATCATAGGAAAAGGCCTAAAACCTTGCCGATACTCTTTAACGGCCGTGCCATTCGTTCCGAAACCTTCACGGAACAATTATCTTTGCCCAAACAAGCCCTTCTATGTACTTGAAGCACTGCCATGGACATGGAAATCCGGAGGGCACTGGCGATGCAGCCGTGGATACGCAAACGGTCTACACACATTCATTTATGCGCTGCAGCGCGCTGGCCGCATCGGATCAACATGTGCACTGCCTGCAACGTTCTGAGGGCGCCGACCCCGGTCATTCGACGGGATTTCCACATCCACGACAGTAGTATTGTCACTACTGTAACAGTACTGTATGAGTCAGTACTTCAATAGTGTCGCTATTTTGTGCTGTTTCTCTAGGTTTGTGAAGAGGCACGCTGTCCAAACATTGGAGAATGTTGGGGTGGTGGTGAAGGTACTGCCACTGCAACAATAATGGTGAGGCACACAATACACTTAGCCCTCTCTCATCCAGGCACTTTAGAATCCCAAGTTATATCCACAGCTCTGGACATGGTGCACTTTGTAATGCGTCATTCTAAACCTCTTTCCAACTACCAGAGATTTGCAATGAGGGATTACCTGTGTATATATTTGTAGAATCAATTTCCAGTTGCTGTTTTGGTGATTGCTGCTCCTATTCTTTTGTGTTGATCATCTTGTAGTGCCTGACTGTCTCTGTTTACAACTGGCAGTTTGCCGTGTTCTATAATCTTTTATTTCCTCCCTTTAATAGTAGTTTGACAACACTGCAGCCGTAGTAATGGTATGCACAGCATACAGAGCTACAACGCCCGTTCATATTCACTTCCACTTCCTGTGACTGTGCTTCTTAGGTAGTTGGTTCTTGTATCCATTATATTTACCATTCAAGATGCTTCAAAGCATTATTGCTGCCTTGTGTCTTTCCTTTCCAGCTGATGGGTGATACGTGTACAAGAGGCTGTCGCTTCTGTTCTGTGAAAACAGCCCGTGCTCCACCACCGCCTGACCCAAACGAGCCCCAAAACACTGCAGAGGCCATTGCTGAATGGGGTGTTGACTATGTTGTTCTAACATCTGTTGACAGAGATGGTAAGGCTATGGATGAACTGTCACCCGAAATGCGCTGGATTTCTTTGCAGTTTTGACATTGCTGATCACGGTGGTAAGCTTCGTTCTCTTCTGATGCAACTGCATGTCGGTGAAAACTCCGAGCAAAGGTGACCACCACCTAGTTGTGACCTACACTCCCATTGAACAGGCTAGATTGAATGAATCCAGATGGTCAGGAGCGACCTTTACCATTGATTTTTTCACCATTCATGCATAGTGGCACATTCTAGCAGCAGGATTCCATTGTACTGTACTAGTAGTCTAATGTTGTATTGTTTTGTTTTTGTTTTTGTGCTGTCATTATCTAGACTTACCTGATGGCGGTGCCAAGCATTTTGCTGATACTGTGAGGGAGCTGAAGCGAAGGTAGGCATTCTGATAGCTATCGGCCATTCTAGTTCTATCAAGTGTGACACACTGTGTCTTCGTTACTATCGTAAAGTATTTCCAGAGCACCCCACCGTCTCGTCCTTTCGCGGTCGTATTTTGGAGGTGGTCTCCTGTCTGTAGGTCATACGACACGAACTTTGTAGACATTATGCACGTTCTGCAGATAATCCGTACCTTCCAGCGGACACGAGCTCCACACAGAAACCTGCTTAGTGTGACCTTAGTACACTATGGTTCTCACACCGTACGTACTTCGTGGGACTCTACCATACCAGTTTCTTTTCCCTGGCTGTAAAATCAAGGTGGGGCGCTCTCGCAAGACGGGGCGCTCTGGCGGTACTTTACGGTATTGTTATTGATGAGTTTTGAAGTAAGACATGTGTGAACTTGCACGGATGTTTGCGTCATACTAGTGTGTTCGCTTTTTTCGTGAGAAGAGCGTAGATCTACCACTTGTACTGCCAATAACCAGAGTGAAACCCAGCTTTTCCAGACGGTGTAAGTGTGCTGTTGCCACAGTGCTGCAGGACCAGTTGCCATCGCAAACACGCTGCTTCTGAGAAATCACGAAGATTTGTTGACACAAACATTGGGCGGTTAGCAGTACTCTGTGAACATTACTGTAAGACATGCAGTCTAGCAACCATAAAACTTGGTGATTTTAACGGAAAAAATTCTTTAGTCACGATATTCCACTAATGAATGTGACGTGAAAATCGATTTTGGAAAACCTTCATGACTTCGTTGATGTGTACAGTGCATTTCGAAAATATAGACACGTGATTTCGAAAAACCGTTAGGCCAGCATCTATACCACATAAAATCTGTGATCATTTTGAGCACAAAAATTTCGAAATTGGGCGTTTGTTATCTGATCGCTTAAAAATCTATATGAGAGTAATTGGGGGAAGGACCTGAGCAATATTCTGAAAAAATTCTCAAAAAGCTCTAGCCAAATATGAAATATTTCAAAAAAACCATGCGTCTATATTTTTGAAATGGACTGTAGTGATGACGGCGTGTACTGTGCATGTGCAACATTTCTCTGATAGTGTGTTTGACTGATGCTTACATGTACTTGTAGAGCGTATTCACATGCAGTCACATCTGGAAATCAAGCGCTGATCGCTGCACCCCTACTTTCTTTCTGTGCTCCTGTATGTTGGCAGTAGTTGCCTTGCACTTTCACTGCTGAAGTGTTCTTTTTTTCATTTAATGTATCTTTGGTTTTTCTGTTATGCTTATGTTCCTCTTATGGTTGTCTCTTGTAGAAAGCCTTCAATATTGGTTGAATGCCTTACCCCGGACTTTCGTGGTGACCTAACGGGTGTCGCAGAAGTTGCTAGCTCAGGCCTCAATGTCTACGCACATAACATCGAAACTGTGGAAGACTTGCAGTGGTAAGCTAGGTCTCCTCGACTAAAACTTGCTTCTTCGTATGCTGTAGCCAATGCCTGTGTGAAACCGTTCTGTCTCGAACGTTCTGGAACTCAACCGTTTTGGTCACTTTAGTTACATGGGGTTAAAGCTCTCTCTCACTCACTCTCTATTTATCTATCCATCTCTCTCTCTCTCTCTCTCTCTCTCTCTCTCTCTCTCTCTCTCTCTCTCTCTCTCTCTCTCTCTTTCCTGTGGTTTGAAGCAAACGTTTGTACAGAACTGAAGTCGGTGGCCCGAATATGAGGGATGGTGCCAAGACTTTTAAAAACGAGTCAACCAAAACTAGTGCGCTGGTGCTGTGCTGATCACACTGATCACAGGGTTTTTAAACAAAGAAATACATACAGTTGCTAGTGCAGTAGACATATGAATTTTTCTTTCCCGCCAGTGCCTGTGGTGGGGCCACCTTACACCGGGGCCCCGTGATGGATTTGGGCGTTTGAAGAAGTTGAATGCTTTTGGTCATGTGTTCTGCATAGTACGTACGGACCAGCTGTATGTACTGTTCTCCAGGTTCAGGCCTGTTTTTGTCCATTTGTTTATTCCGAGCGTAGTCATTTGTTCTCCTGTTTTGTGCTCCTTCAACCATGACCTTAGGCTTGTGCGCGATCCTCGTGCTAATTTCCGTCAGTCATTGGCTGTCCTTGAGCATGCCAAGAAAGTTACTCCAGATCTGGTCACTAAATCCTCCATCATGCTTGGCATGGGCGAAACAGATGGCCAGATTCTGCAGGCACTCAAAGGTCAGTCATGCTAAGAAGATTGGAACCCGACGAGCTTTTCTTTGGTATCTCTGTTCCTCTGCTAGGGGATTCTGGGCTCTACTGGAAGAGCATTTGTTTTGAGAAGGAACCCTTTTTTTGTGGTGTGTTAGTGGCCACAAGCTTGTACTGATAACTGTGTTTGCATGTAAATATACCCAATGCTGTAGACAGCAAGCTGTTGCATGTATAAAATAATTAAAAAATTAAATAATGTTTACAGCTCATTCCTCAGTCACCGATAACTTTTGACAGTCTCTGTTCTATGTAACCTGACTATCCTGTTATCTTGGTTGTTCTCTTGTGTGGGTAGATTTGCGCATGGCTGGTGTTGATTGTGTCACGCTTGGCCAATATATGCAACCGACAAAGAGACATATGAAGGTATGTGCTCGCTGAGAGAATGTATTTTTGAAAGTGTTACATCTGTGTAGTGGGTGGACTGCTACTGGTCATGGAGGCTGCTGTTTTTTTCTTTTCATGATTCCTTCTTCCGGTGATGATTATCGCTTTCCCCTTAGCTTGCTGTGGTATGGCTGTATTTTATTGCATGGCTGAGGCAGAAGTGGGCCTTGTATTTTGCTGGAGCTGCCATGAAAATTGAGACTGCGAGTTGATGGAGTAATGTTTGCTGCCACAGCGCTTGGAGGTTGCATAACCATTTGTAGTTTGGGGCTGCTGATCGCGGTGGTGAGCTTCAGTTCTTCTGAGATGACTGCAAGTCAGTGAAAACTCCCAAGGGAATTGTCCGAAATTACCTTGAAGTACAGGTCAACGTCACGTTGGACTTGCCCTGCACACGTACACGAGTCTTGTAGGCTTTGGGAAAGGTTCTGGCGGGGCAGCCACGGAACTGTCACGGAACTGTGGCTCGCTGGTTGGGCTGAGATACTCTTTCATTGCTTGTAGTGTGATGGTAGCCTGTGGCAATCTCCCTGCCACAAAGCCCACCAAAGTCTTTGCGAGTCCTAAACCAAGTAGAACGTGGACATATCCAAATATTTCCCATACTTTTGGGCGGGATATTTCTTCAATTTTGCATCTAGGTTTTCCAGGGAGTTCATCGTCGTAAACCCAATTTGAAACCAGCAGGAGTGTCAATGGACTGGAAGTCTTGTGTTCTACTGGCGCAGGGAGTTTGGACTTGCCGGGACGAATCTCTGCAGAAAGTGGTGTACACTTGGAAAATAGCGTTTTGGTAGTATTCTATAGTCAATAAAATAACTGTCATGTAATAGTCGGTCCTGCTGTGTTCTCTTCTATGTTCATTAGGTTTCACAGTATGTAACACCAGAGAAGTATGATTTCTGGAAGAAAGTTGGCGATGACCTGGGTTTCGTGTACACAGCAAGTGGGGCCCTGGTTCGGTCTTCCTACAAAGCAGGTGAGCGAGCTTATTCAACTACACTGTACACTGTACTGTACATGTAACCTAAATTACCTAATCATGGATTAGTATTACGGCTGCTAAACTGATTATACCAGATACTCAGTAAGCTATCAACAGATTTTTCGCCCCACTTCCATAGTTGAAAAAAAGGTTCAAACCTCTTACCGGGACGGAAGAAAAGTTGTCCCGCGGATATGTGCAAACATACAATGCAGTCAATGAGCATTCCTGTAGGCGGGTACGTGAAAAGATATGAGGAAGTGCACTTTGCGTGCCAGGTCCATTTTGTGTTCAGCGCTGCGAGTGTTCGCCCAAAGTTTCGTCCTCTACTTTCAGAAAGTACCCGAGAGTTTTTGCAAAATTTCGTTTGTAGAGCCGCTCAGTGTATATTATGTGTACCTGTGTTTCACACCTAGAAAAAGCTGTGTTCACAACTGGCGCGTGGACACGATACACTTGCGGCTCATGTGTGCCCAAAACACGCGTCCAGACTTTCACAAAAAAAAAGAACAGGAATTTGAGTCTTATTTTGGGCTTGCGACACCTTTGAGTACTAATCTTTTGATCCCGCCACTCAAAGTGGCTGGCATGTACTCGGCATGTACTCCGGTACGTGCCTGACACGCGCTAAGAAATACGTCATATTGGAATTTCCATTTCGATACGCATTACGCCCCAAAAGCCAGCATAATACGCATGAACGCGTGGTTTCCCGTTTACGCGCGCCAGTCGTGAACACAGCCTTTAGACAGCTGGTATATGTATTCACGTTAGATGGCTGGGTTCTCACAGCTGGTATATGTGCTCACGTTGGATGGCTGGGTTCTCACAGCGGGTATAATGTACTCACGTTGGATGGCTGTTTTCTCGGTTTTACATTGTTATTGTTTGTCCCCATTTGCATCCTGTGCATATCCAGGTGAGCTGTTTCTGACGAATGTTGTGCGTGCTCGCCAGGAAAAGCATCAATCTCAAGCTTCCGGAGATTCATGATTTAACGTACACTTTTCTCCGTTTTACTGCTTCAAGTGTAACGTTGTCAAATGATTCTATTTCAATCAAGGCCATGACACTACTATCACTGTAATATTGTGGTCATCCGAGATACTTCTTACTTCTTAGTATATTTTGAATTGAGACAAAATATTCGCCCCTTGTAATTTACTTTTAGGTGCGCAGGCTCCGCTCCTATCACTGTATAAGTCAACCTCTCACAGCTCACAATACTACGCATTTCTTCTCTCCATACAATACCATAAGATGGCTTTCAATCAGAGTTTAGCTAATGCTGTGCATAGCTGTGCTCGTTGTTTCCACACGCTTTTCTACATCTCACCTGCTTATGATTGGTTCAAGGAATGTAGTTGTGGTCTAATCTGAATTAAAGAAATACATGACCTTTTCTGACTCATTTTTAATGAATACGAATAATCGACATGGAGAGTGGAGTGCTTAGTAAGAGCAAAAGAGCTAGGGAGGGTATCAACGGTGCAGCTGTATACACACATTCCGACATGTCACATGTGGGGTGTGGACGCTACGACTCCCTGCATGGTTTACCGGGTACATGTACTTGTATCTGCATGTATAGGCCATGAAGGACTGTGTTGTTTGGTGTGTGTGGTGGTTGGGCCTGGGGGCTGTCTGTTGGGTCTGGCCTTTGCTAGGCTCTGCTTACTTCTTTTTTGTGTGGCTGACACAATGCAGAGCCTCAGTTAGGCACAGCCTGATAACGCACGATCATGTACAGTTTAGTCGCGCGCCAAAGAACACTAGTGGCCCGATCAGACTGTTCAACGTCCCAGCCTGGCCTCTTGGAAATGGCGTTCTTGGGCACACGGCTTTATTACTGTAGGTCATGAGTTATGATGAATCACTGTCCAACAGAGTTAGATACCACACTGTGGGCTATGTACTCAGTGAGTGTCTTGATATTGAGTTGCAAAATCCTTTGGACCCATTCTTGTCGACTCAGCAGATAGTGAAGTAAAGAAAATCAGACCATCCAATCTATTTCCACAGTGCTGGGTACCGTATAACTGCACAGTCCCCATTGGGTGTGATTGTATACACTACACAGTGTGTGCAGGAGAATGCAGATGATCAGATAACGCACAACGTACCCGGCGGGTCCCAGAGGTTATGTCTACATCAACAGTCTATAACCAAGTGTATGCAACTGTGATCAATGATTTCAATCTCTCCTACAGCATCCGTTTTGGATGATTTGTTGGAGTATGTACGCTATCAAATTTTTGGGGTTTATGAACTTGAAATTTGGTTTCAAAGCTCAGGGAACGTGTGGTGTATGATGCTGGGCAGTGCACGGCGCGGCATGTAGTTGCACGATGTAGTAAAGGCACCATACAGTGCAGCTTCAGGATCATGGAATATAAATCACAGTTGCATACGGCATGGGACTCAGTTTTACATGATTAACACCGGTTGTTTGTACATTGGTAAGCTTTGAGCCTGGCACACTCCCTCAATACCGCTGGTTTTCTAGCTTGAAGGTTCAACACCACATTCTTCTGCGTCAAGTCAATGAGGCTGCAATTCAATACTGGCAGGCCATTCTGCAAGGATATACTTCGAAGTATTGCGAGGCACTGTGAAGTTGCATATCCTTGTTGACCATATATTTACAGTATGCCACTGATAACATAGGGTTAAAGTAAAAAGAAACATAGAAGTTCAATAAGTCTCCTTCAGCCGCAAGACTGATATCACACCTCAGAGAGATGTCTCGTCGCCTTCCAACTTTCCATGTCAGATGCTGGGACAATCTCCAGTATTCTCCAGCAACGCGTCAGGGTACCACCACCTTCAATCATACGCTCCAAGATCAGCACTTGGTCCAAGTCGACTTGCTTGCCCTCGACTCCATCCAATCGTTCACCAGTGCGACTGTAAGCGACGTGTTCCTGTGATCAAACGAAAGCAGTGGCAGTGGCAGTGGCAGCAGCAGCAGCAACAACGAACATGGGAATAAATAAAATTTTCAGACTTTTCCCGTTTGTGCCTTTCCCTCAAACTAGTGAAAATAAAATTATACCGACATTAACGACGACAGCGGCAACGACATGAGCAACAGCAGCAAACGTGCTCTTATTGGTTACAGACCGTTGTGTCCATGGCACACGATCACTCAGTCCCAACACTCACTCTACATGGTTTTCTGATGGGAACGACTCTCCATATTCACCAAAGTTTTAGACATGGCCCAAGGTCAGCATAGCACATGATTGTTACCCATACTCCAGGAAATCAGCACCTTTTCATGCTGTGGCCAATATCATGGCATGGTGATGTTGTGTGCAAAAACAGTGTACTTGTTCATTGAAATTGGTTTTCGGCTGAGCAATGTGCAATGTGCATCATGGTACACAAACCTTGAAAAAATATCAGTAATCTACTTTAAGTACTCCATAGTCTATAATCTATATACGGACAACACAAGGTAAAACATACCTCTCGTGTTTTGATCCGAACAAATACCTGGGCGACTAGTGCATTGCCGAAAGTCTCCAAACGCAGGCAGTAGCGGCCAATAATGGTCGGCTTCTCTGTGACACTCCAACAGCGCCAAAGCTGACGATAATGGCCAAAGCGTTTCGTGAGGCGCTATACAACATAAAAGGGCAAACATTCAACCATTTACAAGGCTGCAGTAACTGACAACAAACTCATGCAGTGTCCACTGCTACACTCGTGGTTGTAAGTACAATCATGTAGATAGCGTTCAAGGAGAAAATGCATACACAGACACAATCACACGTGTGCATGTACACCCACCCACCCACCCACCCACCCACCCACCACAGGCTCATGGGTCGAATGGTGTCGCATACCATCCTCCACTTTCTGGGGTCCTGGACAAGGCATGTCAGTACAAGCTCTCTTCGAATCAGGGACATTATCCGGCATCCCAATCATCCTCCACTAGCAAACGGACATTCAAGGTGCTACGATTTCTGGCAATCCAAGGCGTCGTCCAGGACAAGAAGCATCATTCCTAAATTCAAACTTTTGAAACTTGAACACTAATCACAAGTAGAAAAGCAAGTGTACCACACACTCATTGCTTGCAAGTAAAATGCAAAGGAATGGTACCTGGGGACCCTTTCCTGGTCTTCTCTGCACGGACAGGGACACCACAGAGGCATGGGGATAGCTGGAAAGCAAAGCTCCAGAAAACGCGACTGTCTTCTGGATACTCACCACCCACCCGCCCACACATCCACCCAATAAGATGAATGACTTACACCACACTCCAACTCAAGAGCGACATCCTTCAACATGTCATACTTCTTGTCACGCCTGAAAAGCAGACCACCACAGCCACAACAGACAAAAGAACATTCCACATGGAGAAAGTTAGGGATACGAGAGAGAGAGAGAGATTTTTAAAAGGAAAGTCAAGCAAAATTTTCTTTTTCTCCATGGATACAGTTAGAGGGTGATGAGAGATAAAGATTCGTGAAAATCCGAGTAACATCGGACAATGGGAAGGCACAGATTAAATTGTTAACCTGCAGCTGGAATCGACACTTTGTATCATTGCCTTCTCATGCGCCGAAATCCACAATCTCTCGTACCAGATTTCCGAAGTACCACTGCATGCCATGAAAACGGACACAACGTTTCAATTAACTCACGCGGCCTGGTGTGCCAGTACGTAGGTGTTCAGTGCATCTTGTAAGAACTTCTCCTGGTCAAAGCCACCCTCGTGATACCACATCTGGTAGCGTCTGAAACGGAAACAAAATGAGAGAAGTAGAGAAGGACTCTCTTATTATAACTTTTTTTTATTTTAATGAATGAACTTTAATGAGGGTGGTGGTGTTCCTACGGATGAGGAAAACTCAGTCTTTACAGGGCACCTTCCTAGCCGTTACATGATTTCTGTGAATACTGTAGATCTTTCAAATTGGCTTGAAAGGAAGGTAGAAAACATCGTGCATGCACACATCCTGTAATTTGTTGCAATGTCGCAGACAGAATATTAATCATACTATTCTCCTACTTCGAAGTACAAGTACGCACATGTACTAGCCACATGTCACATTGTTTGCTGATGTTTGATTGGCTAGTTTACATCTGGCACAACTATAGCAGGGTGGAATTTTGAGATGAACTAGATCAAAGTACAATGCATGCAGTCATGTTGCAAGGTGATATCAATGCACAATGACCTGTATCCTACGATGCACCTGGCAGAGCTACAGAGCAGCAAACATTCCAAGAAAACAGCAGATCAGATTTTCCCTGTGCACTACTACCCCCTTCATTATCATCTCCAATACATGTACTGCCTTTACACATTTTATTCCACTTTCCCTACTCGCTATATACCGTACTCGCGCGATTAGTGCCCCTGGGGCACTATTTTTTCAATGTCCATCACAGATGGGGCAGTATTCAAGAGAGGGCACTATTCAAGAGAGGGCACTATTTGTTCATTGCTGGTACATTTGCGTCATCCAGCATAAAACGAAGAAAAACAGAGCCTAAAGTGTACTGTTAACGCTCACGACTCCACAGAAAAAGGAACAAGACCTGCGATTTTGTTCCTGAAAACACCAGTGCAAAGCAATGGCCAAGAACATTAGCAAAAGAACACCAAACTTGCACAAGACCGGGGGGGGGGGGGGGGGCACTATTCAAGAGAGGGCTTTATTTTTCACTGGCTCTTGGAGACTAGGGCACTATTCAAGAGAGGGCTATAACCGCGCGAGTACGGTATACTGTGGGTTACAGTGAGGGCTGCGTCCCACCCGCCTGTGTGGATTCACAGGAAGTGTGAGTTTCAAAGTCTGAAGAAAATGTTGAACAGTCTCTGCTGGGATGACAGCTCCACCATAGCTCAGTGGTTAGAGCATCACTGGCCTCAAGTGAAGGTCCCTGGTTCGAGTACTGGTGGTGAACGCCCAATTTTGTCTTACGGCTTTTCCCGTTTGCGTATTTTCCCTCGGGCTGGTGGGTGCGGTGTGTTTTGCACTTTTTTTAGTCGAGATCATGTGATTTGGCCAGTATGCCTGTTTGTTCACCGACTCTAAATAAAATAATTAAACAAACCGTTCGGTAGCACTTACGAATTGAGCTTGAGATAGAACCTTGAGAAAATCAGTTTGGCCTGGTCACGCCCCTGCATGAGATGGTGACATAGAGAAACATTTACTTGATCTCGGAGAAACTCAGCATGGCATACTTATTAATTGAATTTAGTTATGCAACTCACTCTTTTGACGTCGACATAATGTTCAAGACACACACACACACACACACACACACACACACACACACACACACACACACACACACACACACACACACACACACACACACACACACACACACACACACACACACACACACACACACACACACACACACACACACACACACACACACACACACACACACACACACACACACACACACAACAAGGTGGATTATCCGTATACCGAGAAATGACAGAACATCTTTTTTTTAAATACATGACTGACTACACATACTACTTGAAAGTAGATTCCTTCTATCCCCCACCATTACGATCATAAACTCTCCCTTCTTATACAACAGGAGAGTTTGTAAAATGTGAAATGAAAACAAATACAATACAACCAAACAGTTGCCACCGGCAATTCCGTGGTTTTTTTTCAGCGGATTACAGTCAACTTTGGGTATAACAACAACTCCGGAGTAACGACCTCGGGTATACCGACACAATCTTCAGACCTACAATGTACTTCAAGCTGCATACTTTCAACAACTCACGAATAGCTACAACACGCGAATAGCTACAACTCACGAATAGCTACAACTCGCGACTAACGACACTTTTCTCATGCACGATCGAGAGTCGTTATTCGCAAGGTTGACTATAGACTGTAGTTGCAGTGCAGGCATCCACAGCTATACCTGCCAGCTTGGCAGCAGTGTAGTGATTCTACGGCACACATCACAGGTATGGGGAGATTGACGATTGTGCGTGCGCATCGCATATTCGACGGTGCTTCGTCTCCAATCGATCCATCTTCCTCCCACACAGTGAGGCCAGAGTATGCATGCAACAAGTGTAAATAAATTTCTCCAGCGTTCATGACCAGCTACTACCCCCTTTTTTGCACAAGACCAGATTTTTTTAATCGAACACCACGAACAGCCCCTTTGATAGTGTCCAAATTCACCACATGTTTCATACTTACTTCTTTCTTCCACACCTTCCAGGCGTCCGCCCACTTCTGATTTGTGCCAGGCATCACATCATAGAGTGCTTGGTCTAAGAGACACAATTGGAAAATTGCAACCGCAATTAAATCTTCACTCCCATAGAAACGCACAAGTACAAGTACAAGTACTAGCATGGTACTAGTACTCAACTTACATGTACCTGTCTTGCAAGTCTACGCATTTTCAGGGCCTTTCAATTTCAGCCGGCGAGGGCCTAAACCCTTCTTGGCCGCAATACCATTCCAGCCTGTACTGCTCCTTCCGGTATGTGCTGCCATACCAAGAGCACACATAACAAAGGGCGCAGCTCTGGAAGAATGAGCCCATTATGAAGCTTTAGTGGGCAAAAAAGAGGGGGGGGGGGGGGGGAGCAATATGCTCAGGTGTGCGTTGTACTCTGGCAATACGGTACACATAGTTGACTCTTTCAGTGATAATTTGATAGCACATTCTCCTTATCTGAACCCATTTGGAAAGGCTGTTGACACGTTTGGATAATCACTACTCTACTGCAGCCGTGCAAACTAAACTGGATACATTAGAGAGGTTCCGGAGTACGATTTTTCGTGCCAAAATCCGTAGAGGCGCTACGGATTATTTATACGTCGTTTTCGAGCAGTGAAATGTTCCGGAGTACGGAACTTATGTGTTTGCCGTCATTGCCTAGGTTACGATCGCAAACACGTCACATTCCCGCGCTATGCCTTTTTATTTTGAAAATTTGTACCGAAATCAAAATTTCCCGCGGAAAATTGATGTTTCTCGTACCAAATTTGTACGCGAAAAATCTTTCTGCACCCGATGACGCAAAATCTCCATACGAAACATGGTTCGTATGAAAGCCAGTCCACACGGATTCTCTGTACCGAAAAATCGTGTGGAGCACGCCTGGAAAAAATCCGTATCGCCCATACGGAGTTTGGCACGGAAAATCGTACCCCGGAACCTCTCTATTAAGGCCATTTTACAGTATCTTACTCATGGAGAAAAAGGATGGTGGACGGTCATTGTCCGTGGGCAACATCTTCGGATGGTACCATCTCCATTTCTCCCAGTCCTTCTCTTGTTCCAGCTTCTCCCACCAACTTCCCTTCTCGTACTTGGGTGGTGCCGGTGCTGGGTCAACAAACTCACCGGAACGTGCTGGCAATGTGGCCACATTCACCATACCACCCTGGCAGACTGCCAGTGCTTTCTCGTAACCAGAGAAGTCCATGCGGAACTTGCCCCATTCCCGGGGTCCAGATTTGTGAATATACAGTCGGTAATAGATGCCATCTGGGTGATAGTTGTCAAACTTATACGGATAATTAGGGTCACTCAATACATCTGCCTTGTTATTCCGTAGCGGCTTGTAGTTATCCACAACTCTCTTGTCCCAGTGGGCGAATGTTCTGCATGGCTGCATCAAACAACAAAAACAAAACCATATTCATGGTAGCATTGTAGAATTGGGCTTACTTCTGTTCACTCCCATTTGGTAGAACCAATCACTTAGTAATTTAAGTTTCCTTGAGTCTGCTCTATACCACTGTTGTACAATATCCATTCGTCATTTTCACTGTAGTACAATTGTGCACATGTTTGTTGTTTTTCTTCGTGTTCCTGTGCATCACATCATTGTTGCCTCCCTGCTATCCCTCCTTCTCTCCTCTCATACAAGCCAGTCAGCATAAGTGAAGCTGTGGATCCATCATCCTGCTAGTACACTTCAACGCAAACATGCAAATAAAAATAAAAATGCGACAAATTTTTAAAAAATTCCGAGCCACCCAAGTTGGATGGTATGCTACTTTGCTGCTTCGAGTTGTATTTGGACTGCATTGTCAAGTCTCGGATTGGTCTCCGCATTAGCCCGCGATAGTCGACATTCTTCGTTGCCGTGTGACTTAGCTTGCACTCATTTTCGCTATGCTCACCTTCCCCTCTTTGGTCTTTCACTAACCATGAGCCTTCCAAGTTGGAAGGCTGTTGGTTTGCGCCTCGGAGACGTGTTGGAGCTAGGTATCATGTCGTTGAATGTTTCAGTACTCTGTCAGTTTGGTGCCTACAATTTGTAATTGTCACCTTTTCTGACCGTTTAAAGGGGAAGTTAAGGCAAAAATTGAAATTTCACCAGTTGTAGTCTTCGGGGTGCTGAGTCGAATGGTCGTGGTCCGAGGAAGCTGAGACGCTCCCTTCCTACTTTAATCCCAATCGAACTCGCGCACTTCCACCGAAACTGGGTGACTGCGCCCTACGAGATGGGGATTTGTATGCAAAATGTCACTAAAAGCGCCATCTCGTTCTTATAAAAGCACGGATGACCGCGATTGGCCCATATGTTGTAGTCTTTTGGACGCTGAGTCGACTGGTTTTGGTCCGAAAAGGCTGCGATGCAGCGTTCCTCCTTTATTCCCAATCGAACATGGTTGAACAAGCGGTCACGTGCTCCTGCGTACACCAGTCACCGTGCCTGCAGGGTACAACTTACTAGCCTGTTTGACCTTTTTTGGATGCACTCCTGTCACTCAAGTTGAACTCGAGTTGAACCTTGGTGTGAAAGTTGTCGCCTGCTGGCGTGGTGACCAGGTGATTTGGGCACCCAGGAGCACGTGACTGCTTGTTCAACCATGTTCGATTGGGAATAAAGGAGGAACGCTGCATCGCAGCCTTTTCGGACCAAAACCAGTCGACTCAGCGTCCAAAAGACTACAACATATGGGCCAATCGCGGTCATCCGTGCTTTTATAAGAACGAAATGGCGCTTTTAGTGACATTTTGCATGCAAATCCCCATCTAGTAGGGCGCAGTCACCCAGTTTCGGTGGAAGTGCGCGAGTTCGATTGGGATTAAAGTAGGAAGGGAGCGTCTCAGCACCCCGAAGACTACAACTGGTTAAATTTTGATTTTTGCCTTAACTTCCCCTTTAAAATATCTAGTTACAGCGGTGGACAGTTGCTCATAACTCGTATCCATGTGTCCCTTCTTCTTTCTACAAATATTCAAATGGTAGCCAATACTTGGAGATGCGAAGTCGTTCGGATCATGGCTAGGCTCAGCGCAAGATGTCCAAGCGAGAAAAGCCCCAAGCCCTCGCAGCCCAGGCATTCTGTTCCACATACGCACTCTTCAAGAATCAATCCACATCCCTTCTGCTTAGAGTTGCACTGTACAATACTGATGTAGTATATACATATAGCTGATGTGAAGCCAGTGCTTCTATACAACACTGTGCGACATATCTGCCCTTGTGTAACTGTGCGACATATCTGCCCTCGTGTAACTGTGTGACATATCTGCCCTCGTGTAACGCTCGCTGCACTTCTCACAGTTAGAGCTGCATCTGACAGTTTTGATGCTTTGAGCCAGTTTGAAAACGCTGTGTTGCTCACTAGACCTCATTGTCATCTATTCCGCCAGTCACTCTGAGCACCAGTCACTCTGAGCGCCAGTGACTCTGAGCGCCAGTGACTCTGAGCTCCAGTCACTCTGAGCGCCAGTCACTCTGAGCGCCAGTCACTCTGAGCGCCAGTCACTCTGAGCGCCAGTGACTCTGAGCGCCAGTGACTCTGAGCTCCAGTGACTCTGAGCGCCAGTGACTCTGAGCGCCAGTGACTCTGAGCGCCAGTGACTCTGAGCGCCAGTGACTCTGAGCGCCAGTGACTCTGAGCGCCAGTGACTCTGAGCGCCAGTGACTCTGAGCGCCAGTGACTCTGAGCTCCAGTGACTCTGAGCGCCAGTGACTCTGAGCGCCAGTGACTCTGAGCGCCAGTGACTCTGAGCGCCAGTGACTCTGAGCGCCAGTGACTCTGAGCGCCAGTGACTCTGAGCGCCAGTGACTCTGAGCGCCAGTGACTCTGAGCGCCAGTGACTCTGAGCGCCAGTCACTCTGAGCGCCAGTGACTCTGAGCTTCGCTGATGAGACCTAACAAGGTGGAAACAGTTAGCTGTCCGGAGATTGATTTATAATTATAATAATGTCTACCAAGTCTGTCGACAGAACTGTTTCATCCTCCGTGGACTCATCAGCGCATAGTTTCCAGCACTTTGAAATGACTAAGACCACGCACACACATGCGTGACAAAACAGGTCTGCCAGCACATCCTGTTATATGAAATACAGAGGATCAGTGTTGCACACGGCAATTGCCGAAAGGCAGGGCTCTCTGGGGTACTGCGTGATGGGTGATGCCTTGCCTTTGGCGTTTCATGGCTTATAATTATAATCTTTCTTATTCGCACTTCGTTTCCTTTGTACATTTGTCATGCAGCTGGAATGGTTACTACTGTTGTGATGCTACACGCCCCTTAGTTTCATTGGCTCTGGTTGGTTGTATTTTACGTGAAGAAAAGGCACGATAACTGATTAGTGAAACGCCCTACGAGTATAAATTTGTCTCCTAGGAAGTTGTTCAATGACCAATACATGTACATCATGTATTCATGAGTTTGAGGGAACAATGCATCATTATTCGTCAGTTAGTTAGACAGACACAAGCACGCCCGTACATCAATATCACTGCACTAACCTGGGAAATCCATTTCGAGAGGGATTTTGAGCTTGGGGCCCAGTACAAGCGACTCAGCATGTCTACTGAGGGCAGTAGCTAAAGTCACCACACGTCTGTGGATCCGCTGAACTTCAGTATGTCCAAGAGTCAGATACAGCAGCAATGAAGATTGAACAACAAGCAAAGTATAGATAAGTTGCAACTGATGAATGGTCACTGATGTGAGAATAATTCGAACAGAGCTGATGAGGTACGATCGATCAACAAGTAGACAACAACTATTATTGACCGCGATATGTGATAATTAATAATTATTTTGCAGGAAATAGTCATACATTTTCGTAAAAATATCACGTGCCTGCATAAAAATATCGATTATTTCACATCATGCATGACATGCATGCAGCTCAGCGCAGGGGAAAACCCTGCGGCGCGCGTGCGGCATGCACAATTTTTTTGTTTCATTTTTCAAACCATGCAGCTTTATTGAACAATCTGTGGTCGTCTCTGCAGATCTGACATGGTTCAAAATCAAAATTTAATCATCAATGGCATCATGCCATTTACCAAAATAATTGCAAGACAGCACAGGTAGATATATTATCTGCTGTGTCTCTTGAGTTATGAACTGTAGGTAGCTGAAACGCATGGTAGTATTACTAGGCCTGGCTTCAAGTACAGCAGCACGCACTGTGCTTGAGTTTCCTCAGTTACTTAGTGTAAGACAGTTGCAGAATTCAACCAATCAATCATCATGTTTCGTCGTGGTATTTCACTGTCATCTACACTTTATCCTCGCGCTGGGTTTTCGTATGTTTCCGAAGAAAAGTCTGCCAACCATTTCAGAGTAAGCAACACAGCAATCATTTGTTTATTAAAATTTTATGATACATGTAGCAACAGCGCAAAGACGAGTAGGCACAAACAAACAAAAAAGCAGGGTAAAAGGCGTAACGAATAACAAAACGTCGCCAACAACTCGCTAGCTTTGTCCCTTGCTTGTGTATTGTTGCAGTACATCATAGTCTTGTTTGGTTTATTTGCACATGCACCTTTTGTCATTCCTTCTATGTGGATGAGGTTATACCTTTTAGGCCCCGGTCACACCGAAACAAGCCACTTTGGGCTTGTTATCGCTGGCGCTCAGCTGGCTTGCATGGTCCCTGTGACGCGGTCACACCAGACCTTGAGTGCAAAGCTTGAATGACTTGTTTTTCTTACCCGCCAAATTTTGAATATCTCGAAACACACCAATGTTTGCAAGAAACCGGAAAGCAGAACGTTCGCGATCTAAAACTGTACTTATTCTAGTGTTCAGTTTTGATGAAGAAGCAAAGGAAGCCCGGATTCTGAATTGCGAAGTCGTGCTCTTTTTATTTGTTCGGTGTGCATAGACGCGATGGTTCGGGTGGTGTTTCCTGATGTCGAGCTTTCTGCCCCGCCGGTTGCCGTTCTTCAACTCAGTTGCAATCCACTCTCTTCTTCGTACCCGGCTTTCTTCATGAATTCGGTCGTGAGTGTGGTGCCTTGTCTTGGCCTCAAACCACAGCTCCAACAATCTGCGCAGTCTAGAGGCACAGCGGCAGAAATCCATGGTCGTCGGACAAAATCCAAATCAAACTGAATACAGTGTAGTTGGATAGACAGACTCATGGTCAAAAACCAAAGGCACAGGGATAGCACGGTTCCACGGACACAAGAAAGAACATCAATATCAGTTCATCATGTCAACTAGCTACATGGTGTGCTCCAAGCGCACTCAAATTATTTTTTGAATTTCGGCTTTCAGCCGCTTGTACAAGCTGTGGCTGAAACAAGCCGAAAAAAACGGCTGAGAGTCGCTTGTAGGACATTTTCAGCCATTTCCATGGTAATAGTGACGTAAACAAGCGCTTTTTTCGGCTGAATCGAGCTCGGTGTGACCGCGGCCTTACCACGTGTACCGTGTTGTTTTTGGCTGCTCTTTTTTTGCACTGTTGCTATCATAATTATCACTACTATAATTGAATTCAGAATGTGCTTGCCAGTTTCTTTCTGCCTGTATTCCAGCTGACGAGCAGGCAATGAATGTATTAGTGGAAACATTTTGAAAATGTTGATTGTGAGGGATCGGAAGCTTGTTCTTTTCCTGAGGGTCATTGTATTTTTGTCTTCGAGATAGCTATCATCACGCTATGTAGTACTGTATTAGAGATGTGTACTTCAAAGTACATTTTCAGGGGATATTCCGCTATGCATTTGGTATGCTCTTTTTTTTTACAAACTTCTCTGCAGGGCCTGTTCCGAGGTGGTCTTGTCCGGCCCGGTAGTTCACCAGGAACAGTTGCCATGATGCCGCTTGGGCAACGGGTCGTTGACAAAGTTATGTGTCTCATTGAGGCACAGATGAGTGGAGTGAACGCACACAAGATCAACTTGCCAATCCTGACAGCTGATTCCATTATGCAAGAGTCTGGTGAGTGGAGGCTTTCCGCTGTCGATGCAGAACAGATATTATTATTATTTCTTTATGTTTTACTAGGGCAGTCCCCACAGAGATATTGCCTTCTTACGGGGCGCCCCAGGAGAGTAAGTATGCTGTCACAGAAAAGAGATTGCGTGGGGGAGGAGCGCAGAGTGGAGGCTTAGAAGCAATATAGCATAAAGTGTGGTCCATATCGGGCCAACACCTTTGGCAGCTCCAACCCAGAGGATGTGCGAACGTGGGTCTGGGGTACTGATTGCGGATTTAACATAGGGAACAGGTGTACATGTACAGCGAGAGGACTCACGGCGTCAGAGTATTATATTCTTCTGGATTAAGGCTGTGAACATAATCTGGAGTACTCAAGAGTGGACTGGATAAATGATAGGTAAAACATGCGCCTAGCTGTATTTCTGAGTCGCGTCCCTGACAGCGGGCCATAACAGAAGTTTGGCACTTGCCTTAGAATGCAGTGCGTCCACATGACATACAGAAGTAGAATAAAGGCAGTCATTTCAGTACAAGTAGTCTATACCAGTCCACGATTATCAACATTGCGGTCCGAATAGGGATGTATTTTCTAAAGCCTAGCAGCGGTGAGGGGAAAGCTTGTGCATGGTGGTACAAATCGAGATATCACTCCTCGTATAGAGTACAGCATAGTAATGGACTTGCCATTTAATTCTCTAACCTTGTCCTCCGGTGGGCAGAGAGCTCATGGAACCTTGAAAAATGTGGTTGCTGTGTACAGGTGGTCTCTTTATCCAGGGTCATGTGACTGAAATTCGTATCCCTTAGTCAATGATGTATTCCTTGGCACCCTGGTTGCTTGCATTCAGGCTGTCTCAATCTTCCTTTGAAGACCCCAAATTTGTTCCACCTGCAGGCTTATTTTCTTCTCTGGGCTCACTTCCTTGTTACACACTGACAGATTGAAGCACATGGCAGCAAGAAAGTCTCTGTAATGCCGGGCTCTTTATACCTGTTGTGCCAACTTGAACACAGCTTGGCTGGGATTGGTTGCGTCCTTGGTGAACAGATTTTGGATTTTCCCATTTGAGCTGGCCGCGTGGAAATCAGGTCTAGGATGCATCTACAACATTTGTTTGGTCCAGAGAAAAGCTCAGAAAACAGTAACAAGCTACAGGAAGAAGCGGTCGTTTACGTCTAATGGGCAAAGATGGGTCTTTATCAGATGGTTCAAACATAATAGAGGTCTCTTGCTCTCGATGCAATTCAATTATAATAGTAATAGAGAGCAGCTGTGACTAACGTGGCCCCTGTTGCTTTTCTCCTTCTCATTTCATTTCCCCAGGACGCTGGGATGAATTTGGCAATTCCTTGTTTCGAGTCAAGGATCACTCCGGTCGATTCAGTTGCTTAGGGCCAGTAAGGGAGTAACTCGTAATTTTTATCTTTGTCTGAATGTTCAATCTACACGAAAAAAAGAGAAATAGGTCCAGTTTGGATTTGTCGTAACTCAAAGTTTCATGCCACTGCAATCATCAGACGACTGCATTGAGCACTTTGCCGGCAATTGCCAAAATTACTCCTTTGTATCTATCTATCTATCCATCCATTCATCCATCCATCCATCTACAGTCGTCCCTCTCTAATCCGGCACTTGTTTATCCAGCACCCTTGCAAACCAGCACACTTTCTGGCAAAACGGATTTTTTCAGTTCATTTTCTACGCTTTAATCCGGCACTTGAATTCCGCCTCCAGCAGCGATTTTCTGCAACAAATCACTCAAACTGTACATAATTCGATTTTCTAATCCAGCAGTTGTACATCGCAGACTGTCATAGACCATTGTAACATACACAACACATGCAACATACACTAGGGAATATCCCATGCCAGTACATAGGATATTCCTAAGTGTATAACTTATAGACATGCATTCCACAAAGTACTTGGTTTGACACAGAAAATCCCTACGTTTTGACGTACGACACAAACATGTATGATAACATGTGGGCCGGGTTGGAGGGCAGGATTTCATAATCCAGCACCCTTGTTTAGGCCAAGTAAAAAAAAAAGCTAGATGATCGTCCCCGTCCGCCCCAGTTTTTGTCAGCGCCCCAAGAAATATTTTATTTTTTAAATCGTGAGTTTTTGCCGAAATCGTTGGTTTTTTACCGATCGCGGATGCAGGAAACATGTGCACGCTTTGTTTAATACTTTCTTTACTATATGGACCACATACTACTAGTATATCACAACGTCAGTATCGATCTGCTGAAGAAAGAAAAAGAAAAAAAGAAAAAAAAAGAAAAAAAGAGAAAAAAACCTTGATGTTGTTGTGTACACTGTGTGCATGAGAGGGTAAAAAGTAAAAAAATAAAAATAAAATCCTCCCGCCCTCCCCGATTTTTCCAAAAAAAAGGACGATCATCTAGTAATTTTTTTTACTCGGCCTTATCCAGCAGATCCAACAAAGACCTATATTCCAGAGCACACACACAGCCACTTTCGCACACCGTTGCTGTCCGCCGTTTCCGGATGTTGGGTCATGTTCTGAGGATGCCCTCAGATGCCCCGCCACAGCAGGCAATGGACAACTACTTCCGTCGAGATGTCACCGGTGTGCGTGGACGCCCGAAATCGAACCTGGCCACGGCAGTCAAGGCAAGCACAGCTGCCAGAGACATGCCACTGAAGACCATGACTGATCTGAGTGGGCTCAGAATGCGCGCTTTGGACAAGCAATCATGGAGGGAACTCTCAGCCTGAGCTGGTTTTGCTCGCGGCTGCAACGCACGGGGTAGTGAACCCAGGACAGAAGCGGACCAGGCATCATGACTTTGCACATCTATCGTTATGCTGCTTCATTACGCGACCTGTTTTATTATTATTATTATATTATCCAGCAGAAAATGCCGTTGCAAAAGGTGCCGGATTAGAGAGGGACGACTGTATCTATCTATCTATCTATCTACACACAGTGAAAGCGGTCCTCACCAAGGAAACATCATCTGTTCCTACTCCAAGTTTCTTAAGTTATCAATCACTATCTATCTATCTGTCTGTCTGTCTGTCTGTCTGTCCGTCCATCCATCCATCCATCCATCCATCCATCCATCTACAAAGGAGTAATTTTGGCAATTGCCGGCAAAGTGCTCAATGCACAAAGTCACGACAAATCCAAACTGGACCTATTCTCTTTTCCGTGTCTATCTATCTAACAAACAAACAATAGGAGGACAGAGAAAGTGTTTTTACTCCGAGTTTCACGCACTAAGCGATCATCAGAAAACAGTAATGAGAAATCTGGATCAGTATTGGTTTATATACTCACAAAGCAAAGTGTAAATAGCTGCAGCATGGCGCAAATCTAAAAGTTGTGAATGGCGGCAGTGCAAAGCGTGAATGACTGCATCATGAGGCAAATCCAAAAGTAAAAGTGTGAATGACAGCAGTGGTGAAAGGTGACAACCACTGGAGCCGGTTGTCTCTTACTTAATTAGGTGATGGCTGTGGATGGTTTGAAGTTCCGAAGGTAGTACCTATTCTCGTGGTGACACTTTGACACAAGCTCACACCTTTTGTTGAGAGAGAGGTGCTTGCGCGATTGCCAATTTTTCCGCCAGGCACAGGTTGCACCTTTTGCTTTTGTTGCTGTAGGCCGCTGCTCTGCGGTGTACCGCCCATTGAATGCTGCATGCCTTCCCTTCATCCTTCTTGGTCCAGACGTACTGCGATAGGCGGGTGTCCTTCTCATGTTGTCTGTGGCGGAATGAGGATTGGTGGTTATAGCAGCGTTGTTTGAATGTTGTTGCTGTTAATCCAGTATACTCCTTCTTCTCCATACCTGCGGTGACTCTTGCCTTATACACGATGCTCTCCGTTAGACACGCTCCGTCCAGTGGACATGAGTCTTTCGCCCGACAGTTACAAGTCCTGGTGTCGTTGTCACCTCCGTTAGCTATCTATCTATCTATCTATCTGTATCTCCATCTCTCCCCCCTCCTACTTTCCCCTCTATCCGAAATCTTCACATGTATTCCTGGGAATACGCTGCATTTCTTTACTTTGAATAACGCCAAGTACGAAAATAATGCTTGGCTGGTTGTACGTGCGTGTTCTTAGACCCACGAGGAAGCAATATCAAACCTGGTTGGTTGCAATGCGAAGCCATCTTATCATGATCTCCCTATCCGCATGTATCAGGTAAGGTTGGACCCACAAATAACATGTTACACCGTACATGTATATTCCGGTGTATAAGCAACACTTCATATTTTCGTACTTCACCCAACAAGAGTCAGTGTGGCCGGCTAACACTACTAAGGTCCAATGAGCCTTGTGTGAAGTTGCATACTGTGTAGGTCGCGTAACTGACAGAACTGCAACAGCAAATTTGCACCATGATGACGCAACTGGGAGTGTAGGACCACGCACATGAAGTATAAAGATTGCACTGCACTGGAATGTTTGAGTTGCGAAGGAAAGGTCTGTTTTCTCTGTTCTAAGTGTTCCCTGGCATGCATTGACCATATGAGGGACACTTATGAGTTGTGCTGTACTAATGGCAACTTGAAAGTACATGTACGAAAAACACCGTTTTACAAACTTCGAGGCTCATAAGGGCCCATAAGCATAACAAAATGCACAAGTATGCCCTATATGAGTATCATTCTGGGGTCTATTCATGCGAGAGATTATTGTTTGCCTATATCCCGTGGTGAGACGGCAGGAAATGTCTTTGGTCATGACCAGTGTACATTGCGGGGAGAGAGAGAGAGAGAGGGGGGGGGGAGTTCATTTGTTTTCTTGTTACACCTTTCGTTGTTAAGTGTGATGACCATTGCATCCTGTATCTGACAGATCGGTGCTAAGTTCCGGGATGAATCTCACACCGGACTTTTGAGGACAAGAGAATTTTTGATGAAAGGTATGGTAGGCAACGTTTGGTTTTAGGTATGCACACATTGTATTCCCCATTGTATTCAGTTTATTAGCCAGGGCCATTACTAGTATGCGTTGTGCCATCATTACATGCACGTTACAACCAATTTTCTGGGTTAGCTGGGACGTTTTCTTGTGACTTTCATCAATGGCTGCCGTCGCTAGTAAGAGCAGTAAATGAAAGCACAATGCACTCTATAGGAGTAGATATGAACATGGAGACAGCCAGAACAATGACACCAGTAGTAGTGCAAGATAATCATGCCATTGAAGCAGAAAATGTGAAAGGTGAGAACTAAAATGTACACTTTATATACATGATTGTACAAGTATGTAAGGGGAGTTCAGTGATTCGCTGCGAACTTTTACATGAAATGAAATCCGGTTCGTGGTTGAGTTGTATAATGCGTGGAAAAAAAAGTAGGTGCAATGACTCGTGAACAAGATCAAAGTTTGGCCATAACAAACATCAATTCTTCGAATCATAATATCATTTCATTGTTCTTTGCCTGTTCCTTTTTGATGTGTGCAGATTTGTACTGCTTTGATATCAACACTGCCAAAGCGGAGGTAACCTTTGGGCAAGTATGCGATGCTTACAACCGCATATTCAGAGCACTTGAGCTTCCTTTTAGGCAAGGTTAGTTTTGGGTTACCAGTAGCCCTTTGTGACCCCAGTGAAAGTATGACAATTTACTGACCTTCAGATGAACCTCACTTTTGCTTGCATCTCTGCCAGACACACGCCGATATTTTTACAAACAAGATTAGTAAGATTAGTACACAATAAAGCATTGGACCAGTGCGTTTTGTTACGCTGACTCTCACGAGCTTGTGCAATATCCAGGCGGCATAGGGGATATTGGTCATCTTGGGCTGTTTAGTGTTCCAATGCAGAATTCCGTCAATTACAGTGACACCTGTCTATGGTGACCGCTCAAGGGACCTTCAAAACGTGGTCTCTGTTACCAGGTGGTCTCCTTATTCGGGGTCATTTGTCTGGAAATAGCATCCCTTAGTCCTGGTTTCTGTGGTCTTTTAGGACAGGTGGTCGCCTTATCCGAGTGGTCGCCTTCACAGGTTTTACTGTAGTATAAATAGATTTGACTCAGTGACCAATCCGGGTCCTGTAAGCAGTCACAGGTCCTGTAGTGAGTCATAGAGTCATGAATGCTCAATGACCAGTCACACAACCCAACAACCAGTCACAGTTTCCACTGGTCCTCAAGACCAGTCACCCGAAGTCTGTCTGCAGGGAATTTGACATTCTGTTCATTACAGACTTCACTGCACTATAATAGTGTAATGCTTCTGCAATCGGTTATCTACAGCAGGTATTCCTTGCAAGGTCAGAACCAATATGGTATTAGTATTTTTGTGTCTCTTTTCCAACAATCCACAAGTGACTACTTTTCAGGGATTTGTGACTCTATGTGACTAGTCATGGGAACAAAGAATCTAAAGAGTAAATAATTTTAAACGAGGAACACAATGGCACCCCCCCCCCCCCCCCCCCCCCCGCTCCACAGGTTCTCTGCTTCGTGTGTCCCTGTGAGCACAGTTTGGTATGTATTGCGCAATGGTCAGCATGTGCACGTGTGTACAACGGGCTGATTGGCTGTGTATGTGTGTGTGTGTGTGTGTGTGTGTGTGTGTGTGTGTGTGTGTGTGTGTGTGTGTGTGTGTGTGTGTGTGTGTGTGTGTGCGTGCGTGTGTCTGTGTGTCTGTGTGTGTGTCTGTGTGTGTCTGTGTCTGTGTGTGTCTGTGTCTGTGTGTAGTGGATGGTGATGTGGGTCTCATGGGTGGCCAACTATCCAGCGAGTTTCAATCCATCTCAGAAGCTGGTCAAGATACTGTATTTCTTTGTTCAACGTAAGTTCTACTATTAGTGTTCTCTACTAGTAGTGTTAGCTAATTCTACACTACCAGTAAGCTATCTTCTTCTTTTTTTAAAGTAACTTCGCACTTTGCTTGAGTAGCCACTGAATAGAGCAGTTGTCAGTTGACACCCCCTTCTTTATGATGTAGTGGTGTGCAGTTCGTAAACGTATAAACGTTTTGAGTGAGGGTAAGTTATAGTGGAGAAATGGTGTTAAAATACACCTGGTAAAATTGCGGTAAATGCACGCCTGCCCACACAATGCCCTCTAAGCTGAAAGGTTCTGGCTGAACTTTGAGGATAAGTTTGTGAGTTATGTACATGTTGTTTGACTGACTTGTGAGTTATGTACATGTTGTTTGACTCACTTGTGAGTTCTGTACATGTTGTTTGACTCACTTGTGAGTTATGTACATGTTGTTTGACTCACTTGTGAGTTCTGTACATGTTGTTTGACTCACTTGTGAGTTCTGTACATGTTGTTTGACTCACTTGTGAGTTATGTACATGTTGTTTGACTCACTTGTGAGTTCTGTACATGTTGTTTGACTCACTTGTGAGTTATGTACATGTTGTTTGACTCACTTGTGAGTTATGTACATGTTGTTTGACTCACTTGTGAGTTATGTACATGTTGTTTGACTGACTTGTGAGTTCTGTACATGTTGTTTGACTCACTTGTGAGTTATGTACATGTTGTTTGACTCACTTGTGAGTTATGTACATGTTGTTTGACTCACTTGTGAGTTATGTACATGTTGTTTGACTCACATGTGAGTTATGTACATGTTGTTTGACTCACTTGTGAGTTATGTACATGTTGTTTGACTCACTTGTGAGTTATGTACATGTTGTTTGACTGACTTGTGAGTTCTGTACATGTTGTTTGACTGACTTGTGAGTTATGTACATGTTGTTTGACTGACTTGTGACTTACGCACGCTGTTGTACTGTAAGTCAACAAATATTCGGCGCATATTTATTTTCAGCTATTTTCAACCTGGGTATTTTTAAATGGAAACCCTTACACACACACCATCTTCAATGCAAGTGGTCTCTTCGCTGCAAGTCGAAATAATTCTTAATCAAATTTTCGGCCAGGAGCCATCATCAGGATTTTTGGCTGAAAATCTGTTGCGGCTGAAATTTTGTTTTGCGAGGTTCAGTGTGACAGTGTATGCAGGCAGCAGCAGTACAGGCTGAATGTGTTTTAGCCCTGGGGGGGGAGGGGGAATTTAAGGGCGCCGAAAATTTGTAGACTTGCATTATGGTTATAATGTTCAGTGTCTGCTCCAGAGCGGGATCAGCCGGGTCAGCGACCCGGTTGGGGGTACTCGGACCCATTTGGAAAAAGAACACCGGGTCACTTGTGACCCGGTTGGGGGGTACTCGGACCCGTTTGGAAAAGGAACACTGGGTCACTTGTGACCCGGTTGGGAATACATATTATACATCAGGGAGTCCTAAAATATTTACGGCTCCCTGATGTACACGCAGTAGCCGCACTTGGACGTACCCGGCTCTGACCCGGTTGGAAGAGTTGTGCCAGATACACGTGTACCCGGTCGGTTTGAAATCCTAAAGCAGACACTGATCTTGTATGTTTCGATGTCTGATGTAACAGTCATATGGCCTAGTGTGTGCGCGAGTATGGCATGGTGTGTGGCGTACATGGTATGTGGTGCATGCAAGAGCACACTTTGTCAGAGGGTGTGCAAACCTGCTTCTGTCCGCATGTGAGTTATTGTCAAGTGAGTGTCACATGCGCGTTTAATGTGTGGAGCATGGCTGAGAGTCTGGTGTCGAAGCGAGAGTGATGGATGATTCGGCCGTGGTCTCGTTGTCTTGGGTTTGGTCAGATGTCTTGTATAATAATTATACTTGTCCCTTGTTGGTTGCCAGTCAGCCCCGCCACTATGTGATGTAGTCCACCTACTGGCAAAGCTTGGGGATAAAATAGTTTAGGATGTGGTAATGCTAGAATTTCAGGCTTGTGTGTGTGTACATGCATTTCATCTTTCAAAGTGGCCATATTGTGTTTCAATTTATACAAAAGAGAAAGGACTGGCGGTGTTAGTGGACAGTATAGCGTAACTTGTAGTTCCTTGGTCCTTTCTCTTTTGTATAAATTAATCCTTGGCTCTCTATCAGAGTCCATATTGTGTTTCGTGTGCATTTTCTTCAGATGTGGAAAAGCATGGAATTCAGAAATGGCAGATAGCCAAGGTATGATAACTTGAAGTAGTGTAAAGTACTGTGAGAGCGCCCCACCACCACGCCCCTCTCGTTGTCATGTTGTGGCGGTGGTGGCCTGTCTGTAAGCCTGTCTGTAGGCCCTATACAACACGTACCTTGAACACACACTGGTCTTTGTGCAATCAATCCTTACTCAGTTTGCAATACAAAAAAACAAAGCATGTGCCTCCAATCCACTCTCTCTCTCTAAGTCTATCTTCCTGACATCTCTCTGAAAAAGGACGATAGTTTCCGAAAAAGGATTGAGCTTGCGCTCTAAGTATATGTACGTCCGTCACGAAAACCTCGCATCACGGAATATTGACATAGGTAAGAAGTGTTACGCTTCATGTCATTCATGTTACAAAGCTCGTGTTTGCGACATCTGTAATAGTATAGCCTACCGGTGCCTTATCTGTGGAATCTACCTTATCTGTACCACTCATTCAGGTGCAACACACCATGCACCCTTGACTTTAACATGTTCTTGATCATTATTTCATTTCTCCTCAGGGCATTGTTCTGACGAGTGCCAAATTGAGGAAAAGAAGACTATAGAGGTAAGCTAGTGCAGTGATCTGCTATTGTGCATATGTGTCATACTCGCCTTGTGCATGTGTGTCATACTCGCCTTGTGCATGTGTGTCATACTCGCCTTGTGCATGTGTGTCATACTCGCCTTGTGCATGTGTGTCATACTCGTATTGTGCATGTGTGTCATACTCGTATTGTGCATGTGTGTCATACGTGTCTGTATGCAGTCCTAGAATGTAGACATAGTTCGGGGGGGGGGGGGGAGGGGGAGGGGTCATCCACCCCGCATTCAAGTGCAAAACTTCAACCGACCGTAACTCTGTCTAATCACGCTCAAATTTAATCGTCCCTTGATTGGCGGACAGCCACCCAGTGAGGAAAGTGGAGTGCCCATCCAATCGTGGTTTTAACTCACCACGCCGGCGTCTAAAGGGCCGGTGATGGGTGATTACCAACCAAGTCGAGCCTTCGTCAGTCTCCTGTCTCGTCTACTTGTTTGTGCTGCCCCGTGCTGCTTTCGTTTTCTTTTTGCGGCGCGGAACTCTTTCTTCGGCTGCCATAGGAGCTGGCGTTTCCTTTTCGCGGCGCGGAACTCTTTCTTCGGCTGCCATAGGAGCTGGCGTTTTCTTTTTGCGGCGCGGAGCTCTTTCTTTGGCTGCCATAGGAGCTGGCGTTTTCTTTTCGCGGCGCGGAGCTCTTTCTTCAGCTGCCATGGGTCTCCTCGATCTAGAATCCCACTGCCGGGAGCAGGTCGCTTCCCCAAAACCATAACACTAAGAGCTGGTCTCTTCTTCACATTCACTGCAAGAGGGGCTGGTCTCTTCTTCACATTCACTGCAAGAATAAGCTGGTCTCCTCCAAAACGTCACTGCACTATGTTTTAAAAGAGCTTGTCTCCTCCAAAAAGTCACTGCACTAAGAGCTTATCTCATGCACAATTTCACCGGACGAGGAGCTGGTCTCTTCCACACCTTCATTGCACTAGGAGCCCGGCTCACACGAATCCACTCTACTAGGAGCTGGGCTCCGACAAATCTTTCGCCTACACCCAAGCCAGGTGGACCAAAGCCGCACCGATAATTTCATCTTGTGATGTTTGAAACAATGAAATAATTATGGGCTATTTGGGCCCAATTTCCCTGCAGATTTCCCGGGGGAGGATCCCTGGACCCTCCATCCATTCATGGACGCACCAATGCTGAATACCTTCCGACGTCCCTGCAAACTTTGACCTATATTGGCAATCATCACGGTTTTGTTCTTGCTTCTTCTTTTTTTCTTTTTTTCTTCTTTCTTTCTTCCTTCTTCCTTTCTTACTTCCTTCGTAACTGCCTAAAAACATCAAGATGGTCTTTTAATGACTTTTATCCAACAATTTTCTGGTGCGAAATATATTCCTCCTTCTCTCTCTCTCTCTCTCTCTCTCTCTCTCTCTCTCTCTCTCTCTCTCTCTCTCTCTCTCTCTCTCTCTCTCTCTCTCTCTCTCTCTCTCTCTCTCTCTCTCTCTCTCTCTCTATCCCTTCCCCCTCCCTCCCTTGCAATAAAAGATCTGTGTTCCTTGCTGCTGTATCTGTTCAGATTGGACATGCTTTTCTTCTCGGCGATCGGTACTCTAAACAATTCAATGCTGTCTATACCTCACCTGAGGATACACAAGAGTAAGAAATGCCGGGAAATCGGGTTCGCGGCTTAGAACTATTGTTGATAGATGCCCTCATGTTATGCCTGTTCTATTGCGACCACCTCATTGTGTTCTATAAATGAAAACCAACAAAGATGTCACAGGGCATGATTTACTCAAACCCACATGCATAGCAAAAAGTGCTACACACGTACACGTTTGTATAGTAGTTTTTCATTTTGAGTAGCAGTTTTCCCAAACTGTTATCTTTCTTCAAATCACTGCCTGAAATCCCATCCACAAATGCTCAGATAAAATTCCGGAGAGCACGGAGCGACGATGCATTCTCGCGGCAAACTCTGCAGTGGATGCCGGTGACATTGGATCATCCAATTGGATGTGTGCTCCGGATGGCAGTCGTGAGTCAGTCAAGTTTCAAGTTCGGCAAGAAGCGTGTGTTCCTAGTTGGAACAATCAACTTCAATTGTACTTCGAAGTATGGGCCACTTTTTAAGTTTTAACCACGATCCACTCCTTGGGGTCTAACTCGCACCTCCATTTCTCCACGGTACTTTTAAAATTGCACCAACATTTTCCTACTGCTACTAGAAAAGAAGGGAGTAATCTACTTGTGAACAAGGCGAGTGTTATTCAAACAGAAAGACAATCTCAGTTGCTTGTGGACTAGTAGTATGTACTAGTAGCTATCATAATATTATTCCTGTCAGCGCGTGCGTGCGTGTGTACTATGATGTACCGCGGTGCAATGCGTACCTACATGAAAGATCAGTGCAGTCTGCAATGTAACATGGCATGTAACATGCTGTCGAAATCGAAAACACAATGTAACATGTAGTCTGTGGACTCCACAATCCGCGCAGTCACCTACGTTTTTGTGTTACTGTCTGAGTCAGTACCGTACCGAGTGCTCAGAACATGCGGGGGACAGGTACACACTTCACGCGACCTTTCAACTGCACTGCGCGGCATGCATCACAGATTTTCGCTCCACAACCCTGACCTTGCGTCGCAAGTAGGCGAATTTGCGTCGCAAACTGCGATGCAATACCGGATAAATCATGCCCTGGATGCTGTAGTCAATCTCTCTGGTTTTGCCCAAGTCTTGGTGTAGGTTTTCTTTGGGATCTACAACATTTATGGTACAACGGAAACCTTGGAAGTGGCTTGTACCTCTCCATGGGCCATTTCTCATCGTAAAGTAGAAAATGCAATACCTGGGTACTGCTTCTCATCATCTTCGAACAAAAGAACTTGATGAACAGAAGGATGCATCATTAGGGCTCCCTGCATACTAGTCTGTGCGTGTATAGGGACAGTGAGGGCTGCGTCCTACCAGCCTGTGCAGTTTCACAGGAAGAGTGAGATTTGAAGTCTGAAGAGAATGCTGAACAGTCTCCGCTGGCAGGATGACTACATCATGGCTTAGCCTTGGAGCATCAGTGGGATATAGGCTATAGCACAGGTCCCTGGTTCTAGTCCTGGTGGTGACGGCCAATTATTTCTTCAGACTTTTCCCTTTTTCACTCTCTCAAGAAGGTCGGTTGCTCACAACACTCGAACTCGCGATTTTCCCGTCCCGTTGTTATAATTATCGCCACAGTCACTAATTCACTCCCTCAAAACTAAAGAAGTTTTTTGGGAATAGTTTCGGCCAAATTTCTTTGCAGCGGTGGTGTAGCCGTGTAGGACTTTGCAGCGTGGCGTGGGACTTTGCAGGGGTGGTGTAGGACTTTGCAGCATGGTGTGGGACTTTGCATCGATGGTGTAGGACTTGACAACTGACGGACAAACCAGTGACCAGTCAAGTCGTCGGAAAACATAAATGACAGGAGTTTTCTGCAAAGCAAGATTTGGAAAGCATGCGTGGGGGAGTGGCGCGCACGATGCGCGTGTATAGCAATGACATCATAATCAGATGCATGATCAGACTAAGTACGAGTGGTAGATGTTCCATGTTCATTAACAGGGCTTAGCGCACACGCTAAACCGCCACTAAAATGAAAATTTCACAACCTGTAGCGAAAAATGCACTGATTCCAATGATGAAGGTCCTAGGTTGACCGGAGCAGCCGTTCTGGAGTTATACCTGCTAGAAGTTTGCACTAAATTTGGTGACATCATGATAACGTCATTAACTTGCCCAGACTATAAGCCGGATTTATGACGTCAGTGAGATAGACTTTGTATGGGAGTAGATGGGGAATTTTCAGTATTTTGGCTCTCCATTGTCCCAAAGAAGTTGGATGTTTTTCAAACTTCGGCATGGGACATATGGCACCCTACCGGTATCCTGACTGGAAAAAATTCTAGTATGAAATTCGTTGTTGCAGAGAAACAAGAAAGAAATTGTTTTTTCCCCATCTACTCCCATACAAAGTTCATCTCTCTGACGTCATAAATCCGGCCTAGTCTGGGCAAGTTATAACGTCATCATGATGTCACCAAATTTAGTGCAAACTTTAAGCGGGTATAACTCGGGAACAGCTGCTCCGATCAACCTGGGACCTTCACCATTGGAATCAGTGCATTGTTCGCTGCAAGCGGTGAAGCATGATTGGTTACAGGACATGAGACTGCTCACAGAGCCATGATTGGTCACTGAGTCCGACGTATTTACTGGTAGTTTTCTGCTCCTACTTTTTCTGCTGTTCCTTCAGGCCATGCGTGATGAGTTGTTATGGTATTGGGATCAGCCGCGTACTAGCTGCCATCATTGAAGCACATTGGTCAGATGAAAAGAACTACTTGGTCTGGCCTAAGGCCTTTGCACCACATTCGATCTCAGTTCTCTCGCTGGGAAAGCCCAGGGTATGTACTTGACTTGAGTGATAAATTTCTTCAGTGCTTTGTTTCCTGTAGTGGTGGCAAATGAAATCCGGTCTTGTGAATAAAGCTCAGCCGCTGCCTTCACTGCACAGTCTAGCGTTCATTGTCCTATGGCAATTCATTCCCAAGCTATTATATTCAGAGAGTTAAGGAACATATTGCTCAAAGGTGCGCTGTTGATAAGCATGGGGACTATTGATAAGCATTGGGGTGACCATGCCCGTATAATAGCCAAACGTGCAAGTATGAATGTGATGGTCAAGGATATCCATGAACTTTTCATGACATGTAGCAATGCTGTGTACAAGTATCAAGAGCTGTGTACAAGTATCAAGAGCTGTGTACAAGTATCAAGAGCTGTGTACAAGTATCAAGAGCTGTGTACAAGTATCAAGAGCTGTGTACAAGTATCAAGAGCTGTGTACAAGTATCAAGAGCTGTGTACAAGTATCAAGAGCTGTGTACAAGTATCAAGAGCTGTGTACAAGTATCAAGAGCTGTGTACAAGTATCAAGAGCTGTGTACAAGTATCAAGAGCTGTGTACAAGTATCAAGAGCTGTGTACAAGTATCAAGAGCTGTGTACAAGTATCAAGAGCTGTGTACAACTACAAGTATCAAGAGCTGTGTACAAGTATCAAGAGCTGTGTACAGGTATCAAGAGCTGTGTACAAGTATCAAGAGCTGTGTACAAGTATCAAGAGCTGTGTACAAGTATCAAGAGCTGTGTACAAGTATCAAGAGCTGTGTACAAGTATCAAGAGCTGTGTACAAGTATCAAGAGCTGTGTACAAGTATCAAGAGCTGTGTACAAGTATCAAGAGCTGTGTACAAGTATCAAGAGCTGTGTACAAGTATCAAGAGCTGTGTACAAGTATCAAGAGCTGTGTACAAGTATCAAGAGCTGTGTACAAGTATCAAGAGCTGTGTACAAGTATCAAGAGCTGTGTACAAGTATCAAGAGCTGTGTACAAGTATCAAGAGCTGTGTACAAGTATCAAGAGCTGTGTACAAGTATCAAGAGCTGTGTACAAGTATCAAGAGCTGTGTACAAGTATCAAGAGCTGTGTACAAGTATCAAGAGCTGTGTTCAAGTATCAAGAGCTGTGTACAAGTATCAAGAGGTCGTAACCAAAAATACAGTACAGTGAAACCTGTCTAAGGCAACCCCTCAAGGGACGAGAAAAAGTGGTCGCCGTGGCTAGGTGGTCTTCTTATCCAGGACCATTCCAGGTTCAGTGGGTCACTTGACCATATCCACATGTGATACATCATTTTGATCAGTGTATCACAGTGCACACACCTATGCTACTCTAGCACGACTCATGTGTCTGGGGTCCTCAGACCTGTCAAGTGTCGTACATGCACCAATGCACATCTACACTTCCTGCACTGATGTGTAGATCTACCATGCATGGTGCACCATGCAATGCATACATTTACATGTACTAGCACTGTGCAACGCGGTCGCGGGTGGGTAGTCGCCGGTCGCGTTGAGCGAGTGGTCGCCTTATCCGAGCTGTTTTGAATGTGAATGCCGTCCGTGACAAGGAAAAGTGGTCGCCATGGTCGAGTGGTCGCCAGATCCGAGTGGTCGCCATTACGGGTTTTACTGTAATTGAACTTGTGTTTTGAGAGAGGTATTGTCCCGTGTAAACAAAATAGAAGTATGTACGTACAAGCACTATGCACAATTATTACGCTCCCTCACCCCGGCGTAGTTGAGCACTGTCTCTGGTTAGCCTAATTTTTTCCCGAAAATTACCTGCTCTCTTGCAAAGCACACTGTGTTCGCAGTTAGACTTAGAGCACTCTGATGTTGATGCTTTGAGCCAGTATAAAAAATGCTTTGGTGTTTACTAGACTTCATTGAGATCAGCTCAGTCAGTCACTCTGAGCTCCGCGTAGGAGATCTAACAAAATTGGAACAGCTAACTGTCCAGAGATTGGAACAGCTAACTGTCCAGAGATTGGAACAGCTAACTGTCCAGAGATTGGAACAGCTGTCCAGAGATTGAGCACTATGCACATACAGTATGCACATACAGTATGCACATACAGTATGCACAATTACATACCAGTAATACTAGTATTGTAGAATGTGTGGATTCACACGAAACGTGAGTTTCGAAGTCTGAAGAAAAAGTTGAACGGTCTCTGCTTGGATGACAGCTATACCATAGCGGTGGTTAGAGCATTGCTGGCCTCAAGCGAAGGTCCCTGGTTCGAGTCCGGGTGGTGACGGTCAATTTTTCTTCGGACTTTTCCCGTTTGCATTTTTCCTCAAACCAATGAATATACTTGTATTAAATGTAGAAACATGAAGAAAGTTACTTGTGCTGTTCGTGGTCAACCGTCCTCTACCGAAGAGTTCTCACCAATAGAGAGCATTTTGATCGTGACATAGAGGAATGGTACTGTGCTGAGTGTAATGTAAAGCATCTATGTTTGCTTTTCTCATGCAGGAAGAACGTCTGGAGAAAGCACGCTCGGTTGCAGAGACACTGTGCCGTAGCCTGTGCACAGCTACCAGCTCTGGCCACTCTCATCTTCAGTGTGGCTCGGATATTCTCTTGGATGACAGACTTTGGTGGCCGGATGGGATGCGGCTAAAAGAGGCAGAGTTGCTTGGCTCGCCTTACTTAGTGGTTGCTGGGAAAAAGGTTAGTTGACTTGCATTACTATACTAGTGGATAGGTAGTGAGAATTAGTGGTGGCCACCTCAACGATAATTATACTTGCTGCCACCTGACTGGCTCACGTCTGCCATCCAGAACACAATAAGTCCATCGAGCCAATAGACACCCTTACGGCCTTAGCAAACAACGGTAACGCTATTTTTTTTACGGTACTCGTACCTTGATCACCCAAATAGCGTTGAAGCTGCAGCGTAAAAACGTTATGGGGGCTGATTTATCGTTGTGACAAACGGTGCGTTCTTTGGCCAAATATTGCGCAGTGCGTACCTATTTCACCTTGTATAGCGTATATGGCGCCATAAATGGTTGTACCGTGCGGAATAAAAGCTATACTCATGGCAACAGCGTACTAAAATTAGCGTGCATCTTGCTAAAGGTCGAACCCAAATCTCGGTATTTTTCCCCTTACGGCAATATCATTACAACATAACGTGTCTTGCTAAGGGTGTCTATTGACTCGACAAACCTGCAAGAAAGTACCACTCCTCATCAGTTGAGCTTGAGTAGGCGGAGGAAGATTGTGCCTAAAGAGCACCACGTTTGTAGTTCTATCCAGGCTTAATTAAATAATAAACATCACCAGAGCTACAAATAGAGGCGCTCGGACACTAGTACTACTGTAGTACTTGCAATGTAGACATATCTTTCGTCTTGCAACTGAAAATGTTTGTAGCGGCATTTATACATACAATGTCATATTGCTGTTCTCCCCTGCACTGATTTCGGTGGGCACAACAAGTGCAATCTAATCCGTGTGCTGAAGACCTGTTGGAGAGCAGCGCCTTTTTAATTTTGTATGCCTTCCAGTCAATTGTGTTGTTGTTCCCAAGCATCTCCACACACGAGTGGAACGAAAGGCTTTGGAAAGTCAGCCACCTGGAAGAAGCTGTCATAAATCAAATCTTTAAACTTTGCCTCGCTCGTGCTTCACACAAATGTCGAGGCAAAGCGGGTTTCTTGAACACCATTGCCTATCCAGGAGCTGACCAGAGATCGATCTTTGGAGCTACTCTCCATTGAGAAGAATGAATTCTGAACTGCAAACAAAGCCAATCCCTCTCACTACAAAAATGCTGAAAGGACACAGTCACTGTATTATAAACTGCCGGTCGTATCTGTACGATGTCAGAGATCTCCAGATAATACACTCAAAGTTTGGTATTTCAAGATAGGCCCAAAACAAGAGCAAAAGGTGGTTTCCACTTTCCAGACCGGAAAAACACATTGTGTCATGACGTCAGTCTGAGTCATGAATATTGTTTTTCTGTACTGTGCCCACCATGTATTTGTGCCGGTGAATCACTGCGGTTTCACTTGTAACACGTATTTTATCCGATTTCTTGAACGTGGAAAATATTGCCACATGAGTTTAGTTCTTGGTAGATTTTTGGAGTGATATTGGAGAAGGAACAGTTTGAACAGATAAATGTTTTGGTTCTTCTTCTTCTTGCCAATCTGAATGGTAGTTCTACTCTTGTTCTCTTTGCCTGGTGATTGTTCTCTTTGCCTGGTGATATATCGCGAGGAATAAAAGAATAATTACAACTTCAATTTACAAGTCATTTCGCGACACATTGGGTGTACGCGCCTGAAAGGAGCGAAATTTGAGGGAAATCCAATTTGTTTGGTTGTTGCAGAGATTTATCCTGCCACTGCTGGTCAAAGTTCACACTTTCATTGCGGGAAGTGTGAACTATGACCAGCGACGCCGCAGCAAGTATGCAATGATTGTGCAAGGCAGTGCACGAGCAAGCATGGTGCACCGCCTCATGTCAACCCTCATAACTACAAATTTCATCTGTGCCTCAGTTTGTACTTGTATGCCGGTTTATATTTCACATACTGTACCAGCGTACTGTCGGGGTGCTGTATAATTATACCTTTAAAAAAAGAAGTATGTTCTGATTGTTCTCTGTGTTGTGTAGAGCAATGAAGGCTTATATGAACTACAACATCAGCCATCAAGAGAGCGCGAGCTTCATTCACTGGATGCCTTGGTGGAACGCTTGCGTGAACTACTGGCCAAGGATCAAGAGTTGCCTCCTGCTACTGCTCCTGCTGATTTGTGAAGGTGTCTGACGCTGCAAGTCAAAAATTGAACTTGATAGCATTATGTACAGCAGCGTTTTCATACGCACTGGGAATCTGTATCACAGAGCACAGTTCCCGTCCAGTGTGGACATGTGTGCGGGACAGGTATGGTGCATGCAGTGTGAACAGTTTAGTACAGAGACTTACTCATCCGGGAACCTAGGCACAGTGCACAAGATTGCACTGATTCTCCTGCACTACTGTCTACTGTACCACCAGTAGTGCCAGTAGTGTTCCTAGTGCTCATTCATTTTCTCATATGAGAATGACTTTCCAATGTCATGGTGTAGACTCAAGTGTATATACATGTACATCAGTTCTGCGGTGCACCGTAATGATGTTGCCAACGTCTTTTTGCTAAACATTGTGTGCAGGCCAAGGTGGGGTGTTGAAAAAGTGCAAAGACTCCACCGTACTCCACTGTGGCCATCCGTTATACCGGTATGAATTTATAATTATAATCATCTCGCACTTCAAAACAGTCTCTGGGCAACACGAAGCATAGAATAAACGCTGATGCTGTAGTGTCTATGGGAACATTTATTGACCTTCATAAATACCCATAATTAGTAACCACGCCATCAACAGTATTAAATTCCAATATTAAACTTGATTTGCTTTGATTCAATGCATCCGATTTACCGGCATTAGCATGACTAGTTTGCCATAACCCCAAAATCTAATCTTTTAGTTAGGGGCTATTTCGGCACCTTTAATGTTATAGCCTTTAGTATAGCATGTTTACACGCTACATTCAATAAAAGGCCGGCTCCACACTACGTTCTTGTGAAACGGCATATCCACACATGAATGTGACATTTTTATTCCCGTAGCTATGCAGAAGACGTTACTTCAGTAACGTCTGGCGCTAGCCAGGGTCCACACAGCTTTAATTTGGTGTTTGTGTGTTTGTTTGTTTGTGTCACGCCTGGCGCTATCCGTATCTGACGGCAAAAAAGCATAGGATGTTATAAATTTTTCAATTCTCCTATTTTTTTTTCAGGCATATCCTGGGATTCGAACCCGCACTATCGCCCTACATGCATTCCCCCATGCACTTCGCATTCATACCCATTCTTCCAAGTTGCTTCACGTTATTATCTTGCGTTTGAAAGCCCTATTTGAATATTGCGGTCAGCTGTATGTGGCCAGCTGTGTTTGATGGTACGGTACGGTACGGGAGACAGTGTCGTATTACCCTCGATCGTACCTGTCCCGTACCTATCCCCTACCGTACCGTGCCATCAAAGACGGCTGGCCACAATGCATATTCAAATAGGGCTTTCAAATGCAAGATCACAATGTGAAACAACTTGGAAGAATTAGTATGTATGCGAAGTGTATCGGGGGATGCATGCAGGGCGCGCGATAGTGCGGGTTCGAATCCCAGGTTATGTCTTAAAGAAAAGGATTTTTTTAAAGAATTTATAACATCCCTATGCTTTTTTTGTCTAGATCATCAAGGCAAAAAAGCATAGCGTAGGGCCCTGAGCTTCCAAGCTCTCTCGTTTGTTATTCAAATTTCAAATGGGTTAGCTACCAATGAATGCCATTTTACTGTTTCCAAAACCGAATTTGGAAGTTGTAGTGTTGCCAGTATCGTATTGTATGGTCCATCTTGTGTACCCGGACCTACCCCGCTGCTTTACACTCGTGGACGTGCGGGGCTTCGTTTTCTCCCTTTTTTTTTAGAACCGTGCTACTTTTGTCAGGCATGAACGGGAGACTCATGATTGAAACACTCCTTCATAGTTCAAGTACAACCTCAGTTGAGAATTATTATCTTGTATTTTAGGCAGAAGCACGTTTTGCCGATTTTGTTGAATGCACACTGCATACTTCAAAGTGCATGCTGCTGGGCCCTCTTTTGAGTGTCACCAAGAGTACATAAACTCTTGGTGTCATTTGAAGCTTGCCGCCTTTTTACCGGATCATGAATAAAATCTGAGCTGTTGCCACGTTAAAAAAAGGCTATCATTCCGTTGCCCTGGCGAGTTTTGAAGTGTGCATGGTCTCATTTTGTCACTCTTTACGTCCTCTCGAGTAGAACCCGGGTTAGGGATCCACCTAACTCTGCGCGGACATAGCTGGACTCAGTTGTACAGGGATGGGCAAAAAGGTGTGCAAAACGACTTTTTGTGAGTAGATGGACCCCGGAAAAATAGTTTGGAGCGAAAAAAGTGAACGCTTCCTCGGAAACCGACGGGGGACCCCCCTTGGGCCGGAAATTAAATCCCGGTATAAGGATCACCCGCACAATGTACATGCCAAGTGACCCCCCCCCGCCGGGCTCCGAAGGATCACCCGCACAATGTACGTGCCAAGTGCCCCCAGGCTCCGATCCCTAATCCCGTAGTAATCCGGTGTGACCCTTAACCCGGGTTCTACTCTACCCATGTATGGACTAACTTCTCTCTCTCTCTCTCTCTCTCTCTCTCTCTCTCTCTCTCTCTCTCTCTCTCTCTCTCTCTCTCTCTCTCTCTCTCCTCTCTTCTTGATCGCACACCACAAACATGACAGACACAGTGTGGGGTTGCTTTGCATGCATTTTTTCACCCAGAAAGTGTGTACAAAAATTTACAAGTCAGTAAAATAGGGTCTATTACGAAGTACACACAACATCAACAGATATGACCAAGAGTACATAAACAAGGGTTTATGTACTCTTGATATGACCTAAATGTGTCAATAAGCTTGCAATGGGAAATCCAGATAGATAATACATCTGAAGCAAGTCACATGCAGAAAAATCAGATTGGTTTAGCAGGTTCCCCAACATATTGGTTTCTGTATGTCGTCAACTCCGGTTCAAAACGGTAGGGTATCTTTGACCGCTTGCCGGCATTGTAGATCATGAGCTCGTAGACTTTATCTTGCTGCTCCATTTCTTTCAACTTGCTGTGCATCGTCATGTGTGAAATAACCACACTAATCAAAGATACTAGCCATGATCATCAGCGGCCTGCCAGCCGTCCCACGACAGGGTGCACCCGTGCATCGGAGCCACAGGGCACTTAACCGGTACGTACTGGCAGTGTCGTGGCTGCCATACCCTTCAAGACAAGTGCAGTGTCCCCTTCACCTGATTCATATAGACTTCTGTGTTGGAAGAAGACTGCAGAACACCCTGCATGGGTGCTCTGTCGTCAACACCCAACATACATTCATGCAGCATGTCCTGCACTTGCAATTTGCCGTCATGAATCTCTACCAGCACTTCTGACGTAGCAAGATGAGTTTCATAGGTACTGAACAGCTAATATTTTACCTGTATGCCATAAGCAGCAACTTCGGACTTGGACTCAAATAACCTTTCATGCATGATAGGTGAGTGAAAAAGAAATACACCTACTGTCAAAATTGCAGTTTCTGACCTTCACCTTTTTGGCTTCAGCCCTGCTACTTTTGACGGTGTAGCAGACTGAATGCATTAATGCCGCCCTAAGGGACAAGCGTAGGGTTGCCACCTGCCGTAGAATATACTCGCTGGCTCTTGGACGTCCTTCAAGTATCCATTGAGGGATATTTTACCACAAATTGACGAATTTCGATCCATGATTGATATTATCTCACAAGGCCGTGGAAGAACACAATTCCGCAAAACGCTGCTGATGCTTACAAACTACAATACGATGGCAACTCACTAGTCTGTCGAACTAACAAAAACACTCTATGGGAAGAATGCAATCGGCCTCGACAATGATAATAATTTTACTCGATTTGTAATGATGCCATACTAGGCCCATAGACCTTCGACAAGAGTGCATAAACAACAACAAAATGTTTATGGACTCTGAATCTGATCTTGCCTTCGCGAATTCGATACGCGTACACGTGTAGGTTATTACGTCAACTCGATTTTTCAGTACTTGTGCATGACTCATGACATGTGCCACGCGCCATGGATACGCAAAATGGCGTCCGAATTTGGATCGACTTGACAGTCGAGTCGTGCATGCATGAATGCCATGAAGGCATGATGCATCGATACAAAAAAATCTGGGCTTGGAATGAAACTACTGTTTTGCTTGCATGGAGCTGCAGTCCAGAAGTAAATCCTGATCTGATCTTTATTATACTACAACGTTTTCAGTGTACGAACCTTCACGATGGGTCGGAAGGAGAAGATTGGCAGGCGGAGGAAGGATAAGTTTTACCACTTAGCCAAAGAAACAGGTGAGTTCTCCTTTTGGATGTGTGGCTGCCTGTACTTCCGCTACTGATTGTTCGATTTATTTTAAAGTTCGTTGTGGACTTGAAAATTTAATTAGAAATTCATTTCATTGATGATGGTGGAACTGTAACAGTTTTAATCCTGAAATGGAGGTTTAGACATTTGGGTTCTTAGAAGCCAGGGCTACTGGTATTTCAACCGGCTTGGTAGAACAAATGCTAGTAAAAGGAATGTTTGAGTGGCTTTGAGAAGTGTGATAAGACACAGGTAGATCAACTGCAAGAGACTCACAAATTTCGTATGGCTCCGCCAGGCATTGCAGCTGCTCACCCATGACCTATGCCTCTTGGCAACGTCCTACGTTTTTTCCCACGAAGAGAATATAGAGCGTACACACGAGCATTAAAAAACAAGAAATCCAGCACTTGAAAAGGTGTAAGTTGACACGCGTCTGTATGTACTTCCATTGACAATGCATGTAATAGCTTGCTGCACTGGTCGCACCTTTACGCCCGTTGCACACACACACTTGCTGCTCCCCTCTGTACTACACTCTCCACTACGGAACTAATTTCGTTGTCACGGCGAGTTTCTGTCGTGATCTGATGACCTTTCATGACCATTTTCGTTACTCAAGCCCAGACCGTCAAGATCTTAAGCTTTTTCGTTATGCGCCACCTCTAGAATGAAACAATAAATCCAATAGACAGAACACGATAAACACAATCAAGGGTTTCAAAAGTACAACAAAAATCGATCACCTGAGCAAGTTACGAAGTCTGAAGAAAATGATGAACGGTCTCTGCTGGGATGACAGCTACACCAGTGGTTACAGCATCGCAGCACCTTAAGGGCGCGCTCACACTGCGACCATGAGCACGCGTCCATGCGTCAGCAAAACGCAGAAACGTGGCAGTCGTGCTCACACTAGGCCTCGTACACACGTAGACGTGAAGTTGTCACACAAACTTTACGAATTGCAGTTCGTATCCAAAAGAGTTCGTGCGTTTCCTAATAAAGTTGTGGCCTGTTTTGGATGTAATTTTTCGCATGTTGCATGTTGGAGGAAGTGCCTCGTGGCTCGTATTCTTGAAGTCGACGAAAATAATTCATACAATCATGTAGGTTTGGACTCTTGAGGGGCTGACATCCAAGCGCTTTCGCTTTCCTGACCTCCTGGTCAGAGCAAGTGGCAGTGCAGTGGAAATTCCGGTAGTGGTTTCTTTCGTCTGTTGCCGAGATGAGAACTGTATTTTCCGATCATATGTACAGTGCGTATCGGTTACAGCGTGGTCGTATACAAGAATATACTGCCTACAAGAATGAACACTCATTTTTTCATAATCATAACACATGTTTTGTGTGTATATTTATTCTTACAAGCAGTATTATCGCATAGTAGAATATATCGGCCCTAAGAATGGATTTTATGCAGCAAAATATGCCAGATTAGTGCAAAGTGTATCGCCTGTAGTAATAACATCTGTGCTCTGTGCATACTCAATACAATGATATTCAACACAAAAAGAGAGTTATGTCCAAGGGAGCATTGGAGAATCACTTTTTCTGTCCAGTCGGACTCTTTCTTCCGACTTCTCTCGTATCTGCTGCTCCGCAGTCTAGTCGCCTAGCACGACCGGTCGACCGTGAGTCTGATCCGTGTGTATCATGTGTATGTATCCACATGCCAAACGTGCGCGCAATGCGCGCATGCGCATATGATTATGTCACACGTGCATTATGATTATGTCACACTTGATTTATCGTGTGTAAGAAATATCGGCAATAAGAATCAAATATCGTTTTTCAAACACCCACGCTATAACCGATACCTACTGTAACTGAAATGTCTTGAGGTACCGGTATGGCATTCCATCATCGCAGAAAAGTAGAGAAAGATGATTTCCCAAACCGAAAAGCCAGGCCAAGCTGCCATCGTATTGAACGAGTACACTGTAGAAATTGGTCACTGACCCGATCAACTGACAACGAAGCAACTACAAAAACAAAATTGACATCGTCCAAAAAGGGCAAAGAATGCATACATGTATATGGCGGTGCGTGCAGGACCACAACTACAAAATAATTAATTTTAAAAATGTGCAAATGTCGAGGATGACATCGACAACCGCCGAGTTTCATGAATCAATACACCGGAATTTGAGAAATTGAACATACTTCAGGCCAGGTTGTACACAAATACGCTTCACGTCTACGATCATGTTGCCGCCAAGTCATGGCACCCCCCTCCGGAGGTCGCGGTCACGATTTGAAACGTGGCCGCGACGTTTTGGTCAAGTTCATGCCGTTGCCATGCAACTTGGCCGCATGGACGCTGGTTTTGGTCGCAGTGTGAGCGCGCCCTAAGCGAAAGTTCCTGGCTCGAGTGCTGGTGTCACAAGTCAATTTTTCTTCAGACTTTTCTCATTTGCATCTTTCCCTCAAACCAGTGAATACATGGGCAAGCACTGCTCATTATTGTTGGCAGCTGGACGTCGATGATCGTGGATGGCAGACGCAGCTGACCAGCCGAGGGCAAGCCCAACCTGTACATGGCAAAGGAAACAGCCGGCGAGAAAGATTCTCTAGGCTTGTCCGATGTGAGAGTAGCAGTCCTGCGGTAGAGGGAAGCTGTTGCCTTGCCGTTGCAGCTGAGGACGGCGAGCAACAAACAATGCATGGTCGACGTACAGAACCTGAGCCTCAGAGCTCCAGCACTGTTTCCGTTTCGTACTTGATGGACAGAAAGAAGCTAGGGAGACGGGTTAAGCACATCATAGGCAATGCCCCGAGGCATGTGAGCAGTGATGTCCCACACCTACCTGTGCCTTATCAGGGGGCGTCGGACACGCTATGGTCACTAAGGTATTGACCGTACCACTCTTCGTGCCCGGTACCCTGTGAAACAATAAAATGCTGTGATGTAGGGTCTAAATTTCGAAATTTTCATAGGAGCCACCCAACTACACAAGTAAATTGTACTTCAAAGTACTTCAGGTGGCTGTCCGTAGATCTACCACCATAAAATACCTTCCGACGCCCCTACTTATGGACAGAAATGTTTAAAAAAAAATCTTGAACATGGAAGATGGTGGTAGGATAGATGCACTCTGTAATTATGGTGTTCATCATGAAACTTAATGTCACTATGCAGTATTAGAGTGTGCACGCTTCAGTTCAACAGATCTGGTGATGAATTCGTTTAGTGTCATGCTGACCATTGCATCCTGCATGAAACTGGATGCCATGAAGGAATCATTCTGTGAACAGTACAGCGTTTGCCGTTGTATTAACAATTTGTTAAATGCCAATGACTCTTTTTCTGTTGATGTGTTGATGATGGGTGTGCTTTGCTCCTTTGCTTGTCTGCACAGGTTATCGAGCTCGTTCTGCCTTCAAGCTAATCCAGCTCAATAGGAAGTTCAACTTCCTTGAGAAGGCTCGAGTATGCCTGGATTTGTGTGCAGCTCCTGGTGGTTGGTAAGATGATTATTCACTTTTCACTGTGAAGAGGCTAGTTCGCCTTTATACGTGCTTTTGTCAGTTGAAATCATTTGAGCCACATATAAGACGTAGGTTCCAGGACAAATTATTTGATTGTACGCCAACCGCAATCCACTATTCTCAGTGGGTTGGCTAGCCCTGGAGGGTTTTTTGTGCAAAGCGTGAAGATAGCAGTGGTTGGATGGCCCGTTGATGTATGGAATTACTAGAGCTGGTTTGGGAGTGTTTACTTGAAGGTGGATGTTTCGAATTGTAATACGTACCAAAAGGCTTTTTGAATGGACGTTGTCCAGGGTATATTCGAAAGATGTGATAGCTTGTTGGATTTTCCGTGCCCCAGCTCATTCTCTTAATCTTCAGCTGAACCTGGTGTGTGTGTGTGTGTGTGTGTGTGTGTGTGTGTGTGTGTGTGTGTGTGTGTGTGTGTGTGTGTGTGCGCGCGCGTGCGTGTGTGTATGTGTGCATGTGTGTGTGTGTGTGTGTGCATGGTGTGTGTGCATGGTGTGTGTGTGTGTGCGTGCGCGCGTGTGTGTGTGTATGTGCGTGTGTGTGCGTGCATGCGTGCGTGCGTGTGTGTGTGTGTGTGTGTGTGTGTGTGTGTGTGTGTGTGTGTGTATGATGCTATGCAGGTGTCAAGTTGCTGTGAAACACATGCCCATCTCCAGTCTTGTCATTGGTAAGTGGCGAGTGTACGTTTGCACAGCCATTGCTGACTGTGCTGGGCGAGTGTACGTCTGCACAGCCATTGCCATTGTGCTGATCCGTGCTACTTTTGTTGAATTGCTGATTGATTTCCATCATTGGCTTTGTGAAATCGGCCGAGGAACATGACTCTGCCTGATCCGTATATCAGTTCAGTCAACCTACCCATATAACAATATCGAAGTGCAGCGTAACTCCATTGTCACCTTGTCATAGTAAATAATTACAGGGCACACACCCGCACTCCATTCTTGGCTACTCAAGCTTCTTCAATTTTTCCTAATTATCTTCCCGGAGGGCACCTTCAGGCTATATTACCCTTGTAACGATATTTCCCTGCCTAGCAATCACTCCATTGACACTTGTATACAATTTTTTAAAACCTTTTTACCCCTATAACAGAGAGGTTCCAGTCTATCCAATCGAGTGCTCAATGCTGAAGGGTAGAGCTAGTTCCACTGTTTTCTGATGATCGCTTAGCGCGTGAAACTCGGAGTAAAAACACTTTTTCATACTCTTATTCTTGTTGCAATATTACCCCTGTGGCAATTTGAAATGGGCTGACCAATGGACATTTTTTTGTTTTTTGTTTGGATGAGGAGGTGACGTTCCTCATGTCTTCTTTACTTCAAACACTTGCGTCTCAACGTAATGACAGTAGTACAGAACAAGACTTGGTGTAGGTTCATTCAATGCCCGCGGCTTGTCGTCAAGCCTAAAGAAACAGCAGCTTGCTGATGACCTTCGGAAATACAAAATTAAAATTTGCAGTTTGCAAGAGACTAAAATAAAGGACGGCTGCGACGAACTAGCTGGTGACTACAGGATATTCTGCTTACCAACGGCGAACAGGCATTATGGGCTTGGGTTCGCTATTCACAAAAGCCTGTTTGAACGTATTCATCGGATATGGTCAGTATCAGACCGAGTAGCCGCGATACAAATCAATTTGTCCAAGAGAAGTACTTTATCTCTCGTCAATGTGTATGCGCCAACGGCAACCCGCGTAGCGGCAGATGATGTCCATCTCGACAAGTTCTACTCAGCGCTCGGAGATTGCCTGGGTTCAGTACGGTCCAGTTCGCTCGTTCTCGTCGCTGGCGACTTCAATGCCAAACTCGGCCAGAGGGATGACTCAGGTGGCTCGTGCACCGGACGGTATGGTCGTGGACGTCGTAACTACAGCGGAGCTATGCTAGCGGATTTCTGCGAGTCGTTTGGTCTCTTTGCATGTAACAACATCCAGCTAAGCATCTGACAACCTGGACAAGTTGGAGGCACAACCCAAACGGTGGTTGCTCTATTCCTATATACAATCAATAGATTTCATCTTGTGTAGCAGCAACCAGAAGCAGATTTTCACAGATGCCCGATCCTATGCTGGGACACTGGTGAAATCAGACCATCGGCTCTTTGTCGCACGCGCCCGTCTGAGCAGGATCTATGGTCTGTGGGCACATAACAACAACAAAAAAAGAACCGCGAAAGCTCAGAAGTTTCAGGTTCATAGATTGAGCGAGCACACCTGCCGGCAAAACTTCCAGTCCCAACTCACCCATCGGATCGCAGTAGACACATCCACACCGGAAGCACACTGGACATCGATCTCATCTTTCATCCAGCGAACGGCAAAGAATACCATTGGACTGGCACAGCCCCCAAGGAAGCAACAGCGTTTCATGGATGATCAGCTACATTCCTGGTCGGAAGAGAAAAAAACGGTTGCGACTGCTGATAACTACAAGTAGGGATCCACAGCAAGTGGCTGATCTGAAGCATCGGCGGAACACCCCCTCACACCGAATCCGGCTGCGAGCAAAGGAACTAGCATCGAATGAGCTGGACGCTCGGGCGAGGGGAAGTAGAAGCAAAGAAAGATACAGCACAGATGTTTCATGCAGTCCATCCACTCCAGCGACAAAAGCAACAGCCTATCACTGTGCATGATGAAACGGGTAGACAAGTAATACAGCCAGTCTCAGTAGCCATCCAAATCACCGACCACTTTTCTAAGCTGTACACACCAGAGCCTGGTGCACTGTTGCTGCGGCGGCCGGGCCTTGCCGACCAGGATTGCGCTATTCAGTACCGCCGGCTTGAGCGGCCCATTTCTGAGGCAGAGGTGACACAGGTAGCTGAAAAGTTGAATAATGGCAGGTCAAGTGGCCCAGATAACATGCCAGGGGAGCTGCTAAAGTACTCACCTGCCCTTGTCTACTCCAATATCGCCCAGGTCCTCAACTCTGCCATCGAGACAGGCCCAGGCGCGTGCACCGGGTCAAAAAAAGGTGGTTTCCTAAAATTTTCGAACGCCATTTTGCAATAAGCTACCTGCAGATTCAGCAGTATTACACGCATTACACACTGAAAGAAAGCTTTAAAAGTTATGGCTGCCAGTCCCACCGGGCCATCAAAACAAATGTGGTACAAAGGCATTTTCCTGACACAGGATAAAGGAATAGGCTAGGGAGGGCCCGAATATGCTTGCAGATATTTTCGCATATTTGGTCCTTTTGACACAAGGTCGCATAAAGTAGCAAACCTAGCATATTGTACCAAATGTAGCATATTTTGCCACAAGTAGCAAAGAATTCGCATAGTTATAGGGTAGATTGCGGGAATGGACAAAGAAACTTACTTACCACGGCACGCTCGGTCAGGGAACACTTCCAAACTTAGCCCGGAAGGAAAAATGCTCATCCAAACAAGGGTCGAAATTGACCCGAGAAGAGAGTGTCCGCGACTCAAGGTCGCATAAAGTAGCAAATCTAGCACATTGTACCAAATGTAGCATATTTTGCTACAAGGAGCAAAGAATTCGCATAATTATCACTGATAACAGTTCATATTTCGAGCATATTTCGGGCATATTTTTCTGCTTTTGTGTGATTTCGAAGCATATTTTGAAGCAAGTGGCCAATATGCGAAAAGCATAATATGCGAAATTTTTAAGCATATTTGGGCCCTCCCTAGAATAGGCTTAGCCGCTAGCCGACGTTATACAAGTAGTTAGAAGTAGTGAAGGACGATTCTTGCTAGTAAGTGAGTCAAAAAAGCAGGTCAATCCATGTCACTGTCTGAGTCTGCAGTGGCACTAGTCTATAGCCCTGGGAAGACACGCACAACCGGAAATTGAGACAATTCGCTAAGATCCATGGTGTTTTGTACATGTAGTATTCATCGTAGAGCGCTCCTTTCTTTTGTAGCTAACCGCTAAAGACCTGTGCCTGACGTCAAACATGTCTACGTCTATGCATGTATGGACTGTCGTGCAATAGAGGAAATATTTATGACAATAAATAATTGCCACCCAAGTGCGGAAGTGAAAATTTGCAATGGGACGTAAAATACCTGTCGAGTGCGTAACTCCACTATTCGACCTTGGATCGACTTCGGATTTGTTGGAGCCGACAGATGAGAACTTTCTAATGCGAATAGACCTTTCGATTACTCAATTCCGTTCAGGGAAAGCCGAGTTACGAAATATTTGAGTGTTTGCAGAATGCACTTCATAGCGCCATTAGCGGATGTAAAAAGGTGGTTTCCGGGCTCCAAGAAAACCACGCGGTGCACGCGCCTGAGGCCTACCCCTGAACAGCATCGGTAGTGGGTCGCTTATTCCGTTACAAAAGCCCAGCAAATCAAGGGGACCAGTCGCTCACCTACGGCCCGTGGTTTTACTCACAGCGCTCAGGAAGATTCTATCATTGATTGTGCTGCGGAGGATCAACAAGGACGTCAACAACTTCGTTGCACACACACAGAGTGGTTTCCGCCCCAGCAGAAGCACCACAGACGTTGTGTGGTCATACCGATGGTTGGCGGCTCGATGCCAACGCTATCGCTGTGCGCTGGATATCCTAGGCATTGATATGTCAAAAGCGTTTGACTGTATAAGCAGGCCACGGCTCATCTCGGTGCTGGGATCGTTCTTGCAGCCGGATGAAATCCGAATGATCAGTTACCTCCTCCAGGACACCGTACTGCGGGTTGTACTCCCATCCACTAAGGGTCCGTCATTCCCCACTCTCCGCGGCACACCCCAAGGTGACTCGTTGTCTCCTGTTCTTTTCATTGTGTACCTTGAGGGTGCGCTGCGTGATGTTCGGCCTCTTCTTCTACCACGTCCCCCTGCCGATATCTCCCTGGGGTTACCAACTGAAACTGCCTACGCCGACGATGTGGATTTCGTGACTACTGATGGTGAGAGGCTGAGGACCCTCCTTCCAACCATATCCAACAAGCTCCTCGAGTGGGATTTGAAAGTGAATGAGACAAAAACAGAGCACACGCACATCGAACGGCACACTGATCGCATCGAGGAGGAGTGGCGAACCACCAAGAAACTCGGGTCCCTATTAGGTGATGCCGAGGATATGGTACGGCGACAGCAACTGGCAACTGTTGCCTTTGGTAAACTCTGGATGCTGTGGATCCGTAGGTCGCTAGTTTCAGAGGATCTCCGCATCCGGCTCTATAATGCCTTTGTACTCCCTGTACTCTGCTACAATTGTGCAACATGGGCACCAACGAAACAGCAGCTGAGCCGTATTGAGGCCTTCCACCGAAAACATCTGAAGGCGCTAATCGGCATTGTGTTCCCGAATCGGATTAGGAACGAGAGGCTCTATGAGCGTACCGGCGCGGTTCCTCTCGGTAGTATCATCTTGAGAGCTAGGTGGAGGCTCTTTGGGCACGTCCTCTGGCTCCCGGCTGACTCCCCACCATCACTGGCCATGGGAGCGTACTTCGCAGAGCCTCGTCCAGCGGGCTGGAGGGGACGACCAAAACACACACTACCAACGCTACTACAAGATGATGCCAAGTGGATTGGACTTTCCTTGTCAAGCAAAGTCGATCTGGAGGCGTTCCGTGCCCTTGCTGCTGACCGAAGCGGTTGGGTGGGCATCTGTGCCCGAGTGGTGTCGGCACCCTAGTTTTTGTCTTCTTTTCGCATATTTCTTCTTTTTTTCTGAAACTGTTGTGGTCTTTTGTATCTATTCGAAGTGGCTTATGCGAAAACTTTTGGCTGGTTTGCATGATTTGCGTGCCCATTAATGCAGCTGCAGGCCATGCTGATGTCTACGCGAACAAGCACATAATAATAATAAATAATAATGGACATTTTCCATTTATATTAGCAGGGGATATGTAGAGTCCACTATCCTAGGAAGTTAAGTGATTCCCTGATGCGGATGTAATCTGCATAGAACATGCAGGCACGTACGTTTGTGAAATTCTATACTTATGTAAAGAGTGTACAATGTACATGTAAGGAAAGGGTTTGCTCCCCACACTGGAGCTCGCGCTTTCCCACCGACTTGACTTGACGACTGCCATCCAGAGCGCACGAGAAGTCCATGGAGCCTTCGGCTCAGCAAACCTGCAAGAAAGCACCACTCTCTGCTCAATACACAGTGCTTCGGAGAATTCACCCCTCATCAGTTGAGCTTGAGTAGGCTTGAGTAGCTTGAGTAACCCTTTCCTAACGAATCATCGCCGAAGTCACCACCACTATTTCGTAGTGTACATGTACTTGTAAAAAAATGAAGAAAAAACCGATGCAGTATGATAATGTACATTTATGAAATGAACCAGTTACCCCTGTATCTCAGTTACCCCTGTTACCCCTGTATCTAACTTATATCACCCTTTATAGAACGATATCTGTTGCTCTGATGCATATAGCGTTCTAAAGGTAGGTCAACTGTATAGCAGTGTTAATATTACTGCCGAGCTTTGCAAATGTCTTTCTTGTTTCTTCTTTTCCTTATTGCCTTGTAGGTGTTGATCTTGTGTCCATCAAACCGATTCATAAGAACGTGAAGTGCTTGCAGGAGGACATCACAACTGACAAATGTCGCAGTGTAAGCAATGCAGTGTCACACACACTCAATGTTCTTTGCTATCATAAGAAGATGATGAGCATATCTGTCTCAGTACAGTAGAGCGTCGACTATCCGAACAATCGATTATCTGGAATGGCTGGGACCTCCCAAAAAATGCACGAAGCAAGACTTGAGTTCACCAGTGCAATCCTGTAGTCTGTAGATCTAAGTGTGCGCTGCTAGCATGCCCGTCTTCAATACATGCTGGATTTACTAGTACATGATCTTGTACGCACTTTTGATGTTGAAAGTTGAAACCATTGTCCATGACCGTCAGTGCATTTGTACTCTCGTGCGTGTATCACATGCATGCATGAGCCCTATGCAGCATATGCATAGATGTGACTCTCTCATTATCCAAACATTCCATTTACACGATCTCCTTCTGAACGGCTTCCCCGAAGGGTTCGGGTAGTCGATGATGCTCTATGGTACCATTGAGCCAGAGGCGTTTGGGCAATTCATGGTGAATGTCAATCATAACACATTGCTACAATCATGTCTTTGCTTTGCTCTTGTACTATGTTGTCCGTGTGCAGGCTATTCGGCGTGAGCTGAAGACATGGAAAGCAGATGTAGTGCTGAACGACGGTGCTCCTAATGTCGGTGCAGCTTGGCTGCAAGATGCGTTCACCCAATCAGAACTGACTCTGGCTGCTCTGAAGTTGGCGTGCGACTTCCTGGTGCCCAACGGTACTTTTGTAACGAAGATTTTCCGCTCAAAAGACTACCAGGCACTTATGGACACATTTAACCAGCTCTTTCGCAAGGTGCATGCCACGAAACCGCAGGCTTCTCGTTTGGAGTCAGCGGAAATCTTCGTTGTTTGTCAAGGCTACAAGGCACCAAAGAAGGTTGACCCAAAGCTTGTAGATCCAAAGGTGGTATTCCAGGACGACAATACTGAGCCAGCCAAGCCAGATATCTTCAACCCACAGGTAAAATTCTAGTGTGTGTGTCTGTGTGTGCGCGCGTGTGGGTGGGTGTGAGTGGGGAGCTTGTGACTTTGTGCAAATGTACAGGCAATGTGTTGATAAGGCTAGAGTGATGGCGGGTCCCCCATTGCTGAACATGTAGAGTGATGGCGGGTCCCCCATTGCTGAACATGGCCAGCTGTATTGTATCCTAGCACAAGTACACATCACATTGTCTTTCTTCTTGTCCTTACGTGAGATGTGTAAGAGCTTTCATCCGAACAAGCTGACTTTGCCATAGCAACATAATATTATCCAATAGTATTGATCGTTTCCCTTCTGGCATGCCATTGCATTTTCTGTCTTTGATGTTCAGAAAAAGGTTGCAGTCGAAGGGTATGAAGAAGGCCTGAGTACGGTGTACCGGGAGTGCAAGGTGTCACAATTTGTCACGGCTAAGGATCATCTTGAGTACCTTGGTGGTGCCAGCAAGGTGAGCAAGTGTTTTCCACATCATCAGCCTATTTCCTATGAAGGACTAATGCTCCTGTCATGACTTTCCTATTACCATAGTAATTGCTTGTGATGTTGTATTGTTTATGGTGTTTTCTGTGCCTGCTGTGTGCTTTCTTTTTGCTTATTCAGCTTCTTTTCGACAGCAAGATATTTGCAAACCATCCGTTGACAACAGACGATATCAAGGAATACTGTGAAGACATCAAGGTGCTGGGGAAGCGCGAGTTGCGGTAAGCTGATCTAGAATTGGTGCTGCGTCCTGTTGTATTTTTCAACTATTATGTTTTGCGTTGTGCTGCATGTTGTGGACTGGTTTGCTAACTTGAAAAGAGTCTTTGTGCACATAACTGTTCGCACGCGTTTTTCTTTCGATGCTACAAAGTCATGATTGGAGGTTACAAAACTACAGTAGCAGCAAGGGTGAAAAAGAGATTACATTGTCGCAATCATGACTTTTGTAGCTTTGTTTGAGCACATATAATACTGTTTATTCACCTGTAAATCACCATTCGATGTAGGTTCACTGATGACCATCGAAAGAAAAACGTTTATGAATCACATTTTATACATTTTTACATGTCATGATTGTTACATGGTATTATGTTACATGCTATTATGTTACATGGTATTATGTTACATGCTATTATGTTACATGCTATTATGTTACATGGTATTATGTTACATGGTATTATGTTACATGGTATTATGTTACATGGTATTATGTTACATGGTATTATGTTACATGGTATTATGTTACATGGTATTATGTTACATGGTATTATGTTACATGGTATTATGTTACATGGTATTATGTTACATGGTATTATGTTACATGGTATTATGTTACATGCTATTATGTTACATGGTATTATGTTACATGGTATTATGTTACATGGTATTATGTTACATGGTGTTATGTTACATGCTATTATGTTACATGCTATTATGTTACATGGTATTATGTTACATGCTATTATGTTACATGCTATTATGTTACATGCTATTATGTTACATGCTATTATGTTACATGCTATTATGTTACATGGTATTATGTGACATGCTATTATGTTACATGCTATTATGTTACATGGTATTATGTTACATGCTATTATGTTACATGCTATTATGTTACATGGTATTATGTTACATGGTATTATGTTACATGGTATTATGTTACATGGTATTATGTTACATGGTATTATGTTACATGGTATTATGTTTCATGGTATTATGTTACATGGTATTATGTTACATGGTATTATGTTACATGGTATTATGTTACATGGTATTATGTTACATGGTATTATGTTACATGGTATTATGTTACATGGTATTATGTTACATGGTATTATGTTGGCATCATTTGTTCTACTATTTGTCGCATTGTTAAAACTCCTTTCTCCGAAACGCCTCTTTGTACAACTGTTGGCATTCAGCATTTTCCCATATTATATAAATATTATTATACTGATGTATTGCCGGATACCTGACCACCAATAGAATAATAGGTGCTGGTCATCTGAACAAGTTAATAAACTGAACACCAGTCACACAACACAGAGAGTTGTCAAGTATGAAATGCGAATGCAACGCACAAATCGTTGAATATGATTCAAATACACAAATTCAGCATGAATTCAGCATGACCTAGGTAAAAACGAAGCATAGCGGTGTCCTGAGCTTGGCAGGTCTCTCGTGTGCGGTGCTGGCCAGTCCCTGAATAAAGCAGAGCCGTGTTTGACACTTCAAGTACACAGTGTTTGTAATTGTAATGCTAGGGCCATGCGCTGCCCAGGCCTGTTTTATTCATTAGACACCCTTAGCAAACAACGGTAACGCTATTTTTTACGGTACTCGTACCTTGATCACCCAAATAGCGTTGAAGCTGCAGCGTATAAACGTTATGGGGGCTGATTTATCGTTGTGACCAACGGCACGTGTTTTCGCCAAATATTGCATAGTCCGTACGTATTTCACCTTGTATCGCGTATAAGAAGCCGTATATGGTGACAAAAATGGTCGTACCGCGCGAAATCAAAGCTATTCTCGTGGCAACAGCGTACTAAAAATAGCGTGCATCTTGCTAAAGGTCGAACCCAAATCACGGTATTTTCCCCCTTACGATAATACCGTTACAACATAACGTTTTTTGCTAAGGGTGTCTATTGGGTGAACTTTACTGGCCAGTGCTGTACTTATAGGCTTCTTTTTAAGTGGTGATGTTTCTGTGGTCTTGTTACTACAGTGGACTGTTGAAATGGCGCTTGGCCATGCGCAAGGTTCTCGAAGAGATTGACAAGGAAGAAGGAGCTGCAGGCGAAGAAGACATGGATGCTCAGGAAAAGTGAGTACATCTCACCTGCACTCGTGTGTGAATATGCTATGAATGTGTGTGTGTGTGTGTGTGTGTGTGTGTGTGTGTGTGTGTGTGTGTGTGTGTGTGTGTGTGTGTGTGTGTGTGTGTGTGTGTGTGTGTGTGTGTGTGTGTGTGTGTGTGTGTGTGTGTGTGTGTGTGTGTGTGTGTGTGTGTGTGTGTGTGTGTGTGTGTGTGTGTGTGTGTGTGTGTGTGTGTGTGTGTGTGTGTGTGTGTGTGTGTGTGTGTGTGTGTGTGTGTGTGTGTGTGTGTGTGTGTGTGTGTGTGTGTGTGTGCATGCGTTCATGTATGATTGGCATTAATTGCTGATGCACATTCCTTTTGACATGAGTTGGTACCCGTGTGTGTATTGTCTAAGCTCTGTGCAATGTATCTGTACCGTATTCCTATTTGCAGACCAGCGGAGAGTGATAGTGAGGCAGATGAAGAGGCAGCTGTAAATGAAGCTTTAGCAGCAGTGAAGGCAGCACAGCGTACCAAGAAGAAGCGGTAGGTTTTCCTATGCATGTGCTGTACTTGGCCCGGTTGAAATGATGTAAGATTCCGGTTTATCGATAACCTGCAAGCTGTAACCGTTGGGCTCCACATAAAAGGTGACCATGGTATTCTGAACCCCACTGACCATGTCCTTTGCTGCACTGGCAATGGGGCAGCACCATCGGCTGCTTGTGCCATGCTGTGTCCAGTGTCCACAATAACCAAAGCACTCATATTCACATGGACACATGCGTGCATACACACGCACGCATGCGCGTGCACATACTAGGCAATAGTGTGACCCGTTGCTGGTAGGCTATACCTTCTTAGTATTGGCAGGATTGTGTAATTTCTCACTGGAGCCTTTGTTTGTATTCCTATCATATATCGGGTTGTTTGCTATGTTTCTGCTGTGTACCGCCGCCAGTGAGCATCGTGACATGATGAAGCAGAAGAAGAAGATGGAGAAGGAGATAAATTTGAAAATGAGACATGTTGGAGACACACCGACCACCTCTGACGACCAGAACCTGTTTAACCTGCGATCCCTGCGCAGTTCGGCAGTGAGTTGACTAGTAACCCTTTACGGTCAGAACTCAATATATACCGGTACAGATAATTGCACCGTAAAATGTTTACCTTGAATTGGATGTATCTTTGGTTTCCTTGGATAATTGGGCATCCTGGAAAGCTCGTGATGAGAGAAACACTATGAGCCCAGGAGAGCTCAAGTGCTGTACTCTTCATCATTGAACTGAAAAAGCGTTGTACTCTGAAAACAGAAACCCAATGCATTGGTTAGCATACATTTGTGTTCATCAGGTGCCATCCTGGGGTACCAATTGTTGGATTTTTCTAAACGAAAAGTTGTTTGAGCCCCACTCACCCTTTCTGCATGGGTGTGTGGGGGGGGGGGGGGGTATTTATGCATGTGGAGAAGTCGATCCGACTGACTGGCTCTCATGCTAGGTGTAAAATTGATTTTTTGTCCACTGCTAGTGTTTGCTGTGTTGTAAGGTAGACATGGCCAGGTCACATGACTGTCATGTATACACACTATGTGACTGTGTACGGGTACTATGACTGTGTTCTATGGGGCATGATGCTTCAACCTATGTAGGTGCTGGACACGTTCACAGGCAAGAATGTTGTGGAAGATCAGCCAGAGAATGAGGCCAACTTTGTGCCCGGTGAAGATGTAGACGAGGGCATGGATAGTGATGATGCTGGCAGCGCTCGCAATACCGGACTAGCTGATAGTGATAGTGATGATGATGAGTGGGTGGATCAGACAGAGCAAGCGCAGGCGTTTGCACTGGGCGACGTTCACGACTCTGATGACGACAAGTCGCTACATCAGCTGGCTGAAGAGAATGAACAGGACGACGATGATGAGGAAGGCGGCGAACTTCAGTGGGAGAGTGAAGATGATGGTAGGTCACGTTAGGTGTAATGGGTGGTTGTGTCTCGCTTTCTCATTTAGCAAAGCCTCATACTATAAAGTACTGCGAGAATGGCCGGTCTCACAAGAGCGTCTCACCTCGATTTACGACCCGAGAAAGGAATACTGTTACTGTTGACCATTTATGCTCAAGTGCGACTGAGATTGTACGGCTATGTGCCAGCAAACTCATTGAGTGCACGCGGATCAATGTGTGTGCGTCTCTGTCTCTCTGTCTCTCTCTCTCTGTCTCTCTCACACACACACACACACACACACACACACTCACTCACTCACTCTCTCTCTCTCACACACGCACACACACACACACACACACACACGCACACACTACCTACTTCATGTAATGATCGTGTGAGGTTTTTTTCTTTCCTTTGTAGAGAATCCACTCGTTGTCAGTATGGAAGAGAAAGATGAGAATTCCCAGACATCCCGTTGGTTTAGTGATGTAAGTACTGGTTTTATCTTCAGAGATTTCTCCTTCTCAAACCACTTCATCCATCAAAAAGACAAAGGTATACTGCGTATAGCATTCACAGTTTGTAGGTGTGTGGTTCCACCTCAGGCGTCGTGCCCATCACCCGGCAACTGGTGGCTCAAAACAGGTGATCTGAACATCACGTGAGCGACAGGCGAAGGGGAGAAAGCATTAGCACAAACTGTGCATACTTTGAAGTTCGAACTATATGTATCAAACAATCAGGCCACGAGCTGGGTGCCACTTTGCAGCACCTCACACAAATGTAATTACATAGTGCAGTTCGAGGGGAAGTAGGAAATGCATGACCGATGGGGACAGGTGCTAGAAACCACACAATAAACAAACAGGAGACAGGTGCCATGACCACTGTACTATTTTCATGTGATCCTGGAGGCAAACACTCGTATTACAGAGATAGAACTTGGTTTCATGACACTTTGACACGAGCTCTGACCTCTTGTTTAGGGATCGAGTTTCATTGGCCCAGGTGATCTCCAGCTTCCTGTCCGCACAAAGATTGCATACAGCTGCTGTTGTTGTTTACTAGGCGTTCATCTGTGTTGGTGTGTTTGTTTGTGTGGTTTCTACATTGCCAATTCAGGCAGCGTTTGCAGAAGTGGAAATGCAGGATGATGATGACTTTGTCACCACCAACAAAAGTGACCCTGCTGCTCAAGACAAAAAGAAGAAGAAAAAGAGTAAAAAGGAGCAAGACACAACCGCCACAAGCAAAACCACGGACAAGAAAGAAGTAAAAAAGAAGGAGAAGAAGAAAGCAGAAAAGGTGCAGGTACAGAAGAAAGAGCCCATCGTCGATACTGATGATGATAGTGACGATGACGACGATGATGAGGATGGTGATGATTTTGGAAGAGAAAACCAAGAAGTGGGTGTTGCAACCGAGAATGGAAAGAAAAAGCAAGGCCAGAATCCGTTTGAGCGAATAGGTAAGTTTATATGTGCACTACATTTACAGCGTGTTGATTGCCAGGGATTTTGCATCATGCCGGGGGGGCTTGCATTTTAAGTTCGATGTGTGCATGTACCGGTACCTATTTTGACCAGAAATCTGCCTCACGGGCGTTTGTTTAGTGTCACGTTTGTTCCAAGAAATGACTGCAGCTGCCACCTTTAGCAGCACTTTGGACCAGCACTGCAAACGGTTGAATTCTCTGTGCACGTATTCAGTTGATTGAAGTGTGGGGTAGCCAGGTGAGAAACTTGCAGGTCAGCTGGAAATCATCTTGTAGACTCTAAATTCACCCCTAGTTGGTACTGTGAATATGACCATCGTATACATGTCTTTACTTCCTGGCGCTGCTGCTGCTGCTGTCTTGGATTTTAGATTCGAAAAAGAAGCAGCTGAGTGCTGCTCAGCTAGCCCTTGGCAGCCTGATGCTGAACTCACGGAAGAACAAAGAAACGATAGAAGATATGGCGTACAACAGGCAAGTGCTATGTCGCATGTGATATGCTTTTCCATTGCCATGTCACTATGCAATATGCTGTGCAGTGTGCTGTGCTGTGCTGTGTGCTGTGCAGTGTGCTGTGCTATGCAGTGTGCTGTGCTGTGCAGTGTAATGTGCAGTGCGCGGGTGCTGTGGAAACCGGCATAATTAAAGTGTTATTGTTTTCAGCACCATGGTCACAACACTTTTTCTTGGTATCATCGTTAGCTGGGAAGACATTCATGTGGTATTGGTAAATCATCTGATACTGGATACATTCGTACATGTATTCACCTTGCCTTGTCTTGCGCTATGAACTGTGTTATGTGCTCAGGTATTCATACAGTGATGAAGGTCTGCCAGCATGGTTTGTGGAAAATGAGACGAAGCATGTGAAGCGACAGATGCCTATTACCAAGGTGAGACATGGAGAGATTGTGTGTGTGAGACAGAGACAGAGAGAGAGTTATGTGCTCTGCCCTTGTACAAGGCTGGCTGCGTTTCTCGACCTTCACGGGGACTTTGATGCTTCTTGTTGTTCACTAGAGCTCACTGCAGTCTGTTCAGCAGCTCTCTGTGCCTATGTGCTCCGCTGATGAGACCTAACAAGGTTGAAGCAGCTAGCTGCCGGGACATCAAGTAGTAGTGGTTTGAATTTCCTTTGTAATGCTGTAGTCATGACTTGATGCCGGAAGCTTTACCGGCTAACAAGAGGCATGATTCAGTAGCCAATGGCAGTTCTAAATTTCTAATTTTCAGCATGATCGGCATAAGCTACTTTTTGTAGAAGTTGATATGCCATATGCACCCCTCTCCTATAGCGTGTGCTATGCTGTGTATAACCTTCTCCTATACCACCTACCTATTGTGCTTGTACAGCTTGTACAGCTGGTCTCTGGAGTATTGAGAGTCTCATTCTCAACTAAAGTAAAATACTTTCTTTTGTTGTTGATGGATTTTGTGTTGCACTGTAGGAAATGGTCAATGAGTACAAGGCTAGAATTCGGGAGATCAATTCTCGTCCTGTGAAGAAGATTGCTGAGGCCAAGGCTCGCAAGAAGCGCAAGGTCAGTTCTATGGCCCTATGGGTCCTTAGGTGACACACCACCAAAATTCTCACTTGGACATAGTCACAGATAAAGGTCTACGAACAGCATACAGGAAGGAGCCATGAAACTGACATCCACGAAGTAGTCAAGCTCAGAGACTCTCTGATCGCGCATGCACATTAAAGTGGGAAAATTTGAAAATTTGGTTTGTAGCAAGATTCACGTATATCTGCATGTACTTGTATGTGGGTTATTGCAGTACTCCGTAGGTCGTATTCATGGTGGTGGTCTGGGTGGTGGTGGTGGTGGTGGTGGTGGTGGTGGTGGTGGTATGCTTTGTGCATTGTTCACTTGCTGCCTGTATGTGTATTGACATGTACACATTGTACCTTCAGAGAAAGAACTCCCACCCGCCGATTTACTTCATGTACTGTAGCAGAATATACAGGCCGAGTTCACTTCGATTATGGTCTGACTGGTGATGTGTTGAATTTAGGCTTTCAGCTTTCTCAGCCAATACGTCATGAGCTGCTGTAGTACAACCTTGCCTCTATTGCGCATATCATAACCTGACCAGTATCACTCCTCATGTTTATCTCCTGCAGGCTATACGGCGGGTAGAGAAGATCAAGAAGCAGGCCACGGCCATTGATCAGCAAGATTCGTCATCAGCAGAAAAAGCCAAGGAACTCAAGAGGTAGGGTAGTGTTCTTTTCTTTAACCGTCAAGTCTCAAGAATGAAATTGAAGGAAATAAATACTGTTAATATACACCACTGTAGAGAAATAAATACTGTTAAAATATATACTCCTTTTTAGGATTCAGAAGAGGGACTTAGAAATTTTCTCTCCACTTCAAAAAGAAAATTGAAAGAAAGAAGACAAAGGAAGAGAACAAGCAGGATTCGAACCCACAACAGTATGAATCTCAAGCAACCCCTTATACTACCCAGTCACTGTGCTGCAGATGCTGAACCCTGTTGTTCTTACATATACTATACCATATGCAGACATTGTACAGGTAGGATACTCACCTTGAACTCCAGCAAAATACCAGTGACCTCATGTTTCTGGTATAGGTCTCTCTCAACTTTCTCGGCGTGGACCTTGTCCATGTTTTTTCCGGCTCGCTCTGCCCGTCATCACTTCATCATCATGTGTTGTCTGTGTGCTCTGGTTTGCTGTTGCTTCTTACAGAGTGTACATGAAACTTGGAATGGCCAATAAGCAGAAACAAAAGACTACTTATGTTGTTGCGAAAAAATCCGGAGGTGAGTAGGCAACGAAATGTATTTCTTTGTTAGCTTCTCTTCCCACTCTGTTCTGTTGAAACTCTCCTCTGGATTTCCTGGGGAAGAGCAGCACTGTCTTTTTATCTTTTTTCGAGAGTGTCTTCGTATGCTCTCTCTCTCTCTCTCTCTCTCTCTCTCTCTCTCTCTCTCTCTCTCTCTCTCTCTCTCTCTCTCTCTCTCTCTCTCTCTCTCTCAACAACAACAACGGGATGTCATCTCTCTCATGAGCTCTGTGGCGTGTTGAATAGGGCTTGAAAGTACTCCGTCACTACCATGGCAATTCTGATTTCTGCATGCTACTTGGATTCAGTTTTTTACTTTGTATGGATGCATTCATGTTTGAAGCAGTCTCGCTCACAGCTGGACTGGCCCTGGGAGTTTGGGGGGGGGGGGGGCACTGCTGGTAAAGAAAGCACTGACATCAACAGGGTCATGCACCTACTGTAAAACCGGGAATTTTTGGTGGGATAATATTTTCGGTATTTCCCAGAATCAACGGTTTGGTAGTGCCACAATTTCGGTAAACCAGTTTTCCATATCCAAAAATGCATTTGCACACTGTGTAGCATGGCATTGTTGAATTTTAGGTGGCGTTTTATTTTAGGTAAAAATTACCTGTACCGAAGTTACCGAAAATAAATCTCCACCGAAATTTTCCGTTTTATAGTACCAAACAAGAGCTACCGTAAAAGTGGGACCTTTCTATGCAGAACCATGGACATCCCCGAGCACCTGCTGGAGCCACTTGAAGGTGCCATTAGAACTAAACTGATTCCAGCGTTGACCTGCCGCTCACCTCCTGGTGGGGATCTCCGGCGCGTGTTCGCTCTCCCGTGTCGTTTGGGCGGCTTGGGTATCACGAGCCCTATGTCCTTGTGTGGGCAATACAACTCGTCAGTTCGCATTACCGAGTCTCTCACCAGCAGGATTCTGTCTGGTGACACTGCACTTGACGATTGCTTAACTAAGATGCGCAAGATGAAGGCAGAAGTCAAGGCAGAGTCCCGTCAAGCGCAGGCAGCGGCAATGGAGGACGTGGTCCAGAATGCATCCGCGAGTCTGCGTAATGTCATCGATATCGCTAGAGAGAAGGGTTCATCTAGCTGGTTAACATGTCGTCCGCTGAAGAAGTACGGTTTCAGCCTCACGAAGCAAGAGTTCTGGGACGGCCTGTGTCTCCGCTATGGATGGACGCCGGCGAGAATACCGACTCATTGTTCATGTGGCCAAGAGGTGAGCGTTTCTCACTCACTATCCTGTCCTCATGGAGGATTTCCCACCATACGACACAATGCCATTCGTGACACTACCGCACAGCTCCTACACCAAGTCTGTAGCAATGTGTCCACGGAGCCTACGCTGCAGCCACTGACCGGTGAGCGATTGCAATACCGAACGGCCAACGTGGAGGATCATGCACGCCTTGATGTCGCTGCCAGTGGTTTGTGGGGCAGTCGATTTGAGCGAACCCTTATTGATGTCCGGGTTTTTAATCCTTATGCTCGCTCAAATCAGTCTGCACCACGTACCACTGTGTATCATCGACATGAAAGAGAGAAACGAAGGCACTACGAAGAGAGAGTGAGACAAGTGGAGCATGCCACTTTTGTTCCGGCTGTGATGTCTGCGAGTGGAGGCATGGGCAAGGCAGCAACGGCCCTCTACAAACGAGTGGCCTCTCTGTTGGCGGCGAAAAGAGGGGAGCAGTATTCTCATGTGATGGCTTTCGTCAGGTGCAGGATCGCTTTTTCCCTCTTGCGGTCCTGCATCATGTGCCTCCGTGGGTGCAGAAGGCTCTCTAGCCAGCCTGCCTTGGCTGTGGGTGATACCTCTGCTGCACTGGCAGTGGTGGAGGCCCGGGTACCGGCTTAGCGTGCACGAGCGGTAACAGTGACTGGAATATTGACTTGAAGTTGAACTTGCTGCTGTTTACCTAAGTAGGTATACATTATTATGCTGTTTTTTTGCGTGTTTTTTCGTTTTTTTCTTTTTAGAACTTTGAGTTGAAGTTTTTGGAACACTTGGCAAAAAATATTCATTGTGTTTATTTTGCCCGTAAAAGAGGCTGTTGTTGGTAAAAGTCCGTAAATAAGTACGTATTTACTTTCGAATTTCGTGACCACACCCGTACTAACTTTCGGGTGGGTACTGACTTTCGGGCATGAACTAACTTTCAGACCTGACTTGTGTGTAGTGGAGAAGTCATTTTCATGTAGATGTACATGCTACAGGGTGCCTGTGCGCATCGTACCGGTACTTATTTCGGGCAGTATGTTTATCGGGCTTGACTTGACCTCAACAGACAGAGCCAAAAGAATGAAGGGAGTATTTCTTTCGGGCAGGTATTTATTCACGGACCTTTACGGTACTGAGATTGGATTGAAAAGTAGCAATCCTGCATGAAATTACTGGGAACCAGTTGTGTTTGATGTCATCGCTATCAAGTATGTTGCTGACATAATTATTATTATGATCAAGTGTCCTAATCTTTTCGTCTCTCATGTTATTCTTTCTGCACCTGTGTTTCTTGCCATGTGCTTTATTGAACCTTCAGCTACCAAGCAAGCGAAACGGCCTGATGGTGTCAAGGGCAAGTACAAGGTGGTAGACCCTCGAATGAAGAAAGATCTCGGTCGAACAAAGTCAAAAGGCAGAGGCAAGGCTGGTAAAGGTGGCAAGGCCGGCAAAGGCGCTAAAGGTGGCAAAGCGGGTAAAGCTGGTAAAGGTGGCAGCAAAGGCGGTGGCAAGAGACGGTAGACTAGGAGTATAGTGCAAAGACGATGAGCACAATACTCTGCAGATCTCAGCTGTCTTTTCCCTGTGACACTGGCCCTTGTATATGTATCTGTATATAGAAATGGACTACCCCATCAGATGAAATAATTAATTTTCTTTGTTTATGTTTGCCCAGCCATGTCCCATTTTGTACATACTTTCCATGGCATGTGGCAGTGCAAACAAGACCAAGATGAGTCCATGAACATTGTACATACCAATTTTAGAAAGGCATTCTGCTATTTAGTTAGATGTACTGTACCCTTTCCAGTGATTTGTATAGCGAAAATAATAGTGATGTCTTGAGGATGTCAAGAAGTGAACTCATGCTTTGCATTGTACTGTGGTCAGGCTGGCTGGCAGGTTTGTGTGCGCATGTGTGCGCGTGTGTGTGTGTGTGTGTGTGTGTGTGTGTGTGTGTGTGTCTCCCATTTCACTTCAAGGTACCAGTGCATCTAGTGTCTGCTTCTATCAAAGCAGTGTGCTGTCTATACTGGTTACTCCAGCAAGTGTAGGGTGTGCATAGGTAACTGTCTTGGCCTTTTTATGCTGATGTACTCCGTGTGGTGTAGACCAGGCAGGGCCGGCGCCACTGGTACCAACTTCCCAAAAAGAAAGTCCACGTGGAACGTCTAAAACCGGGGAGAAAAAGTTTCGATGTATGATTTTGTACAGGGAGTTGCCGTCTAAATTCCAAAAACTTCTGGGGGAGGATCCCCTTAAAGATGGCCCTTCGGTCGCTCCGCTGAAGCTGCCTCTGGCCCTGCCAGGTGTGCATTGGTGAGCAATTCACATGGCTTTGCCAGTTGTGTGGATTAGACAGTTATCTGGCGCAAAGTCTTGATCTGTCTCATTCAGATCTTGTTCGTTATCGTTGCTATACGAGAAAATCTGTGGGTGCACATCCAGTGTATTTGCAGATTTGCGTGCTTCTCTTGCGACGGGTGTATACATGGTACATGGTGTGTGTGTGTGTGTGTGTGTGTGTGTGTGTGTGTGTGTGTGTGTGTGTGTGGTGTGTGGTGTGTGGTGTGTGGCGTGTGTGTAAAAAAATGAAAAAATGAAAAATAGGGATTCACTGGCCAGAAAAAGCCACTTCAATCAGCTGTTTGGTGGATACCAGGCTAGAAAATAGTGGCGGTCAATTCACCAGCCTTGCAAGCTGTTGAATGGTGTAATCCCAGCACAAGTAACTAGTTGCTATGTCTAACATAGCTGTTCGCTATCATCGCTTCCGCGTCATTCGCGATGGGCATGTCTGAGGTGTGTGTGTGTGTGTGTGTGTGTGCGTGAGTGCGTGCGTGCGTGCGTGCTTCCCTTGCGCGTGCGACGGGCGTATTACTACTTTTAGTCCATGCTAGGTCTATGGTGAGTGTAACCTGGTAAAAGTAACACCTTTCCTTTTCACACTTCCTTCTCACCTCGCGGCGCCCTAGCTACTCTTATCATTGGACAGTGTTATCTTTTTCTTCTATCACTTCGCTGCTACTTCTCACACCATTGGCTAGGGTTCTCTCTTATAACCTCTTGCTAGCTGACCAACAAGTGTACTATTCTTCAGCCATATTTTACACTGGTAGCAGACGGGATGGTTTTGTTCAGCTCAATCTGGATGCTGCTCATCGTCTTGGCCTTGAATGCATGAAGGCTTGGGTTGGTCTACTAGTACTCCACTTGCTGTGCTGATTTACCCTGCTGTTCTGGAGATTCGAAGACAAGCTTCTCGCAAGCCTTTCATCATCTGCAACCGGACTTGCGACTCCTCGGCTCTAGCCTAGGAAACTGCCCGGAGTCGCTCTCAACCAGAATCGTCTCTTCTCCAATGATCCTCCGTTGTTTGAACTTTGGCGATGGGAGTCGATTCAAGGAGTGACCGTCCTTTGCAATTACATTGCCACTCGCGTCTTTGGAAGTACATCCAGAGCGAGAAGTGGACTATGCCGCTAGTTTCATTGGCGGCAACGCTCGGCTTTCAAGTTTGGCTGGTCTCTTCTCGGGAAGATGGCGAGACATTCACCGACTCACTGGCCTTCGCTGAGACGCACTGGCCAAGGTGTATTCAAGGGATTGGGAAGGCCTAGAAGGCTTAGGCTAGATGTCGAGGACCCTGGGTCTTGACTCTTGCCACATCGTCATTATCATGCTGTGGATTCCAACCCGGTGGAACCTGCAACCGGCGACTGTTCCAGATGCAGGGCACAAAGCGCTGAGCCAACGTCGCCGACAGCGACAAGGAGCATGAGTTGTTACCATGGTTAACCATTGACATGATAACAGATTGAGGGCAAGATCAACGACAACGGCCGCCGGGCAACCATGACATTAGTGATTCTGGGTCCACGTCCTGCACGACTTACGTTTCCCTTGCTGACAGCATGCATGCCATGTGATTGTCCGATGTTAGATGCCACTGCTGGACAGAAATATTCAACGACACGTCGCCATCGTCTCAGATTTCAGTTATCACCAAACCGTCAGCGTACAGCTAAGTCTTTCTAAATACACTGTGTATGATGTATGATGTAAACAGTATGATGTGATACTCGAAAGCCATGGCTTGCCAGGAATAACCCAGATGACAATTTCCGTACCAGCCGTGTAACGCTAGATGGACGGAAGGCCAATCACAACCAGTAAGATTGTGACACTTTGAACCAGATCCCATTGAGGACATGATGATATTTTCCGGGACTGGAGACATGGGGCTGCGGCAAAGCGCCATGGCAAGAGTACATAAGCTCTATGTACTCTTGGTCATGGTTATAGCATGGGTGTTCGTAGCTGATGATAATGACCCAGAGGCTAGAGCTTTGCAATAAGATCCCTCCAGATAAGCAAAAAGATATCGCTACAACATTATTCGAAACTTGGACCCAGTGTCTGCGGCAGAGCCAGGTCAGCAACCCGGTTGGAGGGTACTTGGTAGGGCTGAGACGGGTAGCATTTTCTTCCGGTATTGGGTTCGGGGAATTTTCTACGGGTAGCACGGGTACCCCTTCGGGTAATGTTTCCATGGTAACACCACAATGCACCCCTTCCCTTACACACTGGGTAGACATGCGGAGTACTGTACACGTGCACTGTACATCATGGTACAATTATGATGTCATCTGCGACGTCGGGTTTTCGGGTACTATTCTGTACCCGTCTATCCGAGGTCCTCACGGGTAGCACCAAGAGTACATAAACCCGAGTGTGCAACTCGGGATGGTTCCTGTGGGAGCGTATTTCGTGCAGTACGTCATTTCTGACAGCATGGTAAGCCGCAGGTACGGTGAAAAGTTGCGTAACCAGTCACGGTGGTGCAAGTCACTGAGTTTGTCCTGATTTCGGTTTCTTGGTACGGATAGCCTGGTAAATTTACTTGTCGGTGGATGTACACAGTCACACAAAAACACCGAAATCCTGAAACAGGACGTCTAAAATCAACTAAAAACTTGGCTGATTTCCGGGCTATGAAACACGAAAATTTGAGCTGTACGCAAGTCGCGGCTTGGCTGACCTCATCAGGGTGACGTAGTGCACGAACTGCGCTGTTTCAGATCTGATATGCATAGTTGCACACTCTGGTTTATGACTGTACTCTCGGTAGCATGGGTACCCGACTACTAGCACCCCTGAATACCACTAGTACCCCTGAATACCACTAGTATAGTACTTGGACCCGTTTGGAAAAAGATCACCAGGCATCAATTGACCCGGTTGGGAGTCATGTCAGGGTTCTCGCCATAGCGGCAAGGCCGTCACAGCCGGGGCGGCTAGGGCGGCTGAGGCCGCGGCGTTACAACAAAGCGCGATGATCGCAGCTTAGCGCAAACGTGACAAATCCTTGTCCCCGATCGTGGTTTGCAGAAAAAGTCTTTCACTGCAGTTACACTGAAATGGCACCAAATGCCTGGAAATGCTTGCAATTGGCTTCAATTTTTAAATTTTTTTCCCGGAGGAGGGTAATGTTTGTCCCCGATCGTAGCGTCTTCTTCGTTTGTTGCAGAATCAAAAAGACTTTCATTGTAGTTACCGTACACTGAAGTGACCAAATACCCGGAAATGCTTGCAATTGGCTTCAATTTTTGAAATTTTTTCCCCGGGGAGGACTCCCCGATCTCCCTTCCATGGCCGCCCCACCTCCAAAAGTCGGTGCGATGGGCCTGAGTGGGACTACGATTAACAGGGTAACGACATGCCAGCGAGTAGACCTGAATACTGACAAGAATGTTTCCGCAGCTCTTTCTTGAATACATGGACAGAAGATTCCGAAGTCAATGTGGGTGGGAGACAATTCCATAAAAGGGAGGTTTTGAATAAAAAAAAGTGATTTGGATGTTGTCAAGGCTTTGGGGAGGATAATTTTATTGGGGCGTCTCTCACTACGGGAAATATTAAAACTGAACTGAACCAAGGTGTTCCGGTATTTGAAAATAAACTATAAAACAGCATTGTATGTATATAATAAATGTAGAGCCGAAGGATTTATTGCAATTACATACCAGTATAAAAACCGAGGTCCCCCGAGGTTTTTACAACTGGTATGTAATTGCAATAAATCCTGAGGCTACTACATTTATTATACATATGTTGACCTTCACTTTCCTTAAAAAGGAGTATTTTATAAACAGTATTTATTGGCCTTAGTGGTATTTTATAAACAGTATTTATTGGCTCAAAAGCCAATAAATACTGTTTATAAAATACCACTAGGCCAATAAATACTGTTTATAAAATACTCCTTTTTAGGGAAAAGTGCAGTGCTGCATGGAAAAGTACAGTGGTATTTAGTGAGTCAAGCAAATTTATTTGAATTTGATACTGTTGATGGTGTGGTCCCTAATGAGTGTGGGTATTTATCAAAGGTCAATATCAAAACGCAAACGCAAATCTGTACGTGACCACATAGGGTACCCTGTAAAAAGGCCTTAGGCCTATGGGGATTGCCCTATTCAAAATTTAAATAATAATAATAATTCAAACGGTAGTTTGGAGGCGGTGGAAAAACAGTTTCGTAATCAATATTCGCATGCAACGACGCAAATCCACACAATTCAGTAGACACTTCCTTTCTATGAAACGTTTTCTTTCCCTTCTCTTCAGGATAGTACAGGGAATGTTGGAAATTTGGAAAAACACATAACTACAGGTCGTCCCCCGTTAATACGAGTCCGGTTAGTACATAAACCCCGTTAGTACATAAGAAATCTCAAGTCCCGGACGAAACGTGGTCACTTCCATACAAATTTTGTCGGTTAGTACATAATTCGTTAGTACATAAACCCCGTTAGTACATAACATTTCTCCGTACCCGCATGCCACCTACCTCAATAGTACATAATTTGTTGGTCTTTTGGCCTTCCAGTGGAGGCACGTCGTGTTCTAGTTTCTACTTGTGGACGCAATTAGCTCAGAAATCAGAGCGCACATCACAAACTGACAAAGCTCTGTTTTTTTTCCGAGTGACTGTGCAGCTAACACAGGCGCGGCTGGGCATGTATCATGTAAACTATAGAATCTTCGCTGACTGTGACCGTTATAACATAATTTTTATGTTATATCGAGGGAATCAAGAATATCTCGCTCCCTAGTCATGGCAGCAAGAAACACTCAGAAAAGTTGAAAAAAGTGAAAAATTCTAGTATAGAAGCAAGTTATGTACACTTTCGTTTAGTACATAAACCCCGTTAATACATAACATTTGTCAAGTCCCAGAGATTATGTATTAACGAGGGACGACCTGTATATAGAAAAATAGAGAAAAAGTCAACACTTCAACATAGGCGATAAAATGACTAGTATTTAAAAAAAATCGAAAACAAAAGTAATCACTCATACAAAAAACTGGTGCTGTAAAAAACCTGTATAAAAAACCTGGTGCTATAAAAAACCACTTTTTAGGAAAATTACTGGAGGTTTTTTATTAGGGCTCAAACGGTTAGTCCGATTAACCGGTTGCAGACCGGTTACGAAGAATTAACGGTTAACCGATAAAGATAACGGTTACGCAGTAACTTTTCAGTCAATTTTTCAAGTATCAGGTCGTTGCAAAGTATGCACTTTCGCAGGCTGTCGCACGCGTACGCAATTTCTGGGCTGTCAACTCGGTCATATCTGGTCTCTTCGTGTGAGAGTATGTATGAATGAGCATGCAAGAGAATAATACATGTGTGCGTTGTACTGAACAGGGTACATTTTTTGAATAAGTATAGCCAAATATACGGTTAAAAAAGAGTCCGCAGGATTGCCGTGGCTTATAGGTTATAACCGTTAAACCGACCGTTAGCTTAGCAGTTAACCGTTGGGGGTAAAACCGTGACCGTTTGAGCCCTATTTTTATGCTATAATTTAAATGGAATATAAGCTTCACCCTCGTGTTTACGGGAAAAAAACCCTTCTTTGTTCTGGCTATATAGAGCTTTTTCAACTGAGGTTGGACTAACGGTCACTTTCTGGGGTCAGGTGCAAGAAATTTTTGAATCGCGCGAAGCCCAGTTCACGTTCACTTTGTATGGGAATTGATGCATGAAGGCGAAGAAGCAGTAGAATCTGTCCCCACAGGATACCGCGATTCCGCGGACGCGCAATTTTCTGCGTTATTGGCTGTCATCCGCGTTTTCGAGAGATTTTGCATAAAACCCGCGTTATTCATGGATGTACAAGAAAATAGTACATTACGTTGAAAATGTACTACAAAGTCGTACCGGTGCATGAGTTTGTACGACAAAGTTGTATACTTGCATGAAACTGCATGCTAATAGTAGTAGTAGTAGTAGATTTTATTATTTTACTAGGGGAGTCCCAACAGGCGTTGCCTTTTTACTGGGAACCCTAGATGAATTTTACCATGTTTACATACAGAGTAAGAGACGCTGCTAAAGTTGTACAAATGACAGAGAATTCGTGCATAATTCCGCATTTTACCGCATGTTTGCCGCATAAAGCGGGATTCACAGAAGCTTTTTTGCGATGCGACGCGATCTGCGATGGACGCGTGCGATGCGAACTCGCGAAATACCATTCACAGAAGAAGTCAGCGATGCGACAAAGTCTTGCTGATTTGGGTACGTCACCATGGTATTCGCGCGGTTTGGTACAACTTATACAAATTTATAGGCAACTCTTAAGTCAGCGATGCGACAAAGTCTTGCTGATTTGGATACTCACCATGGTATTCGCGCGGTTTGGTACAACTTATACAAATTTATAGGTAATTCTTGAACCTTTGTACAACTTTGCTGTAGAAAAGGCCAACATCGTACGCCAAATCGCTTGTCGCATCGCAAAAGTTGAGCCAAGCTCAACTAACTTCCGCGATGGCCCTGTTGCGGCAGTTGCGTGGGGTCCGCGATGGTTGCGATTTGGGGATTTCCCGGTTTCGCGGCTGTCTCGCATCGCAAAAAAGCTTCTGTGAATCCCGCTTAAAGCGGGATTCACAGAAGCTTTTTTGCGATGCGACACGCGATGCGACGCGACGGACGCGTGCGATGCGAACTCGCGAAATACCATTCACAGAAGAAGTCAGTGATGCGACAGCATCTTGCTGATTTGGCTACATCACCATGATATTCGCGCGGTTTGATACAACTTGTACAAATTTATAGGCAACTCTTGAACCTTTGTACAACTTTGCTGTAGAAAAGGTCAAAATCGTACGCCAAATCGCTTGTCGCATCGCATCGCAAAAGTTGAGCCAAGCTCAACTTCTGCGATGGCCTGCGATGGCCCAGTTGCGTGGGGTGCGACATGGCTGCGATTTGGGGTTTTCCCGGTTTCGCGCCTGTCGCATCGCATGTCGCATCGCAAAAAGCTTCTGTGAATCCTGCAATTATGCGCATAATTTTAGGATTTCGTCCGCGTTATTCTGTGGGGACAGTAGAATGGCGCCCCACTTGATGTTCGACGCTCGTGTCAGAGCGGTTGCCAAGAAGCCCTTCCATGGCTTGGACGGAAAAAACAAGCTTCAGAATCGCTCCAAGCGTGGTGGAGACAAACCTGTCACATTTCATAGAATTTTAATGCGTCTTGACATGCGACCTATTCACCACAATCTCGGGGTAGTGGCGGGAACGGCGTCCTTGAAAAAGCTCTATAACCCTCCATGTCTAGTACTTTTTTTAATACTTCAAGCCAAGGGGCACACACTAGGGGTGAAACGAGTATCTATTTTGACCAATCGATCACTCGTTCATAATATTCGATCGAGTATCCGATTATTTCGAGTATTTTATCAAAATTCAAAAGCACTAGATTTGCGAGTTCTCGACCAATTCGGAAGAAATTATCTGTGAACATAGAACAAAAGTCGCCAATGTCTTGTACAGAGTGTAAAGTAACGATTTTCATCAGTACTTTTATATCTCAGAACGTTACTTGCCGTGGTGATCGCATCGTCCAAGTCTTAAAATACTGACTCAAACCCATGCATAACGCATGCATACCAGTGGACCAGCGGTACAACAAAATCATCCGCGGAAACCACGGAATCTACACTTTTGCCCGCGGAATTTGAATTTTTTAGGGTAAATTAGTAAAATTACTACTCAGAAAGCAGCAGAAAATCTACTTCGCGATCTGTTGGAGCTCTTGCCAGTGTGGGTGAGTGCAGGATCCAAAATTCTTCACTCTCATGTCAGTTTGTGACTGCAAAGGATAGTGTGAAAAGTGCTCCTTCATGCAACTAGTTGTCATATCCTCTACAAGGAGGGTGAAAACTTGCAGAAAGTGCCGCAGATTTTTGATTTTACCACAGAAAATGCCACAGAAAACCCCCCTTTTCCCTGCGGAATTTTGAATTTCCCAAAGGGACAGATATCTGGACTACCACAGTCACAGTTGGTGCCGAGTCAACTATGACCTCACACATTCCGAGTCAACTATGACCTCACACATTCCGAGTCAACTATGACCTCACACATTCCGAGTCAACTATGACCTCACACATTTCTATGGACTGTTATTGTTGGGTTGCTGCCCCGAACAAGTGAAGGGTATTATGATGCTATAACATGTGCCCAACCACCGGTGCACCTCCACTGTTGATGCTGAGGACACTGCTGTATATCGCCAACTTCAATTGTAACTTAGCAGCATCCATTGGATGTTATTGTGACCCTTGCTTTACAGCTCAGCTGCCTTTTTTTAAAGAATGTTTTGGAGACTACAGTCCATTCACAAAAAGATGGGCCCTGGCTCTGGCGAGCTCCCGTATTAGGTGATTTTTCAAGATTTTATCGTACACAGTGCTGTGCTGTGAAATTTGAAATTTGAAAAAGGGTCCAAAAAGGGTACCTGAACTGGGGTTCGAACCGTACAATGCACTGTTGCAGGCAGGGTCAAACGGCCTGGATTTTGATGGGTTTTCCCAATTCAGTGCTCTTGGGGCAAAACCTGGCCGAAATCCTATTCTTGCTGTGGCTTGCTTTTTGGAGAAATAGACTTCAGAAACATAATTGGAAGAGGATTCCATAGGGGATTGCAGAAAAACATTCTAAAAAAACTCGTTTCACCCAGTTATGGCCAAAAGCTAGAAGTCCATCTTTTTCTGAATGGACTGTAGGTAATAAATTTTGTCTTTTTTTAGTACTGCAAATCATCCGCAGACTGATGGCTAAACAAAAAGAATGAAAATGTTGATTGGTTAGACTCAGTGTAATAGTGTACCTTTCCTTTTCAGTTTTCACACTTACTTTGCACCTCACCCTACTCACTTCGTTGCTACTGCTCACACCATCAGTTCACCACTTGTTTACTGACCAACAAGTATTGTTCAGCCAACGTTTACACTGCACATGCACAGAACTAAACCAGGGTGCCATTGAGTACTGGAATCATTACCTACCCCCCCCCCCCCACACATAAATTACATGCAAATTCTCAGTTTACACCATAAGTTTTTAAAGTTACACTGTGTACAGCAATCAGGTAACATGTGGCAGCTCTGCATCTGCATCTGCGTGTATTTCATGTGGCAACTAAACTCCTGTGCGCTTGGCATGCCTGCAATACACTGGATTTGCAAAGAGAACTTGCGCAAAACAAAAACCCTCAAGAAGAGTGGTTCAAAATCTGAACTGTGATATGTGTGTAGCATGTCCAAATTGACCAACCTGAATAAAATAGTCAATGTCAGCCTATAAGTCTACAATCTCCACCAAAACTAAGATTCTAATAATAGCATTGGAACAACTAGTGGGCAACCATTAGTTTCTTGACTTCAGCAATAGCCTTGCCTGGGTTGAGACCCTAAAAATAGCAAAACACAGGACAGAGAGATGAAGAGATGGGTAAATAAATGTAAAGATAGATTTCAACTCCCTCCACTATAAAAAGGAGCAAGCCGTAAACATCGATATTTGTTCAAGACAATAATTATATTCATGTAGGTACTACTGTAAACCCAGAAACGTTCGGATGGGTGTGAAGCCGCGAAAGTGGGCGCTGTAGGCTCATCAAATTGACTCCAATCGCAAACATTTGCAGGCGCAAAATGGTCACCGCAGTTGGCGAATTAAAACAGGCGCAAACGATTCCGGGTTTACAGTATACATGTATAGTCACACACTAGGGATTAGTTTCAACTTGAAATGTACAGAACAAAAACACTTCAGCTGAGACGTTCTCTTCCCAAATGGCCGTGCATGTGTGCGCAGTTGGATGAAAAGGACTCTTTCCTGTCCACCGAGGGTAGGTTGTACTCAAGTTTCACTGTGTGTATTCAAACCAAATGAAAAGATTGGTTTCGGATTTTCAGCTGTGAACAAATGAAGCTGCTTGATGCACTGAAGGAAGGCATAGCACCCCCGTCACGTAGTTTGCGGATGGTAAATAGATCATCCCAGGTGCATTATTATTATTACTATTATTTGCATTTTCGCGTCATCGTCAATCAAATGATTGATGATTTCGCTTATGCTGAGTGGTGGTAAACAGAAATCAAATATGGAAGATGCTGATGTCAAGGCAGAAAACAACATGAAGGACGGAAAAAAGAAAACAGTGCATACTATGTTTTAACCCGGCCATTCCATGAACAGTAGCAGGTTGGTAGCTTACCTTGGGGCAGGTCTTTGTGCAGTTCATGATGGTATGGCATCGGTACACAGAGAATTCATCTCGTAGCATGTCAAGACGCTCCTTCAGATAATCATCCTGAAAATATCCAACAACACCGGCCAAAACGATGATGACAACAACAACAGCAACATTGTGAGAATTTTAAGATTTACGCACAAAACTAACAAGTCAAACAACAGTAACGACCTTCCAGCAAGATGGGATAAGCAGATCAACACCTTCCAGCAAGATGGGATAAGCAGATCAACACCTTCCAGCAAGATGGGATAAGCAGATCAACACCTTCCAGCAAGATGGGATAAGCAGATCAACACCTTCGTTCCATGGCAAGTTTGTGAACACTCTGTTCTTACCATCGTCAACTTCAGCAGTTTGAAATTCATGAGAGATACCAGGATTCTTATACCCAACCCTGCAGTCTTGAAGATCAAGATTCTGGGGCGGAAAGGGTTGGTTTTATTTGTTGTGGGAGAGACCTCAGAGACCGCAACAGCTTATATAACTGCTTCAGTAGAAGACATTACGTAGGAAGAGTTCGACCAATGTAGAAACAGAAAAGGCGATGCTGACAATCCGACAAAGACAATCAAGTCAAAAATGTTGCGATGCGCGAAGCGACAATTGTAAAGACGCGGATGTTCTTTTTCCAGACTCAGTTGAGCATGACATAGTGTCCTGCTGGAGTCTCACAAGTCTAGAGTTGTGTTAGGTCAAGAAATGCAATATGGGCGAGGACTATACCACTACGGGGAGATACTGAAAGGTCACTTACACGGCTGTCGACCATCCAGCGGTATGCTTGCATGAGCACAGCCGGTCCAAGATACTTATCACTGTTCCACCAGTAGCTAGGGCAAGAGGTACTGCAGCAAGCGCAAAGAATGCACTCGTATAGACCGTCCTGCGAAACAAAACACATGACAGTGTTGGTATTTAGACAGGAACACAGGAACTTTATTCATCCGGAATACCCATTCCCCTACAAACATGTAACCAAGAGTAAATAAGCTCATAAAAAAGTGTGAGTGATACAAGATCTCCGACAGCGAAAACTCACATCACGTGTTCCAAGTACGATGTGTACTACCGTAATGTCGCGTAAAAAAGCATGACTCGAATAGAAGGCGATTTTTCGAAGCGCGTCGTGACAGAGAAGCACGATTTGAATAGAAGCCGTGCTTCTTTTCAAGACAAAAATGTTGCAACTAGAAACACCGTATAACTGCAGGCCGCGTACGGCAGACTGCAGAGTACATGTGCAAGTACTTGCACATGCACAGTACAAGTCATGCATGACAGTGCAGTGCACTAGTGCGCGCGCACTGCACTGTTGCAGTCTGCCGGTTCGTGTCGCGCACTGGAGTGTAGACTGTAGTTCACGGGGCCCTCGGTAGTGTCACAGCCATGGCTAGCCAGGGAGAAAAAATTGCTTCGACCCTAGCAGTCAATCCTCATTCTCCTCTTGAGGATTCACCGGCAGCAGCTGCAAAGATGCCGACGACAGGAAAGAGAAAGAACTACAGCCTTACCTTCAAGCTGACTGTCATCAAGTCCGCGAAGGAAACATCGTGCAGTGTTGCCAGTCGCCTCCACAACGTGAACGAGAGCATGGTTTGTCGCTGGAAACAGAAGGAGGCCAATGGAGTAGAGAAATCCATAACCTGTCGTGGTCGTGCACGGGCGCGCTAGTCGGCGGTGGCGAAAAGTTGCTTTTACGTGACCTTGGAGATGAGCTGTTCGGATGGATCGTCACGGAGCGCCAGCAATGTCGACGAGCGACACGGAAGTCGAGCAATGGCTAAGCAGACAAGCAGTCGGGCAATGGCTAAGCAGATTCACGACGAGCAAGGAGGGCAGGAATCAGTCAATGCCAGTGCTGGATGGTGCGGGAATTTCATGGAGCGTCGTAAACTAACGACAAGAGTGAAGACACACCAGAGCCATCGAACTCCTGCTGACCTGATCCCCAAGTTGACGGACTTCCTTGTGTTTTTCAGAAAGCTGTTCGCCGACAACAACGATTTAAGCCCTGCCAACATCTTTGCCATGGATGAGACTGCCGTTTGGTTTGATGCGACTAGCAACCGGACAGTCAACGAAATTGGCGCCAGGACAATCAGCTTGGCCTCAACAGGGCATGACAAGCGAAATGTCACTGTGGCACTGATGACATCTGCGTCTGGTGCAAAGCGGCTGCCCTTTGTCGTCTTCAAAGGCAAGGGCAAGACGGCAGAGGACAGGGAGCTGAAGGCCCGCCGGGACATCGTAGTAGCATTCTCTGACAACGGATGGTTCAACAATGAGTTGACAATTGATTGGTTTCAGAGAGTGATGGGTTCCATGGCCTTTGGAAAGAGGCTTCTTGTGTGGGATTCTTATCGCTGCCATCTTACCGACTCCGTCACTGCAGAGAGGCGCCAAAAATGCATCCTGAGTGCTGTGATCCTTGGTGGATGCACCCTGCTTGCCAGCTGGAACAAGCCCTTCAAGAGCAGCATCCGGGACTTGTATGATGAATGGCTGGCAACAGGTGACAAGACTTACACCGCCGGAGGCAACGTCCGTCCCATTACGAAGTCGAAGCTGTGCGGCATCGTCGTGAAGTCATGGTGTTCCCTGTCACCGGACCTCATCAAGAACTCCTTCACCTGCTGCGGCCAGGTTCCTGGGGCCACTGTTGACCAGGTGTCCTGCTCCAAGGATGGTCGTCCCGCTGCTGATGGCCGAGAACGTCTTGAAGAGCTGGTCTCATTGCTGCCTGCGCAGCTGCAGCCAGCCAATGCTGTGGAAGACTTCGAAGATGAGCTTGACCAAGAGGCTATTGTTCTTGGTGAAGTGGCTGCTGATGACGGTGTTGCTGGCGGCACCTCCAGTGACATGACGACGACGATGATGTCGACTTTGCTGCGACCGCTGATTCAGCTGCGACTGAGGACTCTCTCTTGACATGAATCTGCTGCGACCGCTGATTCAGCTGCGACTGCCGACTCTCTCTTGACAGATGAATCTGCTGCGACCGCTGATTCAGCTGCGACTGCCGACTCTCTTGACTGAAGAATCTGCTGCGACTGCTGGATCTACTGCAACTGCTGACCTTGAAGTGGCTGATGTTGCCATGGAGATTGCCGATATCGATGATGATCTTGTTGTAGTACTGTAAGTGTAAATTTCCACCCTGGCTTTCCAAATCTTTGTTTTGTTGCCGGCAGATTTCAGAGTCTTTGCACGAGCAAAAAATTGTTGTGAATTACTTACCTTAGGGGTCGTCCGTATTTTTCGAAAAATTAAAAATCCGTCCTCAGGCAAAAAGGGGGTGGGTGGTCAAGAGTGCTGGCGGAATTTAATTTTTTGATTTTTCATACTTTTTTTGCTCCAGTGACTTTCATACATTACACTTGTTGCACTGAGCTGACTGTGTACTCGTACTGTACTGTAGTGTAGACGTAGTGTAGGATCGATTGTCGCAAATGTTAGGTACCTCCTCCCATACCTTTTCTAGCTGGCCTGCATGCACTCGCGTACTCACCGTTTGTCTCCTTTTGTTCCGTTGGCCTGGGTAGCTACTTGCGCGCCCATAATTGCCATAGCTACCCAGGTCCTTTATCTTGCCGTTCAGACTTGATCTTTCTCTCTTTCTCACTCTTCAATAATCACCATGTAGTCGTTTCGTTCGTCCTGGTCTTAGTCATCCCGTCTCTAACGAGAGGAAGCTCAGGGCCCTACGCTATGCTTTTTTTGCCTTGATGACGGAGACAAAAAAAGCATAGAGATGTCATAAATTCTTATAAATTTCTCCTTTTTTTTTTTAAGACAAACCTGGGATTCGAACCCGCACTGTCGCCCTGCATGCATCCCCCGATACACTTCGCATACATACTAATTCTTCCAAGTTGCTTCACATTACGATCTTGCATTTGAAAGCCCTATTTGAATATGCATTGTGGCCAGCCGTCTTTGATGGTACGGTACGGGGCAGGTACGGGACAGGTACGGTCGAGGGTAATACGACACCGTCTACCGCCTTGATGACCTAGGCAAAAAAAGCATAAGGATGTTATAAAATTTTCAATTCTCCTATTTTTTTAAGGCATAACCTGGGATTCGAACCCGCACTATCGCCCTACATGCATTCCCCCATACACTTCGCATTCATACTCATTCTTCCAAGTTGCTTCAGTGAATCACGTTATGATCTTGCATTTGAAAGCCCTATTTGAATATTGCGGCCAGCTGTATGTGGCCAGCTGTGTTTGATGGTACGGTACGGGACATATACGGGATAGCGCCAGGCGTGACACAAACACACAAACAAACACACAAATACCAAATTAAAGCTGTGTGGACCCTGGCTAGCGCCAGACGTTACTGAAGTAACGTCTTCTGCATAGCTACGGGAATAAATGTCGTTCCACTAACTTGTTCCCGTTGTCCGTTGTCCTAATTCATACTCAACATTGGCGCCCGACCATTGCTCGGAACCCACGACCCTCGTCCTCAACCGCCATTCGTCTCGTCTATGTCAACCTCGTCTCGTCCAAGTCATGCAGGTCAGCTACTTTCTTTATTTCTCTCTTTCTTTTTCATCCGTCCTTCGTCGTCAAATTTATTTTCGGTTTATTTTATTTTGGGATTTTTGTAGTGTGCGTGTGTGTGTACGCGCGCGCGCGCGCGCGTGTCCTTCATTAATATTAGGGGTCCGATCATGGTGAGCCACGCTCTTTTACTTGTGTCGTATATTAAAGTGTAACTAGGCTGTATTAGCCGTGCAAAATACTAGTAATCAGAATGCAATTCACGTTCCTCGTCAAACTCCAATAGTTATTTTTGTGCCATTTTTTTGAAGGGGCGTTTGGGCCCGTTGTTATTGGCAATGTACACACTATAAGTAGTACAGGAACGTTGTAATGACCTGTAGTGCATTTTTAGTACACACTTTTGTGAGGCCCGTGCGTTGTGTGTGTGTGTTTTTTGTTGTTTTTTCTTCTCTTCTTCCTCGGTCATTGTTTCTCTCTATTTTTCTCATCGTCTTATTATTTCCCGCGAGGTCGCGGTTCTTTTTTCACTCAGGGGAGGTATGTTAGGTACCTCCTCCCGTACTCACCTTTTGTCTCCTTTTGTTCCGTTGGCCTGGGTAGCTACTTGCGCGCCCATAATTGCCATAGCTACCCAGGCCCTTTATCTTGCCGTTCAGACTTGATCTCTCTCTTTCTCACTCTTCAATAATCACCACGTAGTCGTTTCGTTCGTCCTGGTCTTAGTCATCCCGTCTCTAATAAATGTCGTTCCACTAACTTGTTCCCGTTGTCCTAATTCATACTCAACACAAACACCAGTATCTACTATGTTGACTTTTCATGTAGTTGTAGGACGGTGCATGGCCGTGACGTTGGTAGACCTACTACTCACTGTACTTAGCTACTACTAGTACTTGACACAGGTGCAGTCAGAAAACATGGGGTCTATTTTCGAGCTGGGCATCGGTAAAAATCAAAAAATTAATGGGAAAAATGGGGGGTGGGTGGGTGGGTCAGAGACAATTTTGCACGAGGACGGATTTTTTAATTTTTTCGAAAATTACGGACAACCCCTTAGCATGTTTATTGTTTTTAATACTGTCGACTTGATTTTGACCTGATTTTGACCTGATTTTGACCTGATTTTGACCTGATTTTGATGTGTCAATTGCAAATCTGAACAGACTCGTGCATCTCAAATATCGCCCTGCCATATTGTTGCATTTTGTATTTCGTTTTCGTGTATTCTCAGACAATTTGCATATTTCAGTCATGAATTTCAAATCTGGCCTATTATCGGGTGACCTGACTGACGTACTGTGACTTTGATGTTGACGTAGAAGCATGTTTTGAATAGAAGCATGGGTTGAACCCCGGCTTATACGGCCGTTAGCACCTGCTTTTATACGCGACATTACGGTATGTACAGCGAAGGCTGGTGTGCTCGCAGTCCGAATATCTGCCATGATCATGCTAATGACTTGGACAAAGCCGGATGTGCTTCTGTCAGGGGTGCTATTTTTTAAATTCATCGGTCGTTAAAAACGGGCTGGGACCGTACTATGGGAACACCACATGATGTGATTTTTCGCTGTCGTATCAGGAGTTTAACACTCTTGGGAGCTTATGTACTCTTGCTATAACTTCGAACCTTCCAAGTTGGAAGGCTGTTGGAGTGCGCATCCAAGACGTGCTAGAGCTGATTGGCAGTTAGTTGTAGAACGTCAGTACCGCTGGTCAGTGTCGTGCAAATGTTATCGAATGAGCTGATTGCCAAGTAACAGGTGGTGGTAGTGGACATTATAGCGTAGCTTGTAGTTCCTTGGTCCTTTTTCTTTCCTATAAATTAATCCTTGGCTCCCCATTCGAGTCTAAAGCTGTGTTCACAACCGTGTACGCGTGAAATCACGCGTTTGTGCGTATTTTTGCTGGCTTTTGGGGCGCCATGCGTACGGAAACGCGCCGAAATGGAAATTCCAACAGGTTGGAATTTTCAGCGCGTATCAGGTGCGTACCAGCGTACATGCCAGTCACTTTCACTGGTGGGGTCAACAAATTAGTACTCGAAGGTGTCGCACGCGCTGAATACAACTTGAATTGCTGTTTTTTTTGTGAAAGCCTGAACGCGCGTTTGGGCACCCATGAACAGCAAGCGTACCGCGCGCCAGTTGTGAACACAGCTTTTAAACTTAGTACTTACCAGTTTTTTGCGGTCATCGACTGATTGCTTGAACTGAGCCTTGCCCTGAATCGAAGCGTCCTTCTTTTTCAGATACGGTTCGATTGAACGGTACTGCTCATAAAAGTGGCTCATGTCCTACAGTGACAGCAACACAATGACAACACACAAACATAATGACAACACGCATACAAGCCAACTCTCTTTGTAGACTGTGATAACATCTGGGTGTGCTTCTTTCCATTGCAGTTACTGGCTACATGAATGGTATAAGATCAAGACAAAGATACAATGTGCATCTTTTAAGCTGAACACTTTCGGGTCTAACTTACCGGAACCAAGTCCTTCACTACATACATATGTGGAAGTGGGCGAATGGTGACGGACTTAGAACTGCCTGCGTCAATTTTACTACACAAGTCAACAACAATATGCACCAAGTACACATATGCACGCATACACACACACACATACGCACACACGCACGTGCACACACACACACACACACAAACAGATTAAATTCACACTTATAGAAGTTATAGGCTATTCAGACTACTGCCAACTGTGACCACGTTTCTACAACGCGTTTGATCAGCGATTGTGCATGATCATTTCAAACAAACACACAAGAGCCAACAATATCGCAGCGCTGGCACTCAAAACAACTTCAAGAAGAAGGGTTTAGACTTCTGCAACTACCGCAATGCAACGTGCGAGCAGCGGCAGCAGCAGAGTTCAAGCACACATCATCCGACCAGTGAACTTTGCGAATGCCAGTTGCATGCCATGTTGTTCAGACCTTAGTACAGCAGCTGGCATCACCCTGGCAGCAGTTACTACATTGTCAGTTTGCTGATTCCCCGCATCAAAGAAGAAACGTGTCAACACCGTAGATCAGAGCCGCACATCACAGGACTCACTGACAGTACGGTGTTAGGAGTATGGTCTTTGCCTGCCTCAAAATCAAGGTTTCGCTTTCGGGAGATGGGGTGCTCTGACGAGATTTTATGGTGTGTGCGGTACTGTAAAACATGTAATTTTAGGTGTATTACAATTTTGGTGTCAGGGACCTGCCAGGTTTCAGGTGTAATTTAGAATTAGGTGACCAGCATTCCCTTCACATACAGTGTATACTCTGGTGCCTTTTAGGCGTAATCTAAATTTAGGTGCTGGTTTTCACTACCGAAACCACCGAAATTAAAGTTACATCGAAAATATCGTGTTTTACAGTATTTGGGCATTCTGGGGTTAACCACTTTTGCAAACAACATCCAACGAGGGATAGAAGGAAATGATACAAAATGCGCAAGAAGATTACCGGATGCAGGCAAGAGTATTGCTTCCATCAATGTTCACACTGCACGATCCACAGATTCCTGGGAAACAATATACAACAGGCATGGCATAACTCATCAAGTCATCATGTCCCTTCACTCACTTCAAATTGAGATGCTTGTTGAGGAGTGTCAATACATGAGCACCAATTCTCTGAGACATATAGTGCCCTCAGCATTCTTACATCATAATGATCACACACACACACACACCTCAGACCTCAGACCTGCCCATCGCGGAAGCGATGATAGCGAACAGCTATGTTAGACATAGCAACTTGTGCTGGGATTACACCATTCAACAGCTTGCAAGGCTGATGAATTGACCGCCACTATTTTTTAGCCTGGTATCCACCACACATCTGATTGAAGTGGCTTTTTCTGGCCAGTGAATCCCTATTTTTCATTTTTTTCATTTTTTTTTACACACACACCACACCACATACATACTCCGGCATACACTGGCAGAATGAGAAAGAGAAGAAAGACATGTGCGACCATAATCGTCGGGAATTGAACCCGCAACCTCTCGATTGGAAATCGACTGCACATACCACTGCACCATATGGGACACACACACACACACACACACACACACACACACACACACACACACACACACACACACACACACACACACACACACACAATCTGCAGGTGTAGTATTCTCGTCTCACAGACACTTTGCTGCTTTGTCTTCCATTCATTCAGTGGACTCACCTTCACGACATGATCGGCGGAAGGTTAACGTTGGGTCAATTTCATTCTTGATCTTAATCAGTGCGTCCAAAACCATGGGACCACAGCTGTCACAAGCACAAAGACACACATGCACAGCAAGACACAGTTAAGTAAAGAGAATATGTGGAGGAGCACTGCTAGCATCCGCATCTCCAAGGCTGTTGTAGGATTTAACCCTTTACCAGTCTCCATAAGTGAACCGATAATGTAGGATCAGTTTGTTTGGCCCGCGTTTCTAGTGCGTTTTGTTGTTAGGAGACAGCTAAAATGGCACTCTACGCGTAGCTGAGGTACAATGCTTTCCAATGGTGTATACAACAAGCATACTTAGGGGCCATCCGTAGATAACAACATTTTGTCACGAAAAAAAGCCAACGAAGAGACGACAATTTCAATACAAATAATATATTAGGGTACCTCAAAATATGGTCTCTTCACTGCATACGTCACTTAAAAAATTTATTATTAAAAATGAATTCACCAAATTTTCGGCCATGGCCCATCTTCAGGGTGAAAACAGTCAACTAATGCCAACAAAAACTGAAACAAGCAGATATACTGTGTGGTGCTGTAGGAAGGTGATGAGAATGTCTTCATCTTTGTCTTCACACCCATGGATCCAGCTATACTGCATACTTTTGCATTCTATTCTCCATGTCGCACTAACACACATTCACATTTACAGACACTTTCTCCCAACACCTTTCACCATTGCTACTACACATACAGCATACACACATTTCTAGCACATTTTCCCCTTCCTTCCACTAGCCCAGTCTGACGCGAACCGTGAATTTTTTTCTCCTGACACCTTTCGCCATTCCAACATTTCATTTCATTTCATTTCCAGCAGGTGACCAGCTTTCCCTTCACATACAGTGCATACTCCAGTGCCTCTTCGGTGTAATCTAAATTTAGGTGCTTGTTTTCTCTACCGAAATCACCGAAATTAAAGTTACACCGAAAATAACATGTTTAGCAGTAGTTGACTGTTTTCACCATGAAGATGGACATGGCCAAAAATTTGGTGAATTCATTTTTTTAAAAGTGATGTATGCAGAGGTGTGTCTTTACCACCATATTTATCAACCATAAGTACAGCTGCAGTGGTGTCTTCAACTTCATTCTCCCGAGTCAAGCTCCATATGAAGACATCCAAGAAGAAGATTGCCTGATAAGTCCAGCGGGGACGAAACGTACGTCGCAATCGAGCTATGTCGTTGCTGTGTCATCTTCTATGTGCCATGCACTACTAGATATACCAGCCTGCTATGCCGGATACCGCCAACCATGCATCGACCAGGAACCAGGAGCCAGGCGCGAACTGATGGTGGTGGTGGTGAGAAGGAGAGCTCTGTGCCAGAACTTTGCAGCCTAGAGAGCGTGTGTGGGCAGGCGTGTGTTTACCGCCATATTGCCAGGTGTGTCTTTACCACCATATTTATCAACCGTAAGTACAGCTGCAGTGGTGTCTTCAACTTCATTGTGCAGCGAAGAGACCGTATTTCGAACGTTCGAGTCAAGGTACCCTAATAAAATGTGCAAGTGGCTGCAATGGAGTCTGCGAGTGCTTAGAAATTTATTTAAAATACAGCTATGAATAATATGATCCACTGTATGCGCAGTCATTATGAACATATATCAACAGTGACTCTAGGGGTCTAAGGGGCACCAGCATCACCACATGACCACGTCTATGGAAAGTGGCAGCACAACAAAATGAGTAGGGCATCCAAACTAACTTGTTCATATCCACCATGTACTCCTGCATCCTTGGCTTCTGGGGTGAGTCCGGATCCTGAGCAAATAGAAACAAAGAGTACAAAGGAAATGAGTTCAAATGACCCTCATAGCACAGGTACAGTGGCTTTGTTAGAGCCGATATTACTATAATCTACAGACAAAATGGTAAAGTCCGCACATCCGCATTACAATCGGCTGTATAACAATTGTGTTGAGAGAACTTGAGAAACACAACCAGCTTGACCTTTCACCGGCCGATAAATCGCACAACTGAATGGCGACGAGATACGGACAGACAATGAGCCATGTTTGCCGTCAGCCAAGCCATTAGCACATGGTACACTGGTACGGCGACAACGATGACCACGCATGCTGGAAACTGCTCACCGGAGCAGGCCAAAACTGATCACAGTACGCCATGACAACAGAAAAGGGCTCACATTTCTTGTCGGCAAGCAAGGAACACCGTCGCTTCAGGAAGGCTGCCAAAGCCTTACCGCATCCACCAGTGGCACTGAACACCAAGGGAACAAATGACGATTGGTCAACTTCTCTTACTCGTTTCTCATGTGACCGGCGCTTCACCATGTCATGGGGAGCGTAAGTGGAGTGTGTTGTATGGTATTCTTTATTTTACTTTGCAAAGTCAAACGGGATCGTTGCCCAATAATATGATAGCGAAGGGCGAGGTGGGGGTGGTGATATTACATACTAATTATTAGTGGTGAAACGAATATTCGAACATTCGAACATTCGTTCGGTTGGTCACATTCGAATATTCTTTAAGTCGCATTCGAGTATTCGTGACGTCACTTCAAACGCAGTGAATGTACATACATGCATGCCAAACACAGTACAGACAGTGCGTACAGCCTGCTTGTGACTTTGTACTGCATGTTTGCACATGTATGTGCATACTGGACTGCCAATGTTGCACATAACACGTATGAACTTCGAAGTAGCCTTATGTGGTGGTGCATTTTATGTGGCACAACCAATTGTCATGCCTAATAGTAATGACAATATCCATAAAATGACTGAGAGGAGGGCATGTGATGTCATCTGTGTTACCAAAAGAATATTCGTGCGTTCGTTCGTTAAGCCAAAGAATATTCGGCTACTAGGTTTTGACATTCGTTTCACCACTACTAATTATCTGCCGTAATCAAACGTGTGCAAACTCAGTAGGAAGGGATAGAAGAGCAGAAGAACGGCAGAAGGCTGAATGCAGGCAAGGCGTATCACTGTTGTGTAAGTATGCACTCTAGTTTGGTAAGGACATGTGGCAAAAGCACTAGTGGTATCACAGTATGGGCGGTGAGACATTACTAGTAGTATCACGGTATAGTCGGCCAGGCATTAGTCAGGAATGCACTGTAGTCATACATCGCAGCAATACGGCAGGCAATTCAGTTTAAACCTAGGGAGCCACGAGATGGTCCGCACATCTTCCGGTAGAAGGTTCCACAAAACAGCACTTGCCACCGTGGGCCGGGATTTGCGTCGCGAGTGAGGCTTTGCTGGCTGAGAAGCCTTCCGGTTTGTTGGCGACGTGTTCTTCTGTCGGTTGGACGAGAGATGAGGGTAGTTAGGGAGGGGCTGATCCGTACTCGGAGTAGCCTCCACACGAACACGGGCAGCTTACGCTTGCAGAGTTCCGTGAAGCGGAATAGACTGTTCTTGGTCAGCAGAGGTTGGGTAGGGACAGAGCCAAGTTTAAGGCAGCGAAGGGTTAAACACCCGTACACCAAAGAATGTGCGCTCAAACTGGCTGTCCTACACTCCACTTGCTGTGATGCCGAGCCGGGCACTGTCATCTCTGATGGCTGTCCTGAGGCGAAGATATTCACCGGTGAGGGGCTGGACTGGTGACTCAAGGGCAACATCTTTGGCGACCTCACGGAGTGGCACAGTTGTGGAGTTCGTTGTGGTGCATCGTTAGGTATCCCCCCCGTCGGGCAAGACAGAGCGTGGGACACATTGAACCACTTCCCACATACAGGTGGAGGGCAGTTTACTGGGAAGCCAACCATGCCGCAGGGCGAGGCCGCCACGAAACGCATGTGGCTTTGTGGATTACAAAGCCCAGACTGCGGAGAGGTCTGCACGTTGACGATGACCAGCTAGACGCACCCTTTTCAGAAGCTAGCCGAAGGACACAGAGCTCATCCTGGTTCACTTCAGCAGGCACAGCCGTGGCCACAACACGGGTGTACATGTAGCTTCATGGTGCTGAACGAACAGTTGATTTCGCCTGGCACGTGGCAGCTGCAACACCATCCATACTGTCATCTTGCTGCAGGATAGGGTGCGTGAGAGCCGTCGTGATGGACACGGACGAGTAAAACTGACGGGACAAGGTGCATGGGGTTACTAGACCTAGCACTAGTAGCCATGTACAGTCAACTTTGCGTATAACGACACTCGGCCGGGCATCAGAAAAGTGTCGTTATTCGAGAAGTGTCGTTATACCCGAAGTCTCATTATACGTATACAGGTAGAATGGATTTTGCTCTGGGCATGGAAATTCGTTATTCGCGAATTGTCCTTATATCCACAGTCGTAATTAGCGAAGTTGACTGTACATGCTAGCACACAATCATTGGTAGTACTGTAAATATACAAATTTTCGGCAGCTATTTAATTTCGGCTATATTCGGCACCGACCCAAAACGCCTAAATTAAAACGCCGATGAAATTTTTCACAGCATCTGTCGCAATACTATGCCCTCTACCCCACGCCAAAAGAGGATTTGTGACGTAACAGTGTATGGTTGACATTTTTTGAGCTCTGATATTGCTGTCATAAGTATGTCCTCAACAGCCCTGGGCGGCTTATCGCCCCAGGAAATACGGAAACGGACTGTCTTTCTGGACCTTACCGACAGCCTTTACGCGAAACCTTTCGGAGCGCGAAGCGGTGAGTTAATCACTGCATTGGAATCAAGTACAGGTTCGAAGGAAACTGTCATTGGTATCCAGTATGTAGGTCGGCTTTGTAGGCTGACTTTAAACTCTGCAAAAGCTCAAGAAACACTGAGCTCAAATGGAATTGTTGTGGCTGGTGAACGTATTTCTGCCACGCCCGCGATCGACACAAGGAACGTAACTGTCCACGTTCAAGAGGTACCACTGTGGGTGGGATTTGAGTGTATACAGAATGCTCTGGCTAGCTATGGAGAGGTGCTGGGGATTACCTTTGCGAAGACCCGCCTTCCCAGTGGTGTGTTCATTTTGAATGGGACTCGATTAGTCACCATACGCCGAAAGGCTGAAAAGGCAACCATTCCCTCCTACATTTCTGTCTCGGGACGAAGGGTTCGGGTTTGGCACCACGGGCAACAGCAAACGTGTCGAGTTTGTGACAGAGTTGGACACGTTGCCAAAAATTGCACGTCCACCACAACCACGCAGACCACGACACCCCCGACGAATACGGATATAGCTAGCAGCGCAGAATGTGCGGCGGATACGGGAACTGACCCCCGCACTGCCGAGAGTTCAACTCTGCAAGTGAACTCAGCCGAAACAAGCGCTTCACAAGCCAAGGAAGTCCCAACGGGGCTCCCCACTGGCGAAACTACACAGCCGGCAAGAGATGCGTCCTCGACCTCCCCTGCTTACCCAACCTTTGCTGCCGTGACCGCTGCCTCCTCTTCCTTGCAGTCAAAACCCGATCTTTCAGATGAAACAGCTGACAACCACACTCTAGAAAACTCAGAAAGCATAGCAGATTCCCATGCCGACACCAACAGTATGGACTCGACGCAGACTGAACAAACAAACAACGACACTAATCTTCACCACAACGACGACCTTGTTCCAAATTCTGAATCATCCGTGGCTGCATGTTCAACAGCTCCAGCAACAAAAACGCAAACTCTTCCGGCAGCATCTCCTCCCACGATCCAATCACCAGCCACCTCCTTGCCTTGTTCGTCCGTTTCCCCCGCCAAGAAACGTCGCCCCACCGAGTTTGATACGTTGCGGTCGGACCCTACTGAAAGCTATTTGAAAAAAAAGAAACACTAAAAAATGATCCGTGTGTGTCTACTAAACTGTCAAAGTGCAGTAAAGAAGATCTCCGAACTGACATATCTATTAGCCGCAAACTCTATTGATATTTTATTAGTAACAGAAACTTGGTTCAACGATTCCCATCATGATGGTCAAGTCTCCATTCCCGACTTCTTCCTACTCAGGAAAGACCGTGTAAGTGACACCCAGAGGCGAGGTGGCGGAGTTGCAATATACTACCACCAGTCTCTCAGTGCATTCATTTCCCGCAGGGCTGACTTGGAGCCTCCTCCTCCTATTGAATGCCTCTGCGTTGAACTTCGCCTCAAAACAACATCGGTTATGCTTTTCAACTGCTACAGGCCTCCGTGGCAGAATATTCAGACATTTTGCCAGGACATATCTGGCAAAATTGAACTTGTGTCAAACACTTGCAAACATAACATTGTCCTTGCGGGCGATTTCAATGCCAAGTTGTCGACTTGGAATGTTGGAGACACCTCTACCCGCGAGGGCCTGACATTACAAGATACCCTGGACAATTTAGGACTATATCAACTAATGCGTGACACACCTACACGTTTCTCCTCCACGGGAACTTCCAAGTCGTTGCTGGATCTCGTGTGCACAAACAACATTGACTTTGTGAAATTCACATCTACGCTTGCACCACTGGGCGACCACACTCCAGTTATCTTCCACTTTGATGCATTGCCACAATCGGCCGACACGACACTCTCGAGGTGGGTGCCTGACTACAGGAATTCAAATTTCAAAGCCTTGTGTGATCACCTCACCCAGCAACCTCTCTCAGACTGTATGACTGGCGCGACTCATGGTGACAGCGCTCTATTTGCCTGGCAAGGTGTTTTTTTATCCACAGTTAATAACTATGTCCCGATGAAACTGATCACGAAGGGTAGCAGGACACGATCGCGCCACAAACCGTGGTTTTCCACCAGTCTTCGCACGCTTCACCGAACTAAAGAACGACTTTTCAAGCGAGCTAAATCTACGGGCCTCCTATGCGACTGGGTCGCCTATAAATTGTCTCGCAACGCTTTCGTTTCAGCCAACAAAACTGCAAGAGATAGCTACTACTCCCGCCTGGGACATGACCTTAATAATGGGTGCCAAACTAGAACATGGTGGAACCGTATGAAGCGGCTATGTGGCATTTCCTCACCCCTTGGGACAATACCAACTTTAGTTTCTGCAAATGGTTGTGACATAGTGACTGACTCTGAAAAGGCAAACCACTTAGCAGACCATTTCGCACGACAAAGTCAGACTCAGAACCAACAAAATCACCAACGGCGTACACAACCCACAGCACCTTGCACACCACAAGCACCACGGCTCGAAAGTTTGTTTGAATTGGACGAGGTTACTCCTGGCCAAGTCTTTGATGAAATAAAACTGCTAAAGGTCCATAAGTCCTCGGGCGGACCCATTTCTAACACTCTTCTGCGGGAGACCGCCTCGGTAATCTGTGATTCTTTGGCAACCCTCTTCAACATTTGCATTCGGACAAGCTCCTTCCCTGGTCAATGGAAAACTGCCGTCATCACACCAGTCCCCAAACCAAAAAAACCATCGCACTCAGCTGAAGGTTATCGTCCAATTTCTATCCTGCCCAGTATTGGGAAACTTTTTGACAAGCTGGTAAACCGACAACTCGTTCGTTTCCTGACGGACAATAATATCCTCAGTCAGACACAATTCGGATTTGTTCCTAAACGGTCCGCAATTGATCAACTCCTTGTATTAACACACAATATATACTCTGCATTGGACCGGCGTTGTACATACAATATGATATTCTTGGATTTCGCGAAAGCGTTTGACAGAGTTTCACACCACGACCTTATCACAAAACTCACCTCGTTTGCCAACACCTCGACCACCCGCTGGTTTGAAGACTACTTGACGGACAGACGCATTCAGGTTCGAGTTAGTGACTCACTGAGTGACCCCCGTCTTCTCTCTGCTGGGGTCCCACAAGGCTCTCACTTGGGTCCAGCCTTATTCCTCCTATATATCAACACCCTGCCTTCGTTAGTGCAATCAGATCTGTATCTCTTTGCCGACGATACAGCATTAGGTAACACATCGTCTTCCGAAGTACAAGAAGACCTGGACGCGTGTGGATCTTGGGCTCTCTCCGTGGGGGGAGATTACAATGCTGAGAAGTCAGCACATGTGGTTTTCTCCTCCTCAACGGACCCTCCTCCCTACACCTTCTCCCTTTTAATAACAGTAACATCCCAACACTCAACGAGCACCGCCACCTCGGAGTCATCTTGGCTCACAACATGTCCTGGCAGCCACATTTCCTTCAAATGATAACGAAATTTCGCCAACGCATTGTTCTGCTGTGCCACATGGCCTCTCGTTTACCGCCTGCCGCCATATTGGCGCTTTACCGCGGATATGTTCGGCCTGTGGCGGAATACGCTAGCCAGCTTTGGTTCTGTGGCGTGCCTGCACGAGATACCGGGTCACTGGACCGCCTTCAGGCAAAGGTCGCTAGACGATACCTGTACCGGAAAGGCTGCGCAGCTGAGTGGAGCACTTCCAAATCCGAGCTCTTTCGTGCAGCCGGTTTGGAATCCCTCAGTTGGCGCAGACACATTGGAGCCCTCTGTCTGGTTTTTAACGTTATAAAGTTTCATCCACACCTTCTTCGTGCATGTCACTTCTCTCTTAGCTCTAGTGCTCGTCGCCCATTCTATCTCTTATTTGCTTCTGCTCAAGGTCCATATCGAAGCCGCCATGTTCTCTCTCATTCCCTAGCTGTATGGAACAATTTGCCAAAGGACTTGCGTGAGATTGCACATGCTCATACATTCAAAAGAGACTTAAAGCGTCATTTCTCTCAGTACTGTTACGACATTGCTGGGATCCCTGGATTTTAAACTGTGTTTTTCATTCTTTTTCCCGTCGCGTGTGCATGTGCTGCTGTTGTCTGGCGCACTCCTGCACGTACTTCTCTGACATCCGATGCTTCATATTTATATTTTTCCCGTCGCATGTGCATGTGCTGCTGTTGTCCAGTGCACCCTGCAAGTACGGCTGACATCCCAGGCTTCCTGTTTTTGTTTATTTGTTTTCTGACGTTTTCTGCTGGCTGAGCTCCTTGCTCTGTGTTTGGTCCGGAGCCACCCCCTGATTTAGGTACCATTGCCTTTGGGTTATCCGTCATAATAATAATAATAATAATAATAATAATAATAATAATAATAAAATAAATCGCCGCCGAAATGTCAAAAATCGTGAAGTGCCGAAATTTTGCAGCGCCGAAATTTTGTATATTTACAGTACGCAAAAGCACTGCAAAGTACGGAAAATCAGAATTCCGAGTACGCAAAACAGACCCAGTTGGTTGGCAGCTCTGAAAATTATTTCTTTTTGTTCATGTTACCCTGAGAACTCTAAATGCTCGCAGCACTGGCCCCCCCCCCCCCCCCCCCCGGGGATTATGCAATGCCAGCGTTTATAGAACAAAAACAATGCAGGATGTGCAGTTGTTTTCACTCAACCTTCCCCTACACGTGAGAGACAGCAAAAAGTTAGGGTACCAGTTTGAGATGAATGGGCTGAAAACCATCATTCCATGTGTGCAATGTACTATCGGTACTTCAAATGTCGGGAAGGAAAGACCGTGGCTATGACACAACTACAGCACTCCTTACCCATCTATAAATGGAGAACTTCTTCAGCTTGGAGGAAGAGGCAGCCGTGGCAGCACATCTCTGCGTGACCTGAGTGGCCAAATCACCAACCAAGAACGGAAAATGCAGTCAACATTTTGCCATATGACCAACCTCCTCTCGCTCAACTCCTAAAATTCTCGCACTAACCAAAAATGAGAGGCCAACAGGACGGAGCTGTCTTGTGAGAGACGCTGCCATTTCGGAACAAATCAAAGCTCAAACTCCTGAAAGCAATTCCTAAACAAGACACTCCCGGCAACACGAACTGCAAAACTGCCAAAAAGTTCCCGCACGCAGAAACTGTGAATCGCCAACCATGCAGACTACTGACTACAGAGTACAGTCAGCCAGGTTTGATGATGATCGATGACAACCAGCGCCGGCCAGGGAGTAGACTACTAGTAGTAGGTATTTTACTACTCCCTGATGACAACTGGGTTGTGCAAGCGATCGCGGCCATGATTGCACCGGGGGGAAATCCCCCATTGGGCGCTTGAACGCCGCGCCGCGTTCATGCATATGCTCGCATGCAAAATGACGACATCTGGTGCGAAGAACATTCGGAAATGACGTCGATGAACCAGGTATGGCTGTACATAATTCAAAAGAAACAAAACAACATGTTTGTGAAGCAGACTTCCATATCCTGGTGTAGCTTGCTTTGTTATCGCTTCAAGTTCAGCTCCTCCATGTTCGGCTAATTCCTGATCGGCTTTATTCGTGTTGTCCACTAGGAACATAATATTCCAGCAACATTGGGAGTAGGTAGTCGAGTTGGCAGCAGACGTCGCGTTTTCCACAAGCCAAATGTTTTTTCTTTGACGCTTTTCGAAAACTTTAGTGAATGTGTTGCATTGGTACAAGCCTCGGCTCTTGCTCCCTTTTATCCAATTGTATCCAGGTAGGTCTTACGCATCATGTCGGGCGGAGACTATTCACGGGAATACTATGAGCAGCGGATGGACCAACTGGACGACCAGATGCTGGATAGCACAAGACGCTCTCGCCAGAGACTTGAGGAGGCACACCGAATGGGAATTGATACTGCGGTGGAACTGGACGAGCAAGGTGAAAAGCTGTCACGAGCTGAAAGGCGTTTGGACGACATCGATGAGGATCTGAGAACATCACAACGGACCATTCGTCAGATTCGCAGTGTATTTGGCGGTGTGGTAAACTGGTTCACGACCGATAAACTATCCACCACTCCATCCACTGTCAGCAGTTCGCAGGCAAAAGCCACCAGTTCGCACTCATCCGGTGCTGACCGAGTATCACAATCAGCTGGCTCTTCACATCGCACTATGCAGCAGCAGGAACAGCGAAGGAACTATCGCAATGCCAAGGATCAAGAGGTGGATGAAAACCTTAGTGTGATGTCTGACACACTGGGCGTCCTCAAAAACTTGGGTCAAGACATGGGGCAAACACTGCAAGATCAGAACGACCAAATCGAACGTATGTCCGGCAGGGTGAGAACACTAGACGGCAAAGTTGAGGATCTGAACAAGCAGACAAGAAGACTCCACTAGTACTAGTCAAGGCTGCAGCTGCCGTTTCTTCATACCGTGCCTGCGTGGCTAGTACTAGTAGTAGTGCACACTGTACACTGTACAGTGTGTGCGTATGCGTACATATGATGAGGCGTCACTGTACAGTTGCGAAACAGATGCTGATCCCCACCTAGCAGTTGCGAAACAGACACATTCCCATCTAGCAGCTGAGCACCTCCCTTCACAAGTATGTGGTCACTAGCAGAAAATTCAAATTCGAAACTATCCCTTGCACCAGCATGAGTTGTGTAATGCTGGCAAAGTCTGACATAGTGTGTATAAGTGGCTGCATCGGCTTCGATTTTATTCCTCTCCCTATGCCAGAATGTGTTGCGTTGGCTATTTTGTGCGCGGATGATTTTTTAACAATAGTCTTGGCTATTGTGGTGTGATATCTGCAATGCGTGTAATGTGCTCTTCAATCTATTTTAAAAATACATACTTGCACTTGGTGTAACATGAAACTCATCCTAGTCTGAATGTCCTCTACTGCATTCGATTTCCTCTGCTTTTATATTTTACTTTTATACTAAATGTACAAGCCCATCAAAGCAATCATCTTATTAGATCGTCACAGTCTGGCTTTTACCAACGGATTCTACACTTTGTTTTCAATCTACAGCAGAGTGAGAGTGCAATGAACTTCGTATTTTACTTGTGGCCACACTTGAAACATGCAACGGCTGTGTCACTGCCTGCTTTGAAACATGCCAGGGCTGTGTCACACTGCCTGCTTTTCCAGAAGAAGAAAACTACTACAGTCTAGTAGTTAACATGACTTGTATAAAGTATTTTGGTCAGCCTGTGCATGTGATGGGGTGAGTTACAATTTACAAGTGATGACAACGTACAGCTGTACAGACAAATCGTCACATTCAGGAGCTAGGGAATGGGACCACATGACATGTAACCGCTACATCAAGAGTACTCTTGGGTACATGTATAGGGAGCTGGGCAACTGACACCTTTTAAATCTTTGTGCGCACCAGTATTGCTAGTGGCATTTCACATCATGCCCGCTGCGAGGACAATTCCAGCTGTCTAGAGGGACTGGTAATCCTGTATACATGTACTGTACTATTAATATCAATTGATTTGATCACTCTACTGGACAGTCTGGAACCTCTCTCAATACAGGGCTGTGACACCGGTATTCAGGAGTCGTCCAAATGGGATCCTTGACTGGAAATGAACATTATTTATACAGCACCCTGTTTTGCCGGAATTGCGTGGGTCTACGTTTCCGAAACAAGGTCCGACCAGACCGGATGCTATGACCCTGCAATACCACGACGGAATTATCCCAGCTACAGTAACAATGGCGAGCTATGGAAATGGAGTGAGTCAGTCCAGACTGCAGAGCTATGGAAATGGAGTGAGTCAGTCCAGACTGCAGAGTACGTGCGGTGAAACTTCACATTATGCCATGTTTTATCGGTTTAAAATAGTGAATGTGAATTCAAATTCAGCTGGGCTGACTGACTTCTACCGTATACCATGGCATCTGCAAATAGGCGTGTCGCTCGTCTACACATTGATTTGCTGGTGTACGAAGGGCTTGCCACTTACTACTCAAGTCGACAATTCGAGAACGGGGATGCTACCTATAACCGGGGATATTCGCTCCAACCAGTCCCAAGCATTTAGTCAGACGGTGCTTGCTTCATGGTCAAGGTAATTTCTGTACAATTTTGAAAAGTTCTTAAAAAATATGGAAAACCTTGCACACACACCATCTTCAATCCAAGTGGTCTCTTCGCTGCAAATCAAAATAATTCACACATTAATTAACTCGTTTCCATATGTCCTTTTCCTTTCTACTTACACTAATGAAGACATTCTTTTAAATATAATTGAAATAAAGGAACTCAACATTCTATAGAAATAAATTTGGAAGTGCATTATCAAATTAATAATCTGAGGGTTCGACCTGGCGTTAGCGTAACACCTTGCTGCGCAGTCCTGCAAAACTTACTGCTAAATGCCTCTCTAAGGCTTGATTGGCACGGCTTCAAAGGCAATACCATTTTGAGAAGGCTGCTGGATGATCTCCAACACCAGCTGCCCCACCCGCTCAAAGTCAATCACCTCCAAGTAGATTTGCGCTGATAGGCGAGTCCAGTACTGTGGTGGCTCGGTGCCCTTCATCTGATATACGACAATGTACATGTTGTATTTGCTGACGAAGACGGAGGCAATCTCTGCAGCCTTGTTTCCATCGCCGGTGGGCAGCTCAATGTCGACCATAGCAGCAAACATATCGTCCGGCGCGGCCGTTCTCGTCTTCCACATGTTGGCCAGTAGTGCACCTGTAGTAGCAGCTAGCTGGTGCATGTAGACCCTGATCTCGACGTCGCCCAGGCCGTTTCGATAGTCTAGAGCTGCACCCATGGCACAGAATGCTGTGTAGTCACGCGTTCCCGTGTACAGGAAGCCGTGAACAAACGATGCCAGTCCTTCACTGGAGATGACCGTGGGCACTATGCCAGTCTGAGCTCTTTTGCTTGCCCACAGGAAACCTGTACCTTTCGGAGAGTAGAGCCACTTGTGGCCATTGGACACGTAATAGTTTATTCCTGCATTTTCATACTCTAAGATGTTCAGGGAGATTTGTCCAAGGGCATGTGCACCGTCCACAACAATATCCAGGGCAGGAACGCGAGCTTTCAGAATTCTCGCCATCTCGGCAATGGGCACGATCACAGCAGGCACTGACGTGATGTGCGACACGACGAAGATTTTCAACTTCTCTGGCGCAACTGTGGCAAGTAGCTTTTCAGCGACAGCAAAGAAATCCGCTTCGCTGCCAACGGGAAAGCTAACATCGACCACTTGTACGACAAAGCCCTTCTCTTTAGACAGGTAATCCAGTGTATTGGATACCATTGGGTATGCTGAGCTAAGCACCGCCACCACGTCATCTTTCTCTAGAGTGTACTGAAGTGCACGGAGTACAGCATTCACACCACCACTAGCATTCTCCACCAGCACAACATCGTCAGGCTCGGCATGTACATACGTGGCCAACCTGCTACGGATGTCATTCACAATCAATTTGTATCCAACCCTCAGGAACTCGTCTGGCTTGGCCTCCATCTGGTCGTAGTGCTGTCGCTGGTTCGCCACCACTGACTTCGGAGTAGCGCCAAAGCTGCCATGATTGATGTTGGTGAAGCCTGGAGCAAAGTTGAAATCATTGCGCCGCTCGTGTCCAAAAATAGCTTTCTTCTTTTGGACGCTTTGCTTTGGGTCCGAAGTCATGTTGTCCCCCATGTTCTCGGACAACAGTGCGGCTGATTGTGACGCTGAGTGATCGTGAATTCTTGCTGTCGCAACAGCAGCAACTACATCCTGCAGCTCCACACCACTGCGCTTCTTGCCGCTGCTGCTGTCAGTGCTGGCATTCGACTGGACGAACTGAGCGTGGCAAACAAACACAGCTAAAGTCAAAGTCAGAAAATAATTGTGGAATTTCATCCCTCCATTTCTAGTGTTCACCATGGTGATTGACGTGAGAGCACCCAACCAGGTAACCTGGCCAACGGATAGTGGGCGAGGTCGATACTTATATTTTTGTATAAGACTTGTTATTTCTACATGCAGGAACCGCCAAATGTGAAGACCGATATTATAATAGTCGCTATGATTCTCCACCTTCAAAGTAAACTACTTCAGTACTTGATCATTGATCGCCGTAATAATCTGCATGAACTACCGGTAACTTTTATTTGTTCAGTTTCGAGCCAGCTGAGCTGGACCGTGCAACGACGTCTGCACTGCTAGCACTGACTGTCTGTCGCTGGCACTGGTACAGATGTCATGGCCGCGCTTGGCGGGTTTGTGACTTGGCTTAGATCAGTCTAGTGGCTACCCAGGTAGACGACCAATATAGTCGCCATCCAAGTTGCTAGCTCACATAGAACGACAGGTTTCTGATTCCACTTGAACAGTGTTTATTTGAACCATTGCAGTACTAGATCGAAAGATCAAGTGTGTAGAGTCAAAAGACCAAAGCAGGAGAGAGTCGGAGTGACTCTCTCCGAATCGAGAGGAGTAGTGAGCTCCCCGAGAATCGAGAGGAGTAGTGAGCTCCCCGAGAATCGAGGATGAATGTTAGCAAAACAGCTCCTTATATATGCTACATTATGTGATCAAAAGTATACAGTGGCAAGAATGCGTAAGGATTATTTCTATATTACAAACAGTGGTGCAATATGTGCAATCAGCCAAACTAGAATATAGTACAAAGAATGATCAATCAATACGGGGAGCTCGCTCACCCACATTACATGAAAGGACTCCGAGGCTCTTCGTGCGACGGGCCTGTTGCTGCAGCTAGAGCACGCCGCCTCCGTACGCTGCCTTGGTCGTTGGTCACCACCCTTCATCTCCTGCCCGTAGGCTCTTCCCTCTCATTACCCCGTAGGGTGCTTCACGGTCAAGCCGTGACCTCTCCCAAAAAGGGATAATGGAGTCCGCAGTGCGCGAAGCACTTGCAGGACCCTTTACATCGTACGACGCGAGAAGAGGGGCCTTGCTTGCTCGACTAACAAAGGTATCAGCTCCCTTGCAGGACTAAGCAGGGTCCCCTCAAGCTCAACAGTGTAGTGAGTACAATGCTGACGACTTGTACTGAAGGTGTAGCCGCCGTACGACAACACTTGTGACTCGAGGCCACGAGTTGTAAGCCATGATTGCTCAACTAACGAAAGTGCCAAATCCTTCGCGGGACTAATCATGGTTCTTACAGAACTCTAGAATATTTCGGAGCCCAGCTTTTGGCTGCTGAATCTCAATGCATGGTCGCTTTCACGACGAGTCTGATCCGGGTCATGACAATTCCCCGGCCTCTCAAGAATCACGTCCCCGTGATCTCAACTAACATTAAAGTCAGCGAGTCGTGACGGTAACCGCCTAGCTCTCGTTGGCCAAGCCAACGGGTTCTGCACCGCAACAGGTACGGGCATAGAGTACGAAATGTGGCTCCACAGGAGGGACATTTCCATCAAAAAAAAATTCCAACTTCAAATGAAACTGGTACTGCTCCACTATCGTAGAGATGAGCCTGGTGCTGATGATCAACACGCAGCTTGTCATGTACAACTAAATGCACGTAGCAAATCTTCACGCAAAGCGTATACGTATGACAGTTCGCCATTTCGTGTCATCTCAGATGAATGTAAACCATAGGCCATAACGTGTGGTCGACACACCCTTCTACCACGTAGGTATCCGGTTCAGTACAAAACTGCTGCAGAGCTCCAGGAGCCATTTCATAGATTTGGTGGTGTCCACGAATCGGTTCCACCCACACTCCACCCATTACAAAAGACCTTGGCGACCTCGCCAAGACTTCCACGGTAGGTTCATTGCTGCCAGCAAGGACAGACACAATGGCATACGCCTAGTAGCCTGTGCAACAGGACCACGATCACGTGTCTCAATTTTGTAGTGTAGCACCGAAGTGCGATCAAACTCAGATGGGTTCAAAGCGAACGCATCTCGATACCGAAGCACTAAGGCTTGCAAGCAGTGGATCTCCTCGCAGGAGATACCAGATTGTCCCAGAGATGTCTCATTACCATCTCTTCCGACCCCCACTTCCGTGTGTTCCAGGTCCGAGTCCCAGCTCGTCCACACACCTAGGCTCCAGGATCGAGTCCAGCTCGTCCAACCTACAGGCTCCAGGGTCGAGTTCGTCCTCGCCCAACCTCAAAGGTTCCATGGATGAGTTCGTCCTCTTCCAACCTTTCCGGGGGTCCACAACCGGACATCTTGCGCCAATGCGCAACTGCTTCCAGACCCCGAGAGAGTCCTCCGTCTCAGCTATTTGAACTGATTCCTCTCCCTGGCCATCAGCCAGAGTGTCTTCGGTCACGATGCTCATGACCTCAGATATTGGTTCTAACCGACCAATCTGCATTGCCCTCTCTAGAGCCACAGCCTCGTCAGAGTAATTCAACACCCGTACGGGAACACCATCCACCGTAGGGCTCACTAGCGCATGCGCCATCATGACATCATTCATTCCTTGAAAACACCCATCAGGTATCGTCAAGGCACAGGTCGGCAACCCTTCCGACTTGTCTAGCACGGCGTTAACCGTCACCTCCGAAAAGGGAGTATCACTTCACACCTCCGCAAGCGAAGAACGTGCTCTCGTTTGCCATCACCATCATGGCTTGGCGGAACGACATCAGAAAATGCAATGCTCCATCACCCGAAATGATCTCGCAAGGAATTGGGACAGCACATCGCGTCCAATGTCAGAACCAGTAACCAACATCATACTCAGTACGTGACGAAACACCACAGGTTGCGGACGTCGCGACATATCCGACACCAAACAGGCATCGTCCAACACAGAAATGCTGGTTTCAGGTGGGCATCAGCTCACTAGTGATTTCCATCACACTCCAATCAAAACATTCGAGATCCGCATCAACGAACTCAAATCAGCAGTTGTTCAAGCTCTCTGCAGAACTTGTTACTGTATCATCGTTTCAGCCAGCATCTCAACTGGTGCGCCCAGTTTCGAAATCTGGCTTCGTGACTCCGTCACACGACAAGGACATAGTCCTCTTGACTGTTTTTGAACCGTCAAAGTTCAAAAAGAACAGCAACACTCCTCAACTGCAGCTGAGGGCAACGTAGAAGCTAAGCTTCATGCAGTCATCGATCCTGCCACTGCAAGACGACTCAAAAAGCCTAAAAGCATTTCGCTTCTCGAGCAGTTTCTGTGCAAGCGCTGACAAAACAGCAGAGTTTCCTCACTGCACGTCCTTGCAAGAACCTCTGTGGGTTCGAACAATGCACCGTCCACACCGCAAAGCGAGTGCATCTGACACATACCTCCGACCAACAAGTGGTGCAGGAGTCGAAACTCTTGTCAGCGGCATGACCGACTTTCGCCAGGTCTTCCGGAGCAAGTAAGTAATTAGTTGGCACGCCAACTGATAGCAACAGCTACATGTATACAGAACAGAACGAGTCTACGTTCCATGTGCACGCACTCAGACAGAGTGTTCAACTGAACGGACCAAGGCCAGAACAGAACAAAACAGTTCGCTTCCGAATCCACTTGAGAACTGCATGCAGCCTCGTGAAATCGACATCAAATTCACACCTCTGCGTGCTCGAGTAAACAAGAGCTCAGAGTTCAGCATGGACCAGTGCACACCGAGTTACGACTACTCTGCCGGAGCAACAGCAAGACGCAACTTGGATCCTGGTCACAGCCCCAAATGTCATGGCCGCGCTCGGCGGGTTTGTGACTTGGCTTAGATCAGTCTAGTGGCTACCCAGGTAGACGACCAATATAGTCGCCATCCAAGTTGCTAGCTCACATAGAACGACAGGTTTCTGATTCCACTTGAACAGTGTTTATTTGAACCATTGCAGTACTAGATCGAAAGATCAAGTGTGTAGAGTCAAAAGACCAAAGCAGGAGAGAGTCGGAGTGACTCTCTCCGAATCGAGAGGAGTAGTGAGCTCCCCGAGAATCGAGAGGAGTAGTGAGCTCCCCGAGAATCGAGGATGAATGTTAGCAAAACAGCTCCTTATATATGCTACATTATGTGATCAAAAGTATACAGTGGCAAGAATGCGTAAGGATTATTTCTATATTACAAACAGTGGTGCAATATGTGCAATCAGCCAAACTAGAATATAGTACAAAGAATGATGTATATAATAACACATGGTACGGAGGGCATTATGGCTGATTTATGCCCTAGTGCGTAGCCCGAGGTCGTGCACCGTAGCCCAAGGGCCGCAGGCCCGCGGGCTACGGTGCACGACCGAGGGCTACGCACTAGGGCATACAATCAGCCATAATGCACGACGCACCATGTGTTTATTATAGTTCATACATGCCACGTGCCTAGTTGTAGACAAATAAGGTAAACATGGTCAAGGGAGGAGGAAGGTTCCAATCAGCTGTCATATGAATGAAGGGTCGAACAAGATCGGAAGGAGCTTTCTCCGTGGAATGATAGAACGTTTTGTGTCAGATTTACTTGCAGTTCCAGGAATATGTCTTTGCATTTTGGTGTTAGTGTTGCCTATTGGGCGGTACGGAAGTTAGCTGATTCGCTGCTGCTTTGGCGTTAACGTTGGCCGCAAACATCCTTGACCAAGGGGCACTAGTAATTAGACTAGTTTTGAGAGTACATTGTAAGTGTTCTTATTCGGAACAATGATACTTTTTCACATACATCTGAGATTTTGTTCGCATTGCTTTCAGTTTACTTGAGGTCCATGTGTACACTGGACAATCATGTAGCTAGGTACATTTGAAGTACAATGTAGATGTAACTGTATATTTTGTAGGAGTTCGAGATACAATCTGATCTCTTCCAGATAGGTAACTTTGTGATGCATGTTCACCTGTTGACTTGTTCGTCTCAATTGACTTGAATTTAGTAATGCATGGTAATGACATGCTGTGTGCTATTGTCACGTTGTTATAAATTACTTCTCCTATGTCGACATTGCTAGTAAAGTATAAATGTTTTGGACGGTGCACGTTAGTAGTTTCGTTTTGTGTGGT